GTTGGTACATCAATTGCACGCGTAGGTACAGCTCAAAGACGCAACCATATGTAGTACCCATGCCGTTGAGAAAAACCCACCAAAGAACATATTTCCCATAAGAATATTAAACGTATTACTTAACTATTTAGCTATATCTAGGTTTTTAATATATCACCGAGGTCGTAGAGGAAATAACATTCTAATTCTTGTTGTGTGAAAGACAGGTTTGAACCATGCACCTGTTTAAATATCTACTAATCGGAGCGAAGTGATAGTATAATACGAAACAGCCACATAATAGATGTTATATTTCCTTGAAAATAGATGGAGGATATTATTCCAATCTAGCCTACAACCTGACCAATGTGTAATATCAGTCATGACATATGCATGCGAAATCTGGACACTTAAAACAGACATTATAAGGAAACTACAGGTCGCACAACGTCCAGTGGAACGAAATATGCTGGGAATAACAAGCAGAGACCGTAAAAGAATATACGTGGATACTGTGGATACGACAAAAGACTTAAGTAACAGATGTCATTCACAGAACCAAATCTCTCAATATACATCTCCATTACAAATTATTAATTCAGCACTTGAACGAAGTTGCGGGTACACGCTAGTTTATGTCATATACAAATATAAAATCAATGAAAATACATTTTTTGAAATTAGTGATTTTTTTTATTACGTAATTGCCAATTGTTAGTTAACGATTTTTGCATTTAAAAATTATTTTGTTGATCAGGAATACGATAAAAATATCAACAAACCAGATGAAGACATACAAACATCAAGGTTTTTGGACTATATAAGTTGATATTCGACTGGATTCGCTCTACCACTTATATCCATATTAATTGCTGAAGTATAGCGAACACAAAAATATAACATTTATCTGCTACCATCTGCTATCGTGATATTTTATGGAAAAACAAAAGCTGAGCGTACGGACAATAGGTCGTTTTTTGATAGTTGAATGATAATAACATGGTAATATATAAAGGAGCGATTCTTGAATCTATATTCTATAAGAAACAAACTTCGAATGAATTTATGTCCCAAACATCGTAACTTTTGAGATACAGAGGGTGGTAAATTAAAAAAAAATGCTTTTCATAATAACTCTGATGTTATTATAGATATCTTCCTTTTATCTTATTTTAAGTGTTAGGGACCTAAAAAGATGGGACCATTATGTAAATTTCTTAGTCCTTATTCTTCTTCAGATGTCCGTCATGTCGCTACGAATTTATAATAAAAGAAAACGAGAAAAAACAATCGAATAACGGATGAAGAAACAAACGAAATCATTGGAGAGTAAAGTCTATTGACCCATCATCATCATCATCGCGATGATTTGCTGGTACCAATGAAGAAAAAAATATATCACTAGGTCACCGTGTCACAATAGCTTTTAAACCACTACTTAGCGTAGCCGGGCGTTTTAGCAATGGTATTCTCTATAAAAATAACGTTAACGTATTGTACGTTGATTGGTTTTGGTTTTAATCTTAGAGAAGATATAAGAAAAGTTTCGCATTGATCTACTGTGGTGTTCATTGAGTGTTCATTCTTCCCTAAATCAAGGAAAATCTTCGATTTTTCTGGGTGGTAAGTCCTGAGAAATTTCTTCGAGTATGTCTTAGACTATTGGAGGATTACCATTCCAGGTTACAGATGCCTGGCAGTCAACCTGTTTGTGGGTTGACTATCGGATAAGATGGGTATTTTTTGTTTCTATTTTTTTCTTGTTTTCTATTGTCGACTATTCTAGTATTAGTTACTATATATTTTTTAATGAAAAATTAGACGAAATGGCCAAATAAGGCTCATCAATTTTTGACACTGACAAGAATAAAGCAAAAAATAAGGTTTTTGAAGATATTCAAAAACGATAATAATAATCTTCACCACCACTGTCATTAATGGTCATTATCTATAGCTGCTCCAAAAACAAAAAAAAACAATTTAGTTTTTTTATTTTGTTTGTATCCATAAAAGTTTGCAGATAATATACATATCTAGACTGTAATCTAGACCTAATGAGCAGATATAGGTACCGGGTGTTGCATCGTCGGACGGGACATAGGAAATCCCATGTAAATTTTAATGGGGTCAATTATTGGCTTCCCTAATTATTTTAGAGAATAATTCTATTTAGGTTTATTGAAGAGCACTAAAACCCACATTCAACAGAATAACTTTAGATTTCTTTTTAAATATTTCTCCTTTCTTATGGCCCTGTATTTACTTCTGAGCACCAGTCAAATGAAGTTGTCATTTCAGAAATTTACCTATTTAGTGCTTTATTATTATTGAAAGCTCATTCCTACATCGGAAATCTTTAAGATGTATTTATAAATACAAATTAATATGAATTAAAGTAAAATAAAGTAATCAACTACAAGGTTAATTATAGTATTATTACAATATTCAATAACTTATTAATTTAGGTACTATTAAATTGTTAGAACTTTAGGATTTAAGAAGATGTTCAAATATTCCTCCATCGACTGCTAGACAATAACCCAGGCGATCATAAAATTCTCTTCTTACATTCGCTAGTTGGTAAACTGAAATTCTATTGCATTCGGTAGAAATAACATTTTTTAACTCGTCTAGATTTGGGTATTTTTATCCTTGTATATCCTGTTTTTTAAATGGCCCCAGAGAAAGAAATCATTTGGCGAAATATCAGGAGACCTTGCTGGACAATTTACTATTTGATTTAGGCCAATAACGTTGCCGTTAAAACTATTGTCTAAATATTCCCGAACAGCCAGGGTACTATGTGCCGGGCAGCCATCCATTTGGTACCAAACTTCCTGATTATCCCTGGCGGCATCATGTAAAGCAGGTAAAATATGATTTTCGATTAGTTCCAAATAATATTCTGCATTTAAATTTCGCGTAAGAAATAATGGCCCGATAATATTGTATCCGAATATCCCTGCCCAAACATTTACATTCTGTGGATATTACGTCCTTGTTTCGACAAACCTGTGTTGGTTTTCTTTGTTCCAATATCGATAATTTTGAACATTGCGTTCATTAAAGTAAACGTGCATTCGTCAGTGAAACATATGCTTTTTAAAAATTCCCTATCCGTGTTTGCTCTTTCCATCATATCAAAACTAAACGCCTGCCGCCGTATTTCGTCCCCATCTCTTGGTGCTTTTCATATTTGAAGGAATAGTATTTATGTCGTTTCAAAATTCGAAACGCTGTAGTGTGATCTATTCCTATTTCCTCCTCAAGTTTCCTTGTGCTGATCTTTCCATCGTTCTCTTTCACGCACAATAAAACTTCCAAGTCGGTACCATTTCTTGCATCTTCTCTTTGTTCCTGCCTTGCTTCACATCTGCAGTTATTTATTATTAGGGTACCTTTGGTCTCAAATCTCGGGATATTTCTTGCGATTGCAGATTTTTCAGGTATCGGTCTATTCGGATACAGAGCAGCAAACATGTCCGACACCTTTTGATAACTATTTCCTTGATAATACCATTTAATCATTAATACTTTTTCTTCGGTAGTGTAATTCAAGGCTAATATTTTCGATGTAGGTATGAGTTTTTAATAATAATAATAAAGCACTAAATAGATAAATTTCTGAAATGACAACTTAATTTGACAGTTATCTTTTACCTTGACTGGTGCTCATAAGTAAATACAGGGCCATAAGAAAGGAGAAATATTTAAAAAGAAATCGGCGATAACTCATAAACGGGCTAATCAAAAATATCTAAAGTTATTCTTTTGAATGTGGGTTTTAGTGCTCTTTACATAGGATTTCCTATGTCCCGCTCGACGATGCAACACCCGGTAGATAATGACAGTGCTAAGATTATTTACGCAATCAAGATGCCGTTACACGGAGATACTCAATGCTACGTAAGTTTGTATTCAGACCTACACATTCCATTCTGATATTTCCGATTTTTATTTCAATACAGGAAATGGGTCAGTAGCGCTCCAAAGAAACTGATAACTTTCCTGTTGTATTGTCCGAAACGTTTACACATTTAAGCCCAATTTTGTACTTTTGTACCATGTAGGTACATCTATCAGAAGTCAGAAGTGAAGCTTTTTTCTCAAGTTTTTAACATTTTTTAAGGAATATGGTGAATCATATCTTAATTTAAATAATTGCAATAAGTTTCTTTTTTTAAAAAAATCAACTCTTTCATAAATATTTAAAATAAAATAATAAAAGCGTGGGAACCAAAACAATAATGGTTGGTACATCAATTGCACGCGTAGGTACAGCTCAAAGACGCAACCATATGTAGTACCCATGCCGTTGAGAAAAACTCACCAAAGAACATATTTCCCATAAGAATGTTAAACGTATTACTTAACTATTTAGCTATATCTAGGTTTTTAATATATCACCGAGGTCGTAGAGGAAATAACATTCTAATTCTTGTTGTGTGAAAGACAGGTTTGAACCATGCACCTGTTTAAATATCTACTAATCGGAGCGAAGTGATAGTATAGTACGAAACAACCACATAATAGATGTTATATTTCCTTGAAAATAGATGGAGGATATTATTCCAATCTAGCCTACAACCTGACCAATGTGTAATACCAGTCATGACATATGCATCCGAAACCTGGACACTTAAAACAGACATTATAAGGAAACTACAGATCGCACAACGTCCAGTGGAACGAAATTTGCTCGGAACAACAAGCAGAGACCGTAAAAGAATATACGTGGATACTGTGGATACGACAAAAGACTTAGGTAACAGATGTCATTCACAGGACCAAATCTCTCAAGTGGCAATGAGCAGAAAGAACACCTGACAAGGAAGACGGACAACTGATGAACCCAAAAAAATTACAGCATGGTACCCACGAAATTAACAGACGCAGAAGAAGACCAAACCGAAGATGGGTCCATGATATTAGGAAATTAGCAGGGATGACTTGAACCCTCATAGCCAGCATTAAAAAATAATTATATTTTATTGCATCTAATTATTTCATTTTTTTTTCAGACTACTTGTAGTACTGTCAGTGCAAACACCAGAAGGTACAGAAGATCGCCCAGCTCAATCCTGTCGTCAGATTCAGACATCAGGTTCACCAGAGGAAAGCTAACATCGCAAACGAGATGCGGATGCTGTATTATAGCTACTTTCTTGCTGTTCCTGTTGCTAGCAGCCGCGTCGGTATATGTAGGATGTAAGTTAATTCATACTATATTTTTTCGAAAGAAACATCTCTATTAAATCTTTAACTCACTTGATTTCATATGTGTTGTAAACCCTGTGTAACTCTTATTTATACCTAAGAAGTGGTAAACAAATAGAAGAACACGTTTTTTTGTGGTACAATGATACTATTATTGATATGTTTTATCTACATCTTAAGATTTAGATGACTTCTTGTATCATCATCATCTTTTCTAGCTTATTCATTCATGCTATTTCCAATTATGCGGTTTCCTTCACATATTTAGATATGCTCTTTCTAAATGGGCCCATTTGGTCCAAGTTATCCCTGCTAATTTCCTAATATCATGGTCCCATCTCAGGTTCTGTCTTCTACTAGGTCTCTGAATTCCTTGTGGGCACCATGCTGTAATTTTGTGGTCCATCTGTTGTCCGTTCTTCTTGCCAGGTGCCCTGCCCATTGCCATTTGAGGGATTTGACTCTGTGGATGACATCTATTACCTATGTCTATTGTCGTATCCACTCTATTCTTTTACGGCTTTTCTTGGTTATTCCCAGCATATTTCGTTCCATTGAGCGTTGTACGACCTGCAGTTTCCTTATAATGTGCGTTTTAAGAGTCCAGTTCGCATGCATAGGTCATAACAGGTAGTACAAAGTACAATGTCAATGTAAGGCTATATTTATTTATTTATTATAATTCCAACCATTTTACATTCATAAATCCAAAAAGTAAAAAATACAAATATAAAGTAAAAAAATAAAATAATATAGACACTTCAACACTCTTAAAAACATTCAAAATGTATACAACAAGATATAATACATATACTTTTAAGACAAGAAAAATATACTTTTACACATTGCACTCAGAGGATACTTCTTCCCAATCTGGTTCTAAATGTATTTAAGGACACCCCCCAAAAGTCAAGGTCTTCATTGGCATTGACATATGAAATAAGCTGATTAAGAGGCATATTCTGGGAATGCCTCGTGTTAAATCTACCACTAGTGGTAGATTTAACTAGCCAAAGTGCTCTCTCAATGCACCCACCCCCATGTGTGAATGTCCTGGCCCACATCTATATCGAAGATGTCTCAGAAACCTGTTCTGCACGGCCTCAATGCGGCTTTTATGTGTAAGATAATAGGGGCACCAAATGGTTGAACCATACTCCAACACTGAGCGCACCAGGGAAGTGAAAAGCACAACCAAAGAGCGCAAATCCCTAAAATCCCTAGATGTTCTAATAATTAATCCCATCATTCGACATGCCTTGGCAATAATATGCTGGTAGTGGTCCGAAAACTTAAACTTACTGTCTAAAAAAATGCCCAGATCCTTAATAAGATTTACTCTGGGTAGCGCAAAGTCACCCATTCTATATTTGTACTCAGTGTAGTTTCTATGGCGAGTGAATACAATATACAGTGGTGGCCAAAAGTATAGAAACTTTTTTAATTTGTCATTTATGCTGAGAAATTAAAATATGAAATAAAACGACTTATATAATCGTGACCTACAAATAATTTCCTACAAAACCTAATACATTTAAATAAAAAATTACAGCTATCAAAAAATATATAAAAAATTATGAATATTTTCTTGCTCAAAAGTATGGAAACTTAAGAAGAATGTTTATTAAAATTCAAGATAATATAAAAATTACTAATATTTAGTGGAATATCCCTTTGAATTAATTACTTCGTGGCATCGAATCGATCAATCTCGTACAATCTTTACTGAAAATGGCCGCCCATTCAGTTTTTAGCACTTCCCATAATTCATTTTTATTTGAAATAGAATGACTTCGAATTTTGCTATCCAAATGGTCCCATAAATTTTCTAAGGGGTTAAGATCCGGAGACTGTGAGGGCCAATCCATTAGTGGAACATTATGTTCATTTAACCAATTTTGAACAAACCGAGATTTGTGCTTGGGATCATTGTCTTGCTGGAACAACCATCTGAGTGGCATTTCTTCATCAGCATGAGGCAGCATATTATTATCCAATATGTCTTTGTACAAAAAACGGTCCATTATCCAACCTGAGCGAGAGGACCAACACCTGAGCGAGAAAAACACCCCCACACCATTATACTCCCACCCCCATGTTTTACTGTGAGCATCTGGTACTTATGGCTGTACCGTGTACCTTTTGGTCTTCGGATATAACGTCTCCCGTCACCACCAAACAGTTGAAACTTGCTTTCGTCGCTAAACAGTACATTCCATTTCTGATAAGACCAGGTGAGATGATCTTGAGCAAATTTAAAGCGGGCCATCCTATTTTTCTTTGATATTAGTGGTTTCTTCACCGCGACTCTTCCAAAAAGTCCCATGTCATCCAACCTTCTTCTCACCATGCGTGCAGACACCGATATTCCCCTTTCACCCATTTCTCGAGAAATGTCTGTGGATGTTTTTCTTGGATCTCCCATTGATATTCTCTTCGTTACTTTCATTGTCCTGTTGCACAACTTTCTTGGTCTTCCTGACTTAAAAGCTGTTGAAACGTTCCCTGTTTTATTAAATTTACGAATTATTTTCGAAACGGTGCCTTTTAAAATGTTTAAATTTTTACTTATTTGAATTTGTTTATAACCACTCTTGTATAATTCAACTATTTTATTTTTTAAATCCGTAGAGAAATATTTAGACTTGGGCATGATGTTTATATTTATCTGAAGCAAATCGTACCGTTTATCAGCTTAAACTAAATAATTTTAATGTATTTATTTATGGTTTCCATACTTTTGGCCACAAGAAATCTATTGTTCTTCTACAAAAACTGCTAAACAGATTTTTTTCGCTGTGTAATTTTTGGAATACTTTTATTTGCTGATAAGTTGTTCATTTATATTCCTGAGAGTTTAAGCATAGCAATATTTTCTGTGATATTTTAAAAAGTAAAAAGTTTCCATACTTTTGGCCACCACTGTATGAGCACTTGTCTCTATTCAGCTTTAAATTATTCAAGTCGCACCATTCCATCAACCCATTTAGATCTTTTTGGAGTAGTTCACAATCCTGACTTGATCTTATACATCTAAAGAGTTTTAGATCATCAGCAATATTTTGATCTAGTAAAAGTATTTAAATCTAGTAAGATCTTTGATTTTTCTCGGTCTAAGTTCTGAGAAATGTCTGTCAGGTTACGGTAGCAGTTTTCCATGTTTTTTCTTCAATTTTGAGAAAACCAGTGATTAACTTGTAATAGAATAATACAAGGATTATTTAAATGAATGGCTTGTTTTTCCCTGTTTTTCTGTCTACTACATGCTATCTACGTTTCAATTTTTCTAAAATCGCTATTGTTTTTAAAAGTCTACTATAATTTAAGTACTTAATATATAACTTTACAAACTGCCACCAGCAAATAACGTGATCTATATTAATCCATTATTGAAAAGATTAGAGACAACTTTTTAAATCTTAAATCCTATTATTGTTTTTTTAATTTGCTGACATTGTAACTACACATTTAAAAAAAATCCCCAGCTATAATATACAGTAATCCCTTATCGTACGCGGGGGTTACGGTCTCGAGATACTGTATACAGGGTGTCCCAACATTCACAATTCTACATAAACCATCAGAATATTACTGTATCCTAGACTTGATATGTTTAATACATTATTTTTTTTTAAATGATATAGTTTGGCTTGTAAAGAATTTGGGTGTTGTTTCATTTCGAAGATTTTTTTCTTTAAACAGAAAGTAACAACAACAAAATATTAATATTCATTTTACACAGCTCTAAAGGTGTGTCAAACAAGGACATCAAACTTCGGAGACAATGGAATCATATTTCCTAATACCTGTTTTTTTTTGTTTTGGCTATTTTTAAAAAAAGTTTGACTTAGTTAATGGACTGGCATATAAATTAAAATATTGCCCTAGCGTGAAACATATTCTGCATAATATTAAATAATGTTAAAACACAAGAAAAATAAATTTTAAATAAGTAAAATCACAGATATCTTCGAATAATGTTACCTTAATTTTCCATTGTAAATGTCTTACTTTATTGCTTGTGTCTCATGAATGTTTACAACTCTCAGATTTGTCTTTTTTAAGCTGTTAATATTATTTTCAGATACATATTTCTTGCCAGAAATTCCTGGCGAGGAAATATACAGGGCGACGTTTAAAGTGGTGGCAGGAGATGCATTCTCCACAGAACTGGCTGATCCCAGCACGAAGAAATTCAAAGACACGTCAAGAGATTACAAGGAAAGACTGAACTTACTATTCAGAAGAAGCATTATTAAGCATGGCTATAGAGGAACAGACGTCATAGCTTTAGATGGGTAAGAATTTGATCAGAAACAATTATTTATTGCGAAATTTATATTACAAAGGTACTAAAAATAATTATAAATAAGTTAAAATTCTACAGCGTTCTGAAAATGTTCTATATCAGGCTTCTGATTTGAGATTTTTACGCTTATAATTTTATATAGGTATTATATTTAATATTTTCTATTTTTATAGCACGGAAGACAAGGATCTGATAGTCCATTTTGACATTAAAATAGATCCATCCTACGTCAGCATTAAGGCTCAAAATTTAGAATCGATTTTAGCCAATGAAATTTCAGTAGAAGAGTCCCTGTACTTCAAAAACTTGACAATAGATCCCAAAAGTCTGGAAGTCAAACCAAGTGATGCCATTCCACAAGTCAGTAAAAAATAATTCTGTTCTATATTATATTTTGTGTAATATTTAATTATTATTTCTTGTGTTTGGACATAAAATAATAATTTATTTTAAGATGTACACTACTACAACAGCTGATCCAACTGTCCTACCTGACTCTATCGTAACTTTGTCACCTCATCTACCAAGATCATGCACTAACCTCCAGTTACCGTACTGTAATAAGCTGGATTACAATAAAACTACGTATCCAAACTTTCTGGGACACAAGAACATAAAGGAAGTAACAGATGACGTCATCGCTTTCAGGTAAGACCAAAAAATATCTTGTTATTAGTGAATTTTGAATCACAATTGGCAAGTGCTTAATTCGATTTTGTTACTTTTAAAGATCATCTTGGAGAAATCATTCAAAGTGATAAATGTAGGTTGATTACAGTTGAGGGTAGGAACCTTTGGTGTTTCAATAACAGCAAAATAAAACACTAATTTACCGTAATACACCCAAACACTTTACTTACTCTGTTGGCATCATCAGCAGACGATTAAAACTAAACTAATCTCTACAAATTGAGCTTTTGTATCTGCACTTAGTTGGCAAAAGCGTGGCAAAAAATAGCCAAGCGATAACAATATGTTGAGCAAAGCAAGATTTGTCCGGTCTACCATATCTTATCTGAGTTATATGTTCTTTAAATCTAGTTAATATTGATCTTCTAGTTTGCCCAGCATATTTCTGATTACAATCTTTACATAAATTACTGCACTTTGTGTGTACTTTAAAAATGTTACTGTGTAAATCCTGGTTAACATTTCCTTTCATTTTGTATAGGGAAATTGTGGACTCGGAATGCTACAGACATGCCTACGAATTTGTTTGTCAGCTGCTACAGCCGTCTTGTAGTAAAGGACACGAAGAAGATGAAATGATGCTGCCTTGTAGAGGATTTTGTAGAGAGTTTATTTCGGGATGTGGCAATAGACTGTCGGAGAAATTCAAGAGTTTGATAGACTGCAACAGGTTTCCAGAAGTTGGCAGTGGTGAATGGTGTTTACCTAAACCCGGTAAGAACTACTAAGCAATCAATAACGATTGAAATATTTTATTATCCTGATTTTGTGGCAATAAATTTAAGAAATTTAAGAAATATTTAGTTCCTGGGATCGAAATATACCATGTCTAGCCTTTTTCCTCTGGATCTCGAAATTTTCTAGGAATCGGGAAATTTCCTACGAGTTGGCATCACTGATGCCAAGTAATTCAATCATTTATTGTTTACTCTGTATCTCCAGTCCATAATATTTATTGATACTTTTTTCAGTGTATTTATGTTTTATTTTTTTAATTGTAACAGTTTTTTTGGAAAAATGTTTATTTCCTTTAAAACAATCAATCGTGAATATGATGAACACATCCATACGTAACCACTTTATTTTTTCTTTTTGAACTTTAGTTTTACTCTTTCGATATCTTTTTCTGTGCAAGTAATCTCCGAAAATCGATTTATTACACTCAAAACTATTGACAGTTCTGTGAAGCCTATTTACCTCACGATGTCTGTTATATATACGAGTAAAAAAAATATAAAATGACTTTTGTAGGAAATTCATCATAAAAGTGTGATAAAATCTGATAAGTTAGTCTGTAGGGGTCTAGCATATTGTTTGATTTTTGATAGTTATCGTTTTGTACTTTTTTTCGTTAAATAATAAAATTGTAATAGATAAAAATAAATAATTTTTAAATATTTTGTGTTCTCGCTGAAGTTGCTTCTTTGTCTGTAGAAAAAGTAATTCAAGAATTTTTTGAAGTTCAATATATTAAGTTCTAGTGGTCCAATTTTAATGATTTTTAATGCAATTTGTAGATAAATTATTTGATTTTGTAGCCGGATTTTTTGATTAAATTTTAATTTTTAACCTGATGGTAATAATTAATTTTTAACCTAATGCTAGTTGAATTTACTCATTTTGCTGAGAAATACGTATACGATAAGTCAGTTGGCATCACTGCTAGCAAGAAATAATAATAATAATAATAAGACTTTATAATGACAGTAGTAAAATTCATCGTTTTTTTATTTGACTCGCCCTGTATACCGGGTGCGTCTCAAAAGTGGCTCACCCCTATAACTTTTTTATTTTTTCAGATAAAAAAACGAGATTTGGTATGTTAGTATATGACATAAATTAGGATTGATTGGTGTATTCAATTATTTTTTGTCACTTCCTGTTTCACCCGAAATTACTACAACTTTTGATTTTTAAATAGCACCCTCGGTATTTTTTTACTTTATTCGATAAAAAATGAAATTCTGAATAGAATGTCATATCATATGTCAACTTTTGACATTCTAGCTTAATAAAAAATTGTACCATGGCTATGTTAAAAACACTAATTCTTCATCAAGGAGCCTTGGAAAAATATATTTGACGGTCTAATGTTTTTAGTGCCTTGTCCTGGCCAGTTAGAAAATGCTCAAATCGTATTTTTAATCATATCTCAATTTTTTCAAATGGAACAAGGATAGCTCATTAGCATATTCAGAAAAAGCATTTTTTACGAATAATTTGATACCACACACTTGGTACTTCAAGTCAAATTTTTGTTACGAACCGCAAGTTATAATTTCAAATAAACCATATGCGAAAATGTCAAAAGTTGACATATGATATGTCATTCTATTCAGAGTGACATTTTCTATCGAATAAAGTAAAAAATCTCGAGGGTGCCATTTAAAAATCAAAAGTTGTAGCCATTTCCGCTGAAACCGGAAGTGACCGAAAACAATTGAATACGTCAATCAGTCCTAATTTATGTCATATACTAACATACCAAATCTCGTTTTTTTAACTAAAAAAATAAAAAAGTTATAGGGGTGAGCCACTTTTGAGACTTACCCGGTATACAAAGCAGCATAGCTAATTTAAGCTTTTAAGGCCTCTGATATAATATGGTAGAGACACGTCTAAATTAAACTTAACTATTTTCTTTGCAATTATTAACATAACTAGTTACTTATTTACAACATGACATAATTAAACCGCATTATTCAGCTATTACTACTTAAGCAGTATAACTGTAAATCTATTTAATTTTTATCTCATTTTATAAAAAATGCAGTATCAACATTACTATTACTATTAAGAATGATAAACACTTATATTTTATTTTTATTTTATTTAAATTAAATGCAAAAAATAATGAGACTTTGAAAAACATTTTTTAAGGTTGTGTGGATGAACTGAAGTCTAAAGCTCTGTCCCCACGTATTTGTGACGGTGTCCTGGACTGTCCCGACCTTTCTGACGAAGTTTCTTGTACATACTGTCCACAAAACTACCTGCATTGCGGCGTGGGAAGGTCATGCATCAGACGTGAGCAACAATGCGATGGCAAAGAAGACTGTCCCGATGGCAGTGATGAACGAGGTTGCTGTATGTATAATTTTTCAAAAAAAAACTATAAAAACCTTGATTTTTCTTCTGTATTGCCCTTTCTACATTATAATATTCTTTTTCTATTGGTGTATTACAGTAAGTTTGATGCCCCACATGGAAAATACGAAGAAGAGTATTACCATGACACCACATCACATCAAATACCAAGAAAACGGTTATGTAACATTTAACGAAAAGGGTACTACAGGCAGATTATGTACCGAAAATCTCAACAGAACTCTGTCTCAAAATAAAACTGAAGAAGTACTGAGAACAGTCTCGGTGTCATTGTGCAGGTCTCTAAGTTACCAGTAAGTATATCTTCTTTGATGATCTATTATACAAATTGAGAATTTAAAAAGTACCAACATGTATTAGGGAATCATATACCTATAAGTCATGTTCATTGACCATCAAAACTTTTTCTATTACAGAGATGTCCAGTCTTACAATGTTGTCAAAGATACAGCTGATAATGTTCAGTACGTCAAAATTAGAGATCCTTTTGCGGATGATATATCTTTTCTTAAGACCAAATGTCATTCCAGACAGGTGCTGAAGGTGTCTTGTGAGGATTTAGGTAAAAAATCCAATTACGTATGATTTTAATATTTAATACTTTCGTTAAATTCGTTTTAAAAGCTTTGAATAAGCTGTTCTATTGGATGACGAATTATTTATTGTAATATTGTTATTTACCGTAATTTTCCAGAATGTGGAATACAAAGTACTCATACCAAAGCAACCAGGGTTTTGCCTAAAATGTCCACCCATGGTGACTGGCCTTGGCACTGTGCTCTATTCAAGGAAGAGGTTCACATCTGTGATGGTGTGCTCTTGTCATCAAACTGGATAGCCACTACAGTGTCCTGTTTCCAGGGTCAGCCCAAGGCGGAGTGGACTGCCAGATTTGGTGCCGTGAGACTTTCTAGTTCGTCACCATGGGAACAAGAAAGAAGAATCATAGGAATGGTAAGAATTTTCTATATGTATGTATGACATACATATCTTTTAGAGAATTTAAGAGGATTATTGAAAGAATAAAAGAGTTTCTATACAGGGTGTCCCAGAAATAAGTACAAATATTTTAACTGGTAGTATATTTCGGCCCTATATAGAAACACCTCTGTGAGTTTTTTTTGCGAAAAAAAATTGTTGAAAATTGTATATTTTTCTTGACATTTTCCGGGATGTTTTAAAAAACTTTTTAGTGCCACTTGTTTATTCGCCTGAGATTTCTCTATGGTGTATTTACAGTTTGCATTGTTGCCACCTCTTACATTATCCATATTCAACATATTAGAGTATTAATTCTAATCATATCAGTTTATTACTAACAATTCTAGAAACAAATCACATTCATTATTTTTGCGCATAATTTATCTTTATATTTATTTTTAACTACATATACTTAAAAAAAATACCTAGTAGTTTCAATAAAAAACAAATATTCTTTTAAATATTTCGTTTGTACTTAACCCTTTCAATGAGAACCAAACTGGGTAAAATTATTCTTATGAGTTTTACTAAAGTTCCCATGGTTAAATCGCAAAATATCTTTATTTAGAACTAAATTTAATAAAACAATTCACCATATTATTCATACTGAGATCACATAAAAGAAAATACCAACTTGTTTATCGGAATTCACTATTCGAAACATCAATCTTACGAATATCTTAGTTAAGAATCGATGTTACTTTTTGTTTGATGTTGTAGGTAACCAAAACCCTTCGGGTAATGTGTAGTTTTGCGATTTGTTTGGGACACCCTGTATAAGACCTGTCTATTCCTTCTTTTGTTAGTGCTTCTATTATTAGGTCTTAGGATATACAGGGTGTCCCAGAAATAAGTGCAAATATTTTAGCTGGGAGTATATTTCGGCCTCAGAAACACACCTATGAGATATTTTTAGCGAAATTTTTTTTTGAAAATTTGGATTTTTTTTTAGTTTTAAGTTAAAAAACATGATCTCTTGATAATATGGCAACATAGGTAGTAGCTTAAATTTACATGAAAGAAAATCCAGAAAAGATCCAGTGGTTCTCAAAATTTTAGCAAAAAATCATTTTTTTGGTAATTTTTTAAAAGATTTGTTTTCAAGAGATAAAATGAAAAACTACTTTTCCTATTTCCTATTTCTCAGACTTGGTACTGTAGTTTATAAAAAAATTATTAGGCAGAAACCTGTCGTTGGAATTTGCCGTAATCTCTTTTATAGCAATCCATATATCTACAAGTTATCGTAAAATAAAAGAAAGAACTACTTCTTCGTTTTTCTTGATAGAATAATAAATACATATTAATAAATATATTATTTATTATTGTAGGTAAAAACTATTGTAGGTAAATTAAATAAAAGTAAACTGATATAAATTTAAACAAAGTCTATAAACTAATTTCGATTTTGAAAATAGTTACTAACTGTCACTAGAAAATAGCCATGGCGATACCAGCTATCTTGATTGCCATTTTATTTAAAAATCGCTTTTTATTCAAAATCTGAGATAGATAGGTATAGGAAACCCTAATATAGTTTGAAAGAGCAATTGAATCTGCTTCGATTTATTTAAAAAAATAGAGGGTGTTGCATTTGAAATAACAAAGTTTTTATGTAAAATAAATCCGTAAAATAGATCACCAATTTTTGGTACCCCTGTATAAATTTAAGGAAGCAATTACATTTTTCAGTAAAGTTTATTTCTTTACCTTTAAACTCAGCACAAGAATTAATTGTGAAAAGTAATGTACAGGGTGTTAATAGTAAATTCTTTTGTAGCATGCATATTTAAATATAAAATGAAATAAAATTTCGGGTGTGTTACATAAGAAAAAATATAACTTCTGTATGTAAATATAACTTCTGTATTCTGTATCTTAGTTCTGAGAAACCCTGTATATTTCAAAATAATTTTAAATTGTGCACATTGCCTCCCCACATATACCCATAAAATATTTTGTATCTACATCTTTCCGTTTTCGTATAATCAACCGAGGCGAATGAGGTGCGCCACCCTGTATATGAACTGTTTAGTGTTTACCTTAAAAATTATTAAAAATCATTTATTTCAGAAGTTTACTTCATTTCAACAACTATTAGCCAAATAAACCATTTTTTATTTACCATTTCTTGGATTTTTTTTTCAATCTAACTACAATTTTATTCTTTCTAGGTTAAGTCTCCAGTAGAGGGCAGTACCGTAGCCTTGGTACGACTGGACCAGCCAATATCTTTCAACGATTTCGTCCGTCCAATCTGCATTCCTCAGGAAAATCTTGGACTGTCGCCAACGATCCAATGTAACACTCTGGGCTGGGCTAAGAACAGGGAACAAATGCAACGGGTCCAAGTAAAAATAACTGACAAAGAAAAATGCGAGAACGTCAGTATATCGAGTGTTAACAGTGTTTGCACTGAAACACTACATGGAATGGATGATTGTAGTGTAAGTATAACATTTTGGACCAAGCTAAAGGTTTTACTAGATATTTTCGTTTTTGGAAAAATGTTAAGTATGTCAAAAACATTACATTTTAGTTATATGCTTCTTTTTAATGAAACTCACCTTAATTTTTTATTAGAATCCAAAAATCAGTTAATGTATAGGGTGTTCCATTACAAAAAAAAAATTAGTGTGCAACTTTTTTGGATATACCCTGTAGAGTTCTGTATCTATACTAATATATAAAATCCTTAAGTGACTGACTCACTGATTAATCACGATCCTGCTCAAACCACTCAGCGTAAGAAGCTCAATTTTGACATACTGGTTGATTCTAGGGTGTAGAGGTTCGATAAGAAGGGATTTTTCGAAATTCCAGTTTCAAATATTACAATATTTTTTATCTAAAAAACGGTCAAGTTTCCGAAAAAACGCTTAAATACGTATATTTTATTTTGTTTTTTTTACATATTTTAAGATTTTTTGAAAATGTATACAGGGTGTTTCGAAAAATCTGGTCATTGATTAATCACGATCCTGCTAAAAGCGCTTGACGTAAAAAGCTGATTTTTGGAAAACGGATTGACTTTAGGGTGTAGAGGTTCGATAAGAAGGGATTTGTCGAAACTCGAATTCTAAGAGGGTGAAACTGTCCCTCAAATATTAAAATATTTTTATTTTATAAACCGGTGAGTTTTTCGGAAAAACTCTTAAACACGTATATTTTATTTTGTTGTTTTACATATTTTAAGATTTTTTATAAATTTATTCAGGGTGTTTCATAAAATATAATCCATTGAGTAATCACGATTCTGCTTAAACTGCTTCACGTTTAAAGCTGATTTTTCGCAAACGGATTGACTGTGGGGTGTAGAGGTTCGATAAGGAGGAGTTTCTCGAATCTCAAATTCCAAGAGGGTGAAAACGCCCCTCAAATATTACAATATTTGTTATTTAAAAAACGGTTAGTCTTTCGGGAAAACGCTTGGACAAGCATAATTTATTTGTTTTTTACATATTTTGAAATTTTTTAAAAAATCATACAGGTTGTTCCCAGTTGGGTAATTTCTTAACCACGATTCTGCTTAAAGTGCTTGACGTAAAAAGCTTATTTTTGGCAAACGGATTTTTCGAAAGTCAAATTCCAACGAGATGAAACTACCCCTCAAATATTACCAAGTTATATAAAAATATCGCCATATTTTTTTTCTCATGCTGACATAAATGTGAGAAAATTTTATCCAGTTTGTATGTTAATGGAAATTCTTGCTTTGCTCTATCATCACCATTACAAATGATTAATTCGACGCGAACGAAGTCGCTGGTACACGCTAGTATTTTTATAAAATACAAAGCTGTCGTTCTCCTAGTGGCTTTCGCGGTATATAGGCACCACCCTGTATGTTACATCTATATACCGGGTGTTTCTCAAAAGTGGGTTCAACCCTATAACTTTTTATTTTTTTTTACATAAAAAACGAGATTTGTTGTGCTAGTATATGACATAAATTAGGATTGATTGACGTACATATTCACTTGTTTTCGGTCACTTCCTGTTTCACCGGAAATGACTAAAATTTCTGATTTTTAAATGGCACCTTCGGTATTTTTTATTTTATTAGATAGAAAAGGAAATGTGAATGGAATGAAATATCATATTATGTCAATTTAGAGTGCCAGGGCTGTGTTAAAATCACTAATTTTTAATCAAGGTGCCTTGTCATGGTCGATTAAAAGATGCCCAAATCGTGTTTTTAATCATATCTCAATTTTTTCAAATGGAACGAGAATGGCTTAGTTGGAAAAAGCATTTTTTACGAATAATTTTGTACCACACACTTGGTATTTCGAGTCAAATTCTCGTTATGGACCGCATGTTACAATTTCAAATAAACCATATATGCGAAAACGTCAAAAGTTGACATATGATCTGCCATTCTATACAGAGTGTCATCATTTTCTATCGAATAAAGTAAAAAAAATACCGAGGGTGTCATCACACAGTCACATACATCGTCAGATATTTTTTTAACACAATATATTCTCTTTTTTTGAGAACAGGAAGAAGAGTTTGCTGGTAGTTCTATGGTATGCAAGATGCCCAATTCTGACAGATGGACCTTGGTAGGAATAACCAATTGGCGAATAGCGTGTGCGAAAAACGGCATGGGCAGACCCAGGATGTACGATAAGATATCCTCCAATGTAGATTGGATCAGAGAAACAATCACTAGTTCAAACAATACCTAGAAAATTCACATCACTTTAAGAAAAATGAATAAAGAAATTAGTGCCAAAATTTTTTGACTTGCTGAGGATGAATTTGTGATAGAAAAAGTGCAGAACAATTTAGTGAACATTGATTTAAATGAACAATACGATGATATGAGTAAAGTGTCCAGATTTTGAGTCAGCCAATGACAAAAATCAAACCGCGGATATATTTTTCAAGAATATTGCTGGCATATGATGTCATTTTTACATGAGTTTGAATAGGAGTTTGAATATAAGTATTTTTTAGTTGAAAAAAACTAAAAACTTCAAAAATACAATGGAAACATTAAGATAATCATTCTGCCAAAACTCTCAAGATTATCTCTCTCTTCCTTTTTAATACAGGGTAGGTCTTAAATAAGTGCAAATACTTTCAGGGTGAAGAAATACGATTATGTTTTTTTTTCGCGAAAAATAACTTTTTAGAATCTTTTTGTTAAAAACATAATTTCTTGATAATATGGCAACATAGGTAGTAGATTAAATTAACAAGAAATATAACCCAGAAAAGACCCAGTGGTTCTTATAATTTAAACAAAAATATATTTTTTGGAAATTTAAGTTATTTTGGATTTATATAAACCATATAACAGACCATAAACCATAACAGACTCCGTCATACTACATTTTGTAATTACGTTAGAATCAAGAGACCTACTTGTTTCTTTTGAGTTGTGCTCATTCGTTTGATTTATTTAAATAGAATAAAACAATAATAATGTAGATAGAATATTGTTAACAATTAAATAGATTTATATATAAACAAGATAAATTTTTAATAAAATTATTCGTAATAAATTTGTTTTAAAAATAAATCCTATGAGTTTTATTTATTTTTAAACAAAAAAAATAGTAGGTACCTATAATTTTTTCGAATTTTTTTTTATGGATATATAAAATTTAAACAATAGTATATTGTTTTATTAGGAGTAAAAGTGACGAGGCTGCACGCTTGACGTGACGGACATACAGGCGAGCCACAAAAAGTCATTTTTACTCCGAATAGAACATGCTATTTTTTTTCAAACGCCACAAATACTTTTTTAAACAATTTCAAACGTTTCAAATAATATAAAAAGGTTTAAAAAGTAATACCTGGTAATACCTTGTACGTAATTATGTACCGAGAAACTATGGTTACGCTCGTTGAATTTGACACTTCATGTCAGTTTGAAAAAAAACTTTTTTTCAATCGTATTAATTTTTGCGACGTGATTGACAATATAAAAACGTCATTTTAACGCCTAGGCATAAAAGTTAATCAGAAAAGTACGAAAATATATTATTAAAGTGACAGAAAGTGTCAAATTCAACGAGTGTAACCATAGTTTCTCGATATAATTACTTAAAAGGTATTACTTTTAAGTTTTTTGTATTATTTGCAAAAATTGAAATTTTTCAAAATTTTTATTTGCAAAAATTGAAATTCATGTTCCTAACAAAGATATTTAAACTCGAGTTTAAATATCTTTGGGAGTAAAAATGACGTTTTGTGCCTCGTCTGTATGTCAAACGTACAGCCTCGCTACAGAAAGTATCATTTTTACTCCTAATAAAACAATACCGGGTGCGTCTCAAAAGTGGCTCACCCCTATAACTTTCTTATTTTTTCAGATAAAACAACGAGATTTGGTATGTTAGTATATGACATAAATTGGGATTGATTGGCGTATTCAATTGTTTTTGGTCACTTCCGGTTTCATCGGAAATGACTATAACTTTTGATTTTTAAATGGCACCCTTGGTATTTTTTTACTTTATTCGATAGAAAATGACACTCTGAATCGAATGACATATCATATGTCAATTTTCGACATAGTCACTAAAAAACAAATTGTATTTTAAATTTCAATATAGAGTGTCATGGCTGTGTTAAAAACACTAATTTTTAATCAAGGAGCCTTGGAAAAATAGATTTGATCGTCTAATGTTTTTAGTGTCTTGTCCTGGCCGGTTAAAAGATGCCCAAACCGTATTTTTAATCATATCTCAATTTTTTCAAATGGAACAAAGGTGGCTCATTAGCATATTTAGGTACGAGGCATATATATGGTACGAGGCTGGCTCAGCATATTTGGAAAAAGCATTTTTTACGAATAATTTTATACCACACACTTGGTATTTCGGGTAAAATTGTCGTTATGAACCGCATGTTACCATTTCAATACACCATATGCGAATATGTCAAAAGTTGACATATGATATGTCATTTTATTCAGGGTGTCATTTTCTATCGAATAAAGTAAAAAAATACCGAGGGCGCCATTTAAAAATCAAAAGTTGTAGTAATTTCCGATGAAACCGGAAGTGACCGAAAACAATTGAATACGTCAATCAATCCCAATTTATGTCATATACTAACATAGCAAATCTCGTTTTTTTGTCTGAAAAAATAAAAAAGTTATAGGGGTGAGCCACTTTTGAGACGCCCCCGGTATACTATTATCTTAAATCTTTTGGATAAAGTGCTTGTAATAGTAGTGCTTATAAGGTACTATAATTATAAGTAAAATATAAGGGCAACACAACTTATAACTTATGTATAAACCGTTAGTTTTATGAGTGCATACTTATGAAAAGTACTTGAAATTATACTCGAACTAATAAGTCAATATAAAAGCCAAAAGTTCTTTATTCTAAAAATAACAAGTTCTGAAATTTTCAGAAAATGATTAGTTAATTTTTACAAAAACTACAAAAAAAAATGGCGCCGGGAGGCACGTATAGCCGCCCATACTAAAATATGTTAATATCTCGAAAACTGCGACTTTGACTGATTTTGATGTTATTACAAATTTTGTTGCAAATATTATTCCTAATCTTAATTTGAAAACCGCGTTTCGCTAGCTACTGTAATTTTGGAGTTACGATTTTTTAAAATTTTTAACCCCCTCCCATAGGGGGTATCAAAAACTAATGGCCAGATTCTCGGGTACCACAGTATTTTTGTGTCAAATTTGGTTAAAATCGGTTCAGCGGTTTTTGAGTTATCGTGTTACAGACGAACAGACGAACGGACAGACGGACGGACAGACAGACAGACAGACACCATGAAAATATTTTGTATTTAGGTCATTTATGACCCAAATAACTCATTTTGAGTGAAATTAAAAAAACTTTTTTTGCCGATCCTAATAGTCTACCATACCTATTGGTATGGTCAGCTAAAAAGTCTAGTTAACGGCACCTAAATATGGAATAGGTATCCAAAATATGGACCACTATAAAACAAACACTTCAAACTAATCAAAACGTGTATCAGATTTTTGTATTAAACACATTCAGACAAGGAAAGAGCCCTAAAACAATCAAACAAACATGTAATCAATGCATTGTCACAATATAATACCGTATGATCGAGAAAAACGGCGTCAGCGATGGCTATGGAATGAAGATCGCTGTCATTTTATATGTAAATTTATATGGGAAATGTCATCGATGTTCATTTCCCAGCCAACTGGATGCCGTTTTTTTTCGATCATACGGTATATATATAATATTATTTGCAATTACCGTATCAAGAAATACTTACTTTCTGAGTACCAAGGGTAAATTTCACTAAAAAAGCAGCAAAATAAGCGTTCGGCATTTAACGTTTTATGTAAAACTGGCTAGGTATTTTTACAAAAATAAAGAATGAAATTAAAGATAAAGGATACGGTATTCTTTATTAGGGATACTGTACCCCCATTTCATTACTTTATTTAAAATTCTACTACTACTCTCTTTTTTTGGATTGAATTAAAATCTTTATTTTTTAAAACGCAACCAATATTTTTCGTATAAATGAAATAGGCATGTAAGTTGCATTCCGGACTACTTTTTGAGACAAAGGGATTAAATGATGATAAGTAGTTTGCTTGGAATATTTACTTAATCTAATCGAAAATAACAATGAAATAATTAATAATAATAGTGTGTTCGGAATTTTTATTTAATTTTATCATAAATATATTAAAAATGTCTCATCATAGAATGTCTCTAAAGTGATCTGATGCTGTTAAATCTGGCATTTATTTTTTTCAAGTTATTATCAGTTTTTTGTCTTTTTTTGACATTCTTAATTGTTTTTTGAAACTTCTTTGCCATTTTGAGTTTTTGTTCATTTTTTTTTAAGTTTTTCTTAACAAACTGCAATTTTTGTTACTCCACGAGCTTCAGCTTTTCCGTGTTGGTTTAACATACAGGGTGTGTCTTAAATAAGTGCAAATATTTTTAAGGGGAGTATATTTCGACCCCAGAATTTCATACATTGACAGACATATTTGTTCCATGATCTCTCTATATCCAATATATCTCTAACTATTATTGATTCTTTTAGACTCTGTTTTGGAGGACAAATTTAGTAGAGTCACATCCATAGTCTCTAAGTTGGAAGTTAAAACTGTTAAAAGTTAAATTGTTTTGATTAGATACCTTTTTCTTGCATATTTCTTTTTATTTTGTATCTAATGGCAATATTGTTCCTATTTTGGTTAGGCGCAGAATTCCAGTAAGGTTCTACTAGACAAGAAGAGATAGCAATGAGTATCTTACATACATAAGTTCTGTTTTGTGTGACTTTTTATTAATCTTTACAATAAATATTATAATTACAAATACGTGTTTTATTAAATTTATTAATATTTACTAACGCTTTATGAATTTTGCAAAAGTAATTGTAAATTCGCTATAATAAAGTGTTTTAATTTGTTGTTACTCTATAGGAACAGTACAAGAAATTTGCGATTTTAAAAATGATAAATTTACAATGAATAAGTTAAATTTACTATGAGTACACATTTTTTACATAAATGCCCTAAGAATATCTATACTAATATATAAAATCCCTAAGTGACTGACTCACTCACTGATTAATCGCGATCCTGCTCAAACCACTCAACGTAAAAAGCTCAATTTTGGCATACAGGTTGATTCTAGGGAGTAGATGTTCGTTAAGAAGGGATTTTTCGAAATTCCAGTTGCAAGGGGGCGAAACCACCCCTCAAATATTACAATATTTTTTATTTAAAAAACGGTCAAGTTTCCGAAAAAACGCTTAAACACGTATATTTTATTTTGTTTATTTACATATTTTAAGATTTTTAAAAATGTATACAGGTTGTTTCGAAAAATCTGGTCATTGATTAATCACGATCCTGCTTAAAGCGCTTGACGTAAAAAGCTGATTTTTAGAAAACGGATTGACTTTAGGGTGTAGAGGTTTGATAAGAAGGGATTTTTCAAAACTCGAATTCTAAGGGGGTGAAACTACCCCTCAAATAATAGAATATTTTTTATTTAAAAACCGGTGAGTTTTTCGGAAAAACTCTTAAACACGTATATTTTATTTTGTTGGTTTACATATTTTAAGATTTTTTAAAAATTTATAAAGGGTGTTTCATAAAATATGACCATTGAGTAATCACGACTCTGCTTAAACTGCTTGGCGTTTAAAGCTGATTTTTGGCAAACGGATTGACTGTGGGGTGTAGAGGTTCGATAAAGATGGGTTTCTCGAATCTCAAATTCCAAGAGGTTAAAAACGCCCCTCAAATATTACAATAAATGATATTTAAAAAACGGTTAGTCTTTCGGGAGGACGCTTGGACACGCATAATTTATTTTGATTTTTTTTACATATATGAAAATTTTTTAAAAAATCATACAGGATGTTCCAAAAAGTTGGGCAATTGAGTAACCACGATTCTGCTTAAACTGCTTGACGTAAAAAGCTTATTTTAGACAAACGGTTTTTTCGAAAGTCGAATTCCAACGAGACGAAACTACTCTCAAATATTACCAAGTTATATAATAATATCGCCATAATGTTTTTTTCTCGTGCTGATATAAATGTGAGAAAATTTTATCCAGTTTGTATGATAATGGAAATTCTTGCTTTGCTTTATCATCACCATTACAAATGATTAATTCGACGTGAACGAAGTCGCGTGTACACGCTAGTTGGTGAATATAAAGATAATATTATAACATATTTACATACATGCCACAAATTACACATTCACAAATTAATTTTTTCAGAGTACCCTGTACAATTGATAGAAATCCTTAATAAAACAAGGTCCAAAACTCTCAGTGAATCAAAACAGAACACACGTAGACCTACTCTCGATTAATCTTTCCGAGATTATAAAGGATTAGATAAAGTCAACCTGAGACTCTTTATCACCATTATGCTCATTCCAACACGACCAGTGATCCCGAAACCGCTCACCGCGCAACCAACCACCCGACCTAACTTTGTTCCGATCACACGGTGATGAGTCTGTGATGGGTGGAGGCTGCTCCAAGAAGCCCGATCGCGAACGTTTCCGACGTCCAAGAGACTCGAGTGCCTCAGACAGTGTCGCCATGACTCAGCTCAAGGACGTGGAGTTCAGTGGTAGTGAGATTCGTGTGGAGTCGATTCACAAGGATGATCTGATCACGGTGGGGTTGATTAAGAAGGAGTTGCACGAGAACGCGCCTGTTTTTGTGTTGAACAATGCTTTTATGGCGATGCAGTTTTTGCTGATCACAAAGAGTATGTATCTTTTTTAAATTCTGTATTTTTGTACGGGTGATGTCTTAAAAAAGTTCAAATATTTTAATTATTGGTACTTAAATTTTCTAGACGGTCCGGCAATAGTGCGTCAAGCATTTGTAGCTCCTAGAATAAAAAGAACTTAGAGGAATTAACTTTACTAAAAAATGTGATTGCTCTACTTTACTGAAAATGGTGATGTATACAGGGGTATCAAAAACTGCTGGTCTATTTTAAATATTTTTGTAGACGGTATGTTGACGTTAAATCTTTTCCTGAAATACATCCTGGTATATACTTTAAGCTTGCACCGCTTACACTTGCTACAGGCTACAGATGCCCAACGCACTATTGCCGCATCCTGTATAATATGCCTTTATAGCTTTATGTTTTATTAAAATAGCTTTTTTTTCAAAAATATATATTTACTAGTGTGTACCCGCGACTTCGTTCTCGTCGAATTAATCATTTGTAATGGTGATGATAAAGCAAAGCAAGAATTTCCATTAACATACAAACTAAGATAAAATTTTCTTACATTTATGTCAGCATGAAAAAAAACAATATGGCGATATTATTATATAACTTGGTATAATATTTGAGGTGTAGTTTCATCTCGTTGGAATTTGACTTTCGAAAAATCCGTTTGCCAAAAATAAGCTTTTTACGTCAAGCAGTTTAAGCAGAATCGTGGTTAATCAATTACCCAACTTTTTGCAACACCCTGTATGTTTTTTTAAAAAATTTCAAAATATGTAAAAAAACAAAATCAATTATGCGTGTCCGAGTGCGTGTCCAAGTGTTTTCCCGAAAGGCTCACCGTATTTAAATAACAAATTTTTTTTATTTTTTCACCCGCTTGGAATTTGAAATTCGAAAAACCCCTCCTTATCGAACCTCTACACCCTACAGTCAATCCGTTTTCCAAAAATCAGCTTTAAACGTCAAGCAGTTTAAGTAGAATCGTGATTACTCAATGGTTATATTTTATGAAACACCCTGTATAAATTTTTAAAAAATCTTAAAATATGTAAAACAACAAAATAAAATATACATGTTTAAGAGTTTTTCCGAAAAACTCACCGGTTTTTAAATAAAAAATATTCTAATATTTGAGGGGTTGTTTCGACCCCTTAGAATTCGAGTTTCGAAAAATCCCTTCTTATCGAACCTCTACACCCTAAAGTCAAACCGTTTTCCAAAAATCAGCTTTTTACGTCAAGCGCTTTAAGCAGGATCGTGATTAATCAATGACCCAATATTTCGAAATACCCTGTATAAATTTTTTAAAAATCTTAAAATATGAAAAAAATAAAATAAAATATACGTGTTTAAGCGTTTTTTCGGAAACTTGACCGTTTTTAAATAAAAAATATTCTAATATTTGAGGGGCCGTTTCACCCCTTAGAATTCGAGTTTCGAAAAAATCCCTTCTTATCGAACCTCTACACCCTAAAGTCAATCCGTTTTCCAAAAATCAGCTTTTTACGTCAAGCGCTTTAAGCAGGATCGTGATTAATCAATGACCAGATTTTTGGAAACACCCTGTATACATTTTTAAAAAAATCTTAAAATATGTAAAAAAGAAAATAAAATATACGTGTTTAAGCGTTTTTTCGGAAACTTGACCGTTTTTTAAATAAAAAATATTGTAATATTCCACCCCCTTTTTACCCCCTTAGGGGATGAATTTTAAAAAATCCTTTCTTATCTTACGTAAACATCATAAAAGGAACCTCTGTGCAAAATTTCAGCTTTCTATGGTCACGGGTTTGGTCTGGGCGTTGATGAGTCAGTGATGAATGAATCAGGACTTACAGATTTATATATATATATATATATATATATATATATATATATATATATATATATATATATATATATATATATATATATATATATATATATATATATAGATTTCATAAAACTGTGTAGATTTTTTAGCCGATTATAAAAAACATATTTAAGTCAATTTAAAAAATTAAATATTTTCTGTCTTTGTTAGTTGTTAGCCAAAATCTTCTTACATTTCCCTCATACACTAATAATGTAGTCATATTTATTTATAAAATATGGTATAATACAGAGAAAATCGTATTTACAATACTACAATAGACATATCATATAAGACTTTTTGACAGAAAATGATTAATAATAAAATTCTGTGATTAGATTACTTAAATAAGATATCCAGTAAAACACTTGAAACCAGAGATGATCCCAGGATTTTTTTTCAATAAAAAAGTACACACTAAATGATTTATTAAGAAACAATGCTATATTACGTTTACAATTTTTTTAAATTTTTATCTGTAACAATTTTAGCACTAAAAATTATTTGTGTGATATGTAAAAAAATAGATATTATTTTCAAGCAGGATTTTAACTCTTGGACTGTTTGATCCATATCATCAAGGATTATTTTGTATAAGCTTATTCAAATAAAATAATATAAGGTTTTACCAGTTCAAATAAAGTAAAAGCATTTTAAGTTAACGTCTCCTTTTTGCTGCTGAGGCTAATCTGGAGGGAGCCTACTTGGTTTACGCGGAATCGGTACCGCGATCTACTACTATCCTACCGTCTTGGCGAGTGTCTAAATCAGCTCTTAAGGTACGCGCTAGAGATGGGCAAAAGTATCCGGTTTTTTGAATAACCGGTATTTTCCTCTAAAATAACCGGTTATTTAAAGGTAGTTTTTTTTTCACCAGTTAACCTAATAATAATTTCACCAGTTAACCTAATAATAACCTTGCATTACGTTCAATAACCTATAGCCGGTTATTTTTTAAAAAATCGTACTTGTTTAAAATAAGTAACAATTAAATATTAGCTGTTTGAATCGTAAATTTCGAAGAAGCGAACGGCACGGATCTTCCAGATATTACGACGATAACGGGAGATCCCGCTCCCGCTCCCAAAACGAAAATATATGACATCAAACATAAAATGTCAAAATTAAATCAGGCATCAGGCGAACCCTGATGATAATAATCAAAACAACGGCCGAATGGCCCTGACAGGTCAGGCCGTAAAACAAAGTACTAATGGCATAGACTACTACTAGCCACCAGCTAGCCAAGTGATACGAACCTAACTTCATATAGATTCTCTAAATTCTATATTTAAATTTTAACCGACTTTAACGGATTTTCAACGGTTCTTCAAAAGTTTTCCATGGTTTCGCCCAGTTTTACCCACGTTTCACCGTAAATATATTTTATTTGTAGTTTGAAGTCTCTCTTGAAGCTTAGACTAAAGAATACAAAATTGAAGTTCAAGTAATGAATGAAGATAATCTTTCATTATCTATTCATTCAGTCTCCTTATTTTTCTTTGGTATTTGATTAAAATAACTTGGTTGTAGATTGTAGAACTTGTGAGTTGTGTGGTTTATTTGAACGTTAAGTAATTACTAGTTTTAATATCATATCCATGTCTACTCAAAAAAAGTGAGGTTAGCATTTTTATTTAAATTCATTTTGTACATATACATACTTACATTGCTACAATCTCTATTTAATCATGCGATTTAACTAAGTTTATTATCTAAATTTGAAGTAGACCTATGGAGTGTAGAGGTAAGTAAACCTATAGGAAAACTAAATATTTAGTTTTGCTAGGTTAGGTTATTTGAATAACCGGTTAATTTGTGTCGGTTAATTTTGTCAAGTTATTATTTTTTAAAGATAATTCCGGTTAACCTATAACCGGTTTTTTACCAATAACCGCCCATCTCTAGTACGCGCACATTGACCAGAGCCGCACTCGCCGCACGCGCCGCACGAATCGCACTTTTTTTTTGTCGCGCACACCGACCCGAGCCGCACTCGCCACATTATTCGCTATTTTGTTTCTTTTTGCCCCTACTACACCCGTATTTGCCAATCGAATTTCTCATCAGTCGCTTCCGGAGTCCTGTCTGTGGTGATAAGCATGTTTTTTTTTAATATTTCTCGACAATAAATGACAACGAACAAGAAATAATTATGAGCTCCTTTCTAATAGAAGAAGAAGAAATCGCGAGAAAGAATCGAAAGTTATAGGCTCACAATATTGGCAAAAATCCACATTATTTCCATATTTAATTGAGGATGAACTAAAAAATTTTTAATATTTCAATATGAGTCATGAAAAATTTGCGAACTTTCTTAGCATATTGAATTTCTAATCTCCTCTTCGGCTACCTACGCTACGTAGAGTGGAAGGAATTGCGTGTGACGCAGCACTAGCCGCATTTACCGAAAATCATTCTGGCCCAACAATGCTGGCCGCATTTTCGTCGATGCGATTCGTGCGGCTCTGGCTAGTGTGCGCACCTTTATTGAAAGTAACAAAAACAATATTTTTCTTAGGTCGATGCAGCGCGTGCGGCTCTGGTCAGTGTGCGCGTACCTTTAGGGTACGTCCATAGTGAACCGGCTTCTCGCTTTTTCGCGGCAGACTAACGGTAAAAATAGAGGAACAGGCGTGGCCATAGTGCGTCAGTGAGCCAGCATCTAATTTTCTTTCATTTTGTTTCAGCATAATAACCAAGATGAGACAAGCAGCTGCAAGCCCACAAGAAAAGGAAATGAACAAAACTCTACTCAAGGATGAAACAGTGGAATGCACGTACCCAGACACTATTCTAGATGAAGTGAATAAAAATATAGTGTATAGACCAGTAGAAGAGAACAGTATAGGTGAAAATTTGTTGGCCAAAAGGATATACGTCATCAATGACCTCATTGAAGTGGTCAAGTCCAAGGAAATACCGCAGTATACCTCGATTGATAAGCCTTGTTATCAAGTTAGGATAGAGGAAAGTGATAGGAAAGGTAATAGAACGTTTTTTACTTGGGTTATTATCTACATATTTGGATTTTTGTCTGATTGTTCTTACATAAATCTTAAAGGAAAATCTTCGATTTTCGACAAAGCGGAGTCAATGAAGCGATAGCCATACCTACATTACTAACTTGGCTATAGCTTCTTTGGATATTTATTTTTTTATCCAGGACCCCACATAACATAAACAAAAGAGGTACCCTGTATATCTAATTTAGCAATTTGTATTGACTAATACAAATCTACTAAATAACTTGAATTGTTTGATGCTTGCGTGACTTCATATTCTTTTATTAAGTTGGATTTATCATATTATTTCGGATTAAAAATGACTGTTGTTTTATTTATTTATCTATACACTAGGAGGTTGATTTTTTGAATATTTTTTTTGATAAAAACGCTGCTGTTCTCTGATTAATGAAAGTGATGATATTTTGAATAATTTTCTTATAGAAAACAATGCCAGATTAAGTAGTACTACGTTTATTTTAATCTCCATTTTTGTTTTAATCCCGTTGTTCAATTTTTCCTAATTTATCGTATAAATATCGTCTATAATAATTGTTTAGATAAATAAAGAGATAATACTTTGCGTAATTCTTTATTCGGCGCTTATTGCAATGGCATTTTCATTTTGGGAAAAAATACTATTCTAGAATAATTACTTATAGTCAGATTAGTGATCAGGTAACCACGTGAAATACGTACAATAGAAAAAAATTGACCTTTTCCATCTAATTCTCAGTTTACTCCTCCTTCTCTTTCCACCTAGTTCACGTTTCATTATCATACTAGGAATTCTTGCTTCAGCCATTCTTTCACTGTGTCCCAGCCATCTCAGTCTTTGTGCTCTTGCTACTCCCGTTATTTAGAATTTTTTTTTAGAATTTAGAATGAGTGGGAGGGGGGTTAATCACTTCGACCTTACAGATCCATTGTGTCCCCCTTTCTTGAATCATAACTCATCATACAGTCCCAGGGCTTTGACAAAAGCCAGTATCTGGGACGGTTTTATAGAGGGTAGTTCTCCATCTCCAATATCAGTCGTACCAAACTTCATGGCATGAATGGCTGTCGTCTCGGCTCACTCAGTGATGAGGTGTACTGGTGTTTCACCATCTTCCCCACAGAATCTGCATTCGCCGTTTCTTCTTAGTTTCAATCTACTGAGGTGTTCATTGAGGAGACAGTGTCCTGTTAAAAACCCCGTGACAATCCGAAGATTGTTCTTACTCAGACCCAGGAAGATCTGTGATTTTTCTTGATCATAAGCCCTCAGAAACTTCTTCGAGTGTCTTAGACAATTGCAAGATTTCCATTCCAGGTTGCGGATGGAATCTTCCAAGTTCTTGAGTTCCGCCTTGAGTTGGTTACCACTTGGAAAGCAGAACGGTTCTGGTCCAGTTAGTGGAGTGTTCGCTCCTTTCCTAGCTAGATTATTTGCTTATTCATTGCCTTCTATCCCTTGGTGAGCAGGCACCCAGTGTAGGAGGACTTTGTTTTCTTTGCCTAATCTATTCAGCTTCTCTATGCATTCTTTGACCAATTTCGAATTGATTGATACTGAGTTGATCGCCTTTAACGCTGCTTGACTATCAGATAAGATGGCTATTTCTTGTTTCCGATAGTTCCTATCTAAGATAAGTTGTACGCATCTCTCGATAGCGTAGATTTCTGCCTGTAGGATACTAGGGTAAGTGCCCATTGGTTCAGAGTAATTAGCTCTCGGCCCAAACACTCCGATCCCTGTTCCCGTATTGGTTTTGGAAGCATCAGTATACCAAGTTATGGTATGGTCTTTTAACTGCTGGGCAAGCGTTTCGCTCTTCCAATCCTTCTTAGTGATCAGGTAACCACGCGAAATACGTACAATAGAAAAAAATTGACCTTTTCCATCTAATTCTCAGTTTACTCCTCCTTCTCTTTCCACCTAGTTCACGTTTCATTATCATACTAGGAATTCTAGCTTCAGCCATTCTTTCACTGTGTCCCAGCCATCTCAGTCTTTGTGCTCTTGCTACTCCCATTATACTCGGTGCCCGATCTTCATTTGTTCTTCTGGTCCATATGTTGTCTATCTTCTTTCCTCCAAAAATCTTCCTCAGTATTTTTATTTCTTTCCCAAATCTCTAGCCACGAACTTTCCGTTGCATTGAACGTCCACGTTTCACATGCATACAGCACTATTGGTCGTATTATTGTTTGGTACATTCTGTTTTTTAAACTTTTAGAGTTGTTCTTACTCTTAATAATTTTCTGTAGTGCGCTAACACATCTATTTCCTGCCATTATTCTTGCCATCATTTGTTGGGTTACATTTGGTTTGGTTTGGTGTCTTTTTGTATGCAGAAGGTATGGGGGTATGCTCTGTTGATTCCCGCATCTTTTATAACTTTTTCTAATACTACATTAAACAGTACTGGAGATAGTGGACCCTGTCTTAATCCGTTCCTGATTATACATTTTTCCGTTGTTTTCCTGTTTACTTTGACTTCATTTACTGTCTAAACTAAAATTAGCCTTATAATTTTCCTTGATACCTAAATAACTGTATTTCACTCTTTTTAAAATTTATTCTTAATTTCAGGCTTTGTCAAACTGACTCAGATCCAAAACAACGCTGCCATTTTCGCAAACCGCGAGTACGATGAAAACTACGAACCCTTACCAGGCCCATCATCAAAATCAGACTCTGAGTATAGTTACATCACCGAGCTAAGAACTCCAAAACAGATTGAGGTTGACACTACAGTAGAAAGACGCGATACCCTCCCAGAAACGTGTTTCACTCACAGAAAGGTCAAGTGTCTTCCCAGTGAGGAGCTGGACGAAGATGATGAAGAAGAAAGGTTGAAGTTTCTGGAGAATCTGAATGAAGACGATTTTATTAAAGATGTTATATACGTTAATTCGAAAGGGTTTATGAAGTATTTTCAGAATACTTTGTTTACCACGTCGCTGGGGAAGTCATTGGGGTTTACTGAAGAGTCGATAGCTTCGGCTAAAGCCATTCCTGGGAAGATATTTTGTGATGACGTTGATATAGAGACTACGACAACAAAAACTTTTGAGGTAAAGTATAGTGTAGGCTTTTTGAAACTTTGAAACTGCGACATTATTTACCTTTACTGCGATTTCCTTCATTCGTCTTCTTCACTAGTGATGAACAAATACAAGACACCAGACCAAGATTCTCTATCTCTTGGGCTTTCTGCGAGACTTGTAACTCTTACATTATTTCAGTAGAGTTACTTTCTATACAGGGTGGCGCACCTCATTCGCCTCGTTCATTTATACAAAAAACGGAAAGATGTAGAAACAAAATATTTTATGGGTATATGTGGGAAGACAATGTGCATAATTTAAAATTATTTTGAAATGTACGGGGCATGTCATGAGTTAGATTCATACCAAAATTATATTTTTTCTTATGGAACACCCGGTATTTTATTTTTGGATTCTTGGAAATAAAATAAGGTTATTTATTATAAGGGCTTAATATGTATAAAAGCTTTGGTTTTTAAGATATTTAAAGATATGTAAATATGCATGCTATAAAAAAAAGTTTGTAAAACACCCTGTACATTACTTTTCGGAATTAATTCTTATGCTGACTTTTTAGCCAGAGAAATAAACTGTACTAAAAAAATTGATTGCTTCCTTAAATGTATACAGGGGTATCAAAAATTGCTGGTCTTTTTTAAATATATATTTTACATTAAAACTTCGTTGTTTCAAATGCAACACTCTGTATTGTTTAAAATAAGTTGAAGCAGATTTAAATGCTCTGTCAAATTTTATTAGGGTTTCCTATATACCTATCTGGCTCAGATTTTGAACAAAGATCGAATTTTTCACTAAAATGACAAACAAGAGGACTGGTGTCGGCAATTTTCTAGTGACGGTAGCTACATATTTTCAAAATCGAAATTATTTTATGGACTTTATTTAAATGTTTGCTTTTGCTTAAAATACCTAGAATAATTTAATAAATAAGTATTTATTAATTTTTCAAGAAAACAAAGAAGTAGTTTTTTGATTTATACAGGGTTGTTCACCACATACGACACGGAGTATTGTAGCTAAACGATGAGATTTTTACAAATTGTAAGTTTTGGGTTCGATGAAGGACTATTAGAGGTACAATTTAAAAATAATTTTACAAGATACAGAGTGTCCCAAATAAGTAAAAAATATCAAAGTTGTATTTTTTTAAATGGAACACCCTGTATATTATTACATTTTTAGTTTCTACGATTAAAATAAAGGTAAATTTGATTAAGGTTTATTATACTTAAACCTTACCGGTTTTGAAATATTTTCAATTTTGTGAAATTGCAGTTAAAATTTTAAGGCTTCATTTCTCCAAGGGTATCAAAGTTTTTAATACTAAATGTTTACTGAAGTTTATTTACTGATCAGTTATTGTGTTGCAATAATAAAAATAATACTACCTTATACAGAGTGTCTAAAAATTTATTTTAAATAATTATTTGCTTCAAACGGCAATAACTTGTTTAATTTAAATGGAACACCCTGTATATTTTACGAGAATCAGATGCACAATTTAATTCTCTATCAACTTATATTATACCATTTTTTACCTATCTCTTTAAGTTTCCGTAGAAAATGCATTTTCTTGTAATTTAGAACTTATTTATCAATATACCCATGGACTATTGACATTTTAGATTATTTTTACAGATGTACCAAATTTTTAAAGAGTACAGATACTAATATTGTCGGTATAATTCATTTATTTCATTAAAAAATTAAAAAAAAACTGTTTAAATATTTGTTAAAGAGGATCAATTAACATGATTCCAGTATTCAAACTACATTAACTGACTGTTTGCGTTGATTAACAATAATTGCTCCAAATACTAAAAAACTGAATTTTGTATGGGCATTAGACAGTGTGATAAAAGTAACACCTTAAAATGATATTTCATTTTTAATAAATGCTTATTTATAACAACAAAGACTTTAATTTGATAACTTATTATTATATTGATTTCTGACTCAAAAATCCACATTTATTTATAATAATATATTAACGAACACAATTAAGTATGTCATTAATTAGTATATGGGCGGAAATAATGGTGTTATATTTAATTAATGGTATACTCTTTTTAAAAATTTAAATAGTTTTCTTTTTGCATACAAATGGGCTAGTAATATTATCGTTTTGCTAAAACGATAATATTACTAGTCTGTACATTTTGTACATTTGTTGCTTTAAAAACATAAAATGTCAGTATTCCATGGATATATTGATAAATGAGGTCTAAATTATAAGAAAATGCATTTTCTACCAAAACTTGAAGGGATAGGTAAAAATGGTATAATACAATTTGATAGACAATTTAATTGTGCATCTGATTCTCCTAAAATGTACAGGGCATTCCATTTAAATTAAAGAAGTTATTGCCGTTTGAAGCTAATAGTTATTTGAAATAAATTTTTAGACACTCTGTATAAGGTAGTATTATTTTTATTATTGCAACACAATAACTGATCAATAAATAAACTTCATTAAATATTTAGTATTAAAAACATTGATACCCTTGGAGAAATGAAGCTTTAAAATTTTTACTGCAATTTCACAAAATTGAAAATATTTCAAAAACGGTAAGGTTTAAGTATAATAAACCGTTTTTGAAATATTTTCAATTTTGTGAAATTGCAGTAAAAATTTTAAAGCTTCATTTCTCCAAGGGTATCAATGTTTTTAATACTAAATATTTAATGAAGTTTATTTATTGATCAGTTATTGTGTTGCAATAATAAAAATAATACTACCTTATACAGAGTGTCTAAAAATTTATTTCAAATAACTATTAGCTTCAAACGGCAATAACTTCTTTAATTTAAATGGAATGCCCTGTATATATGGATATCTTTGAGCATAAACCCTTGAGGCTAACAACCAATTTTCCTCACAAATTAAAATAACTCGTAACATATCCATTCCTTCCGCCAGCAGATACCGCTCCATTTTTCTTGATAAAATAATGAATACTTACTTATTAATCTATTGTAGATAAATCAAATAAAAGTAAGCTGTTATAAATTTAAATAAAGTCCATATACTAATGTCGATTTTAAAAATAGTTACTAACTATAACTAAAAAATTGCAATGAAAAATCGCTTATTTCATTTTTCCTTTATTTCTACAGGTAATTCCAGCAGTTGGCATCACATGGCCTCTGGATCAGACTTACGAATTTATCACTAGGGAGGACAGACCCACCATTGTTGATAGAAGGACAGGCATCAAATATAGATGGCCTACAGATGGTCCTGGAGGCATGATAGACGAAATCATCGAGCTTTCTGCTGTCCTCGTTCCAAAAGGCTATGCCAAGAAGAAAGGAATTAACGTAGATAACAGTAAGTAACTCAATCTTCAACCTCAACTTCTTTCTATGATTTTTATTTAAGTCTTTGCTATGATGCTCTTTGGTATTCTGATCCTACACAGATCTTCTTGTGTTAAGTACACTTATTTATTGTTATGTTACTCAGACATATTCTTTTTGCTTTACCTGCGTTATTTTCAGAGATATAGAGTTAAAGAAAATGAGCGAAGTATTTCCCTAATAAACCCTAGTTGGTCTAGATTTAGGTTCTGACAATATCATTTTTCTGTTATAGATCTCGAATGGGAGATGAACTTTCCTAAAGCAGAACGCTACCTGGAAGCTCGCATGTCCCATGCTCAAATGAAGTCCTTCCTGTTACTCCTAACACTGCACAAGAGTTTCATAGCTCCCGTGACTCAGCAGTACGGCCTCCTACCTGAGCACATCCGCACTCACATGTACTGGGAGTGCGAGAAAGACTACAGGAACTGGCCTGAGCACCGACTGGGCACCAAAATGCTCATGGTACTGAATAATCTAAAAAAGCGACTCTACGTTGGCGTTCTTCCCGATTATTTCGTCAAAGATAAGAACTTGTTCGAGAACATCCCTCAGAAGTACCTGCAGTACGCTCAGAAAGTGTTGTTGGAGGTGCTTGAAAACCCTGTACCGTATTTTATCAGTTCTTTGAGGAACTTGAGGTATACGAGTGGAAAATTTTACCCTTCCATTGATTTGAAGGATCTGTTTGAGTCTCTTACTACGAAAAATAGTGCTGGTAAGTGTAAAACAGTTAAAGAAATACTTGCTATGGTAATTTAAGTGTTAAAAGTAATAAACTTTTAACAAGTATATCATAGTTAGTATGGTACACTTTTAACAAGTATGCAATACTTAATAAACATATTTTAACAAGTATGATATACTTGTTAAAATACTTGCCAAATCAATATCTCTTACAAACGAATTTATGTGAAAAAACTCACAAATTCTTATGACTTTTTAACTCATTAATGTTAAAAGACTTAACGACGTGTTTTTAGAAAGTAAAAATTCCCTAAATAATGTTGATAAATATTTTCCAGGATTAGTCAACCCAAAGCTTCTGACAAATCAGCGGATACCATACTTGAAGAAAAGAGTGTATAAAGACCCAGAACAGCAAATACAGCATTTGAGGGAAGTCAAAATAAAGGAAAAAATCCTCGCCAAGAGACTTAAAGAGAAAGAAGACCAACTTTTAGCCCAAAAGAAGGAAGAATTAGAGAAAAAGGCTAAATCTGACATAGATCTTGAGGTAAAATGAATTATAATATTTTAAATAAAAGTGATCTACTTTTAACAAGAATATCATAGTATGTTAAACTCTTAACAAGTATAGGTATAATACTTGTTAAAAGTTGTTAAAGTTAATACTTGTTAAGATATTTTAACAAGTACGAATATTGTATGCTTGTTGAATTACTTTTAACAAACATTGTAAACAAAAATACTTGTTAATAAGTAGTAAACAAGTAAAAGAAAAACACTTGTCAACAAAGACAATTGAAAAAGTCACGAATCTATATTTATTAGAAAGGACATTAAATGCTAAAAGTGATACTTTATTTTGTATGAGGGGACCAAAAAAAATATAATTAAGTAATGAAAGATATACTTTTAACAAGCATAAGTCAGGGTACGGAATAAGTATATCATACTTGTTAAACTCTTATTTTAACAAGTATAATATACTTGTTAAATTACTTTTAACCCGAAGTGTGAGGACAATTTTTTTAAATAATTTTTTTAATTTTTATTAATTAACAATAAATTCAATTTCATTTATTTATATTATTTAATTAGATCATGTTTAATGCTTCTAGGTTAAGATAGAAAAAACTCTGGATTTGTGGAAAACTAAATCCATTCTGGCCTTTTTCATCAAAATCTTCCTGGACATTGCGAAGAAGAGTTACGTGCTAGCGACCAAAGAACAGGCCTTGTTCTATTTGAAACAGGCTTATTACCTTACAAGAATACTTGAGGAAGAATCTCCAGCCTTTACAGATGAAGCTAAAGAGTGGTACCAGCTTATAAATGTGGAAGAGTCAAAAATTAAAAGGAAATCTCTAAGGTATGATTACAGATTACAGTACGTCTGCTGGATATGTGTCTATGAAAGGAATGCGGACAAAAAAACATTTAAATAAACTGCAATATATTTTATACGTCGACTTGACGAGTACGTCACCGCAAATCGCTCCGCCCACTCATTTTATTGGCTATTTGCAAATTTGTCGAATTTTTATTGATGGGACGCGTCGTCTAATTTTTTACGAAAAACATCGAGAGAATATCGTTTCCCCTCTCACGGATACCCCGTAGCTACAGAACGGACAGACGTACTGTACTCTTATAAGGCTAGTATAACCTTATATATCTATTGTGTCCACCTGTTATAACTCATCATACAGTCTCAGGGCCTTGAGAAAAGCCAGTATCTAAGGCGGTTTTACAGAAATTTGTTTCACATTTTTTTATTTTTATTCCAGATCTGCCTCGATATCAGACAGTAAGCCTCCCACTCCTGTCAAAAATCCGGTGGTGCAATTCCAGTTTGACATTTCTCCGCATGCCAAAACCGGTTCCATCAAGCTGAACAACCTGCAAGCATCGTACCTCAACGGAAGTGTCAACGGGCAAGCTCCGCCTGCTTTGAGGAACCTCAAACCAGTCCAAAGGAATACTAGTTTTAAGGAAAATGGCACTTTGCAACATAGTAATAGTTTGAGGGAGAATGGTGTGATTCAACCACCCAGAAAAAAGACTGTGGCATTTGTGACATGAGTGTTTTGAATAGAACAGAAGTGTATATAAGTATTTAGTCAGTATATTAATAAACATAACTTTTATTCGTGATGTTTTTTTATTTTATTATTTATGTAGACTTAGAAGTTAGTGGAGAAAATATATGTTGTAAATTAGAATGTAAAATTGTACATATAAATATATATTATTTTCTTTAAAAAGTTCGTTTATTATTTATAATAGTGTATTTTTACTTATAATTTTAAATAAAAACCACAAAAACGCATACAACATATTTTCTAATAACTTAAACAATAGAAAACATTTCTTGAAAAGGATTCTGGGTTTTTTTGTCGCTAGAAGTAGGTAATACTCGTAAAAGTTCCAAATTATTCGTAAAAAAATACTTTTTCCAAATATGCTAATGAACCACCCTTCAGGGGCGTAGATAGGTGTATGCTATGGGGGTGGTACTATGATTAAGTCGCAAAAAAAATCACCCTCGGAATTTTTTTGTCGAATTAAAACGACGGCGATTTTTCTGTCTTCAAAAAGATATAAAAACATAACACAAAAATTAAAATATAGATTTGTAAATAACATTAACAAAAATGAAACAACGACGTTTATTAGTTAATTTTCTATAAACTATAAATAAAAAACTCTAAACTATCAAAAAAAAACTATAAAAACTATAAACTATAAATAAAACTACAAAACAAAATCAAGTTTTCTAGTACGCTGTTTGGAAAACCTATCAATAACAGCATCAACCTTTATTTCAATATCTTTATGGATATTGATTAGAGTTAACCCCACTAATCTGTCCTGGCCAATAAGAACACTTTGTGTGCTTTTAATTAGGTCGAACATATTATAAACGATACATCAACATAATTAAAAGCATACAAAGTGTTCTTATATGTCGGACATTAATTAAAAAAAATCCTTTCATAGTCAATGACTATTTCAATTCTCGTATCTCGTCAAGCGTCAGGGGGGGGGGTACTGTCCCCAGTTACCCCCCTTATCTACGCCCTTGCCACCCTTGTTTTATTTGAAAAAATGGATATATGACCGAAAATACGATTTGGGCATCTTTTAACCGGTCAGGAAAAGACACGAAAAACATTAGACGATCGAATCTATTTTTCCAAGACTCCTTGATTAAAAATTAGCGTTTTTAACACAGCTATCTATGGCACTCTAGATTGAAATTTAAAATACGATTATTTTTTAAGCCAATATAAAAAATTGACACAAGATATGCCATTCTATTTAGAGTGTCATTTTCTATCGAATGAAGTAGAAATATACCGAGAGCGCCTTTTAAAAATCAAAAGTTGTAGTCATTTCCGGTGAAACAGGAAGTGGTTGAAAATAATTAAATACGTCAGTCAATCCTAATTTATGTCATATACCAGGGCCATCCTTAGACTGTTGGCCGCCTGGAGCAAGCCCGAAAAAATGCACCCCCCCCAACAGACAATTTTTTTTTATTAGTGCGAGGTTTGATCCGAAGAATCAGGTGTGAAAAAAAATGATGAAAGTTGTGCCACAGATGGTAAGAAATATTATCAAACGCTTTCCGTAAAAAAGGAAATAAATATATGGCAAGATTTTCAGAATTAGCATTTAAATTTTGTATTTAAAAGGAGCATCACATGGTACTTAACAAGAATAAAAAAAAATATTATAAGGTACATTGGCCAAACTAACACCTAAAACTAGATAATATAAATTATTATAAATTATTAACAAAACATTTAGCGTGATTCAATTTAAATTTAATCTAAATTAAATATTTAACAACAGGATTTAATGGAACCAAAGGTCTAAAACAAGGGTGCTGTATTTCACCAACACTGTTCAAGATATATCTCGAACACGTTCTCAAAGGTTGGAAGCAAAAATGTAGAAATATGGGAGTACCCATAGAGGATAACATGCTCTACACACTTTGCTTCGCGGACGATCAGGTGATCATAGCACAAGATTACGATGACATGTAAGCTTATAGAAGAATATCAGAAATGGGGACTCGAGATCAATACTAACAAAACAGAATATATGTGTATCGGAGGAGAACAACAAGATCTAATGCTAGAAGAAGGGAAGAAAATTTAGTGCTGCACAAAATACAAATATTTGGGTATGCAAATCACAAATGATGGACTGTTGGATACAGCAATTAAAGAACGAAACCAACTTGGAAGGAATACTATCACGGTATTGAATGGAATACTGTGGGACAGAAGCATAAACAACAAGAACAAAACTTTAATATACAATACCATCATAAAGAGTATAACCACGTTCAGCTGTGAAGTCTGGCCAATTAAGGAAACAACAAAACGAATGCTGGAAGCTACAGAGATGGATTTTTGGAGAAGATCAGCAGGCAAATCAAGACTCGAGCGAATAACTAATGAACGCATAAGAGAGATTATGGAAGTTAAACATACGATAGTGGACGACATAAAGAACAGTCAACTCATATGGTACGGGCATGTCCAAAGAATGGCAGAAATAAGAATCCCAAAGCAAATTATAAACTGGAAACCTGCAGGAAGAAGAAAACCGGGTAGACCGGGTAGACCGTTTATGGAGGAAATATCTCTCGGAGACGGTGCATGGAGAGACAGACAGGCGTCGGAATGGCAGAGAGATGGCATCGGAAGATGTAGAACGTTTTAAACCGATTAATATATATATTAACAAAACAAAATTCGTAATAAATACATAGACATAATCCTGAGAAACAAAATTCCTAACATGGACCTAACATGGAAATAAAATCGTCGATGTTTAGACTGTTCGCTATTTCGTGCTCAACAGATATTAAAGATAATCCGCTTAATCGTTCTTGTATCATAGTTGATCTTAGGTAATTCTCAATTATTTTGAGTTTAGAAAAACTTTTCTCTCCGGTTGCCACTGAAACCGGCAGCGTTAATAAGATTCTTATGATAATAAGATGTAAATATTTGAAAAGTTTCCAATCAGATCGTGAATTTTGAAATATTTTAGTGTTTGTTTTGGACAACTGAAGTTTTCGGCATTATCTGGTGGTATTAGAGCAATTAGAACTAATATCTCGTCCTGAAGCTCTAGGCCATTAATATCATGTTTGTCTCCGTCCGTTAAATAGAGATGAAGATCCATACAATGCTTTGTTATTTCCTCTCGTTGATATTCCTGAGAACTGTGAAGTCGTATAAAAACGAAAAATAGTCCTAGTGAGCTTTTAACAACCTTTCCTGGAAAGCCTCATGGATTGTATCCAGGACAACAAAGAAAAAATCGAGTTTAAACTTTTCCTGTGGATCTAAAATTGGCTCATCCACTGATTCATACAAAAACTGTTTAGTTTTTTTTCTTGGACGAGCTCTAATGTCAGTAAAAACTGCTTCAATTTCCAGCTCTTCTGCCAGCTCTGCAGCATCCACTAATATTTCTCTAAAATGGTCGTCAGTCCTTATTTTGACAAAATAGTCGTCGATAGCTTTTAGAGCTTTTGTGAACTCAATGATGTCGAGTTTCTCATTCTGAAGCAGTTTACTAGTTGCATTTATACTGTTGGAAATTTCGTACCGAAAATGACCATTTTTCCAAAATGTAGGACTGACGCATGACGTACCGAATTTGGTCAAGATGTACCGAATTCAGTACAATTGTACCGAAACGGCCGCCCTCAAATTTGGCCGCCTGGAGCAACTGCTCTTCTGCTCCACCCCTCAGGACGGCTCTGCATATACTAACCTACCCAATCTCGTTTTTTTTTATCTGAAAAAATACAAAAGTTATAGGGGTGAGGCATTTTTGAGACGCACCCGGTATTTTTATTATAAATCGTTGACTTTCTATTAAATGACATTATATGATGTCAAACTTCGCCACTACCAATTAATGAAAAAAAAACATTTAATATAAAAACATCTTAAAAAAAGGATTATTGAAAAATGCAGGAAATTTAATGGGAAGTTGTAATTAAGTGTATCGTGTAGTGTGATTACTTGTTCAAATCTGTAAACAAACTGATAGTAGAAACAAAAATTTACACGCTTTCAATAAACAATAACAAATAAGTTTTTCCAACATGAAATCTTTTGAAAAAATCAATTTAATTGATAATTTAAAGTGATAAAAAATGAAAACAAAAATTCACCATAATTTTGCTAATTTTTAGCGGCAGCATTATACATTATCAGTATAAATAAAAATTATAAATAGCATAATTACCACTTTTTAAAAAGAATTATAAACACTGAGGAAAGGAAAATATAATATTTCTTGATAATTGTTGTAACCCTGCTTATCTTTAATATGCGTTTGAGCCCAGGAGGGTCCTAGGGCTTTTGTTTTTTTTTAAATGAAAAATAATTTTAAAAAACACATTTTTTAAAATTACATAAAACGTTTACATGAATTTCTCTATCAATAAATTTCATAGACGTGGTTATCAAACTGTGTTCCCGTAGATTACTTAAATACCTACAAATTTTCTAAAAAAATAAAAATTAACACATTTTTTGAACACAACAAAATAATATTAACTAAGAGTAACTCTAGTAAAACTAGAAAACGTCATTTTTACTGCATCACAAGCAAATAAAAATTAACACGTAGCCAACAGTCATAATTCAGGATTTCTCTGGGGAGTGCCCAGCAGCACCTGGGGGGCCCGGCACGCCCGGGCACCCCTGTATTTACGCCAATGATTATTGTATTTGTGCCTCATTGGAGTACGACCTCCTCTGAAATTGCCCACCATTCATTTACCCTTAAAGCCATAAACGAGCCTTCAGCAATTATAACTTTTATTATTATCACTCGGTAAGGAATTTCTATCGTAAAATAATTGAGCTTCGATTTGGTCAGGTCCGTGTCTATTCAGACAATAGTATTCTCCAGACTATATTGTCCTTTTTACCGAAGTATTGTCGCCTACTCTTAAACAGTAATTTTAAGAATATTAAGTTGTAAGGTACGCCGGCGCCGCGCCGCTGGCTATTTGCAGGTTTAGAAATTATTTAGCTGACTGAGAATCTGCCAAAAAGTCACAACCTAACCTAGCCGGTCCCACACGACTTGTCAAACACGTTCCAACGATGGACACATGAACATTTGCTGCATCGTGTAGGAGACACCCTTGTGAATTGCCATATTCCAACGCAACCAACGTTGGATGCATCAACCTGGCAATTCACAAGTGTGTCTCCCACACGATGTGGCAAATGTCCCTGTATCCAACGTTGTAAGGTGTTTGACACATCGTGTGGGACCGGCTTATACCAAATGATGCGGCCAACGTTGGTTCCAACTACTACTCTAATCTCAGTCTTTTGTTTCATTGCACTGTCATTTTACTTTTAATTCCTTTTAACATAGTGTACATAATTGTTAAAGTTTTTACTAAAGTGTGTGTCAATCAATATTTGAGCAGAACCGGTGCTCTATGGTTTCTAGAAGCTAATTTTTTGGCCAAAATACATATTTTAGACTCACTGTATATGGACTTTTTTTGTAAGTGGAATGCAAGCAAATATACAAATGAAGAAGACAAAAATATATACATGTGATATTTTTGTTTAGTTTTCATTTTTATTCCTTATCAGCATTTATATTCAGACTTTCTAGTGAAGTATTTGTGCCTATTCAGTTTTTGTTTATTTTCAGTTTCGTTTGATTAAGTGATATAGTTCAGTGGGATATAAAAACGGATTACTGTTATTTTTATACTTTATGGTATGTATTTTTAAGAAATCACTAACAATTGCACATAGGAATCAGCGTCCATTATTTTTTAATTAATTAAAAATAATGAGTTTAAGACAGAACATAAATACAAAGTTAAAAGTTTAGTTTGACTTATAAAAAATTAATAAGTAATAAGTTAATAAGTAAAATTTGAAACAATCCTTTCTGAACATATGAAAGAAAAAATTGGCTGCTACTAGCTGCAACTTTTTTTAAAAGAATTTTTTTCAGTTATGTATTGATTGAAAAACATACATCTTTTGGGAAAATGGCTACAAGGGGCCGATAAAGTTGAGAAAAACGGGTATGGTCCAAATTTTGTAAGACAGAAATTTCAGAATAATGAACAAGAACTATCAGGCACAATGGAAAAAAAGATAAATCGCCTTTGTATAAATTTTGAAAGAAGATGGCAGGCGGCTTTGCGGCTTAAAGATTTACTTTTAAAACAAAATGAAGACTGGTTAAAGGAGGATTTTATCCTTGAGTTAAATGAACCTCTTTTATCCACATCATCTGTCGGCCGCCCACGATTACCTTTTTCGGAGCAATCTTCCAGAACCCAGAGAAGAACGGCCTCAAAAGTTTCCGAGGAACATAAGTAGGATTGGGCTTTACTTGTGCAGGCTGCAGAATACACTACTTGTGCAGGCTGCTTTGTAAATTTAGTTATCCTGCCGATGTACTTAACCTACTTCGTGTGCCTGACTTTATCGAAAAGAAGATAAATGAAGAACAATTTGAAGAGAAGCATGGAAAAGAAGAGCAATGCTAGGAGGGAGATCAAGGAGAAGAAGAAATGCAAAAAGAAGAAGAGCAAGAAGATATTTCTAAAAAAGATTGTTTTTTGGACAGCAGTAATTCGATTACTTGATCAACTTTCTTTTTAGGAACTAGATACAGAAGATGCTTCATAGGTAAAAGTTAATCATACGTTGAATGAGAAGATTAAAAATAACTTCATATTATTAGCTTTTTATTATTTTATTAAAAACACAAATTTACAGTCAATATTCTCCATTAAATGTAAGTTGTTTAATATTGCCCAAAAAAGTAGCTTCTAGAAACCATAGTGCGGTGGTGCATAACTCTTGACTAGTGCTCTTGATTCGGAAAAACGCGCTGGCAACGCTGCCGATAACCAATCAACAAGCCGATGTTGTCCCAAGTTCTATGGCGGAACCACCAGTACTGCCTGGTCGATCGTGGTGATCGTATCTAGTACTGCCGCACGATATCGCGTGGCCCAAAGTTGATACGCGGCATCATGGAACAACCGGCCTATTTAGTTCTGGAAAATGGCAGTATTTTCACTGGGAAATCTTTTGGAGCGGTACTGCCCACGGATGGTGAAGTCGGTAAGTATGTCTTGGAGCGAAAAAAACACGTGTAGACCAGCTTTAAAGTGGTAGAGATAATTTTGAGGTTATTTATTTATTTATCTATACAGTATGTCCCGGATTTTTTTTACAAGAGGGAAAACTTTTTTATTGTTGAGTTTTTGGGAAAAATGCATTCTTTACAAAAGTTTTTGTTTGGTTTAAAATAGTTAATCCCGTTTATACTTTTAGAAATTTCCCTACCGTTTTAGAGAAAAATAAAAATACATGAAAATATAGTCCTAAAATTCAAAACGCTTTTTTATGGTAATAGTTAAATAAAATTAATAATAGCCATCTATTAAAGAATGAAAATCTAAAAATGATATTGCCTTATAAACGTGTTTTGAATTTTGGGACTTTGGAAAAAAATCAACTTTATATTTTCATATACAGGGTGCGTCTTAAATAAGTAGCCAATATTTTAAGGACAGGTAGATCTCGATAAAAGGAATAAATTTTCTTTTTAACATCTTTCAAATAAATCCAAAATAACCGAATTATTTTATTTTGAAAATAGAAAAAATGATTTTTTGCTAAAATTTTGAGAACCACTGGATCTTTTCTGGATTTTCTTTCTTGTAAATTTCATCTACTACCTATGTTGCCGTATTATCAACAAATGATGTTTTTTAACTAAAAAATAATCCAAATTTTCAATTTTTTTTTACCGAAAATAACTTAATCGTGTTTCTGGGGTCGAAATATACGACCCCTAAAAATATTTGCACTTATTTAAAACTCGCCCTGTATATATTTTTATTTTTCTCTGAAACGGTATGGAAATTTGGAAAAGTATAAAACAGTGTTAACCATTATAAAACAAGCAAATTGTTTTATAAACAATGCAGTTTTCTCAAAATGATAATAATAAAAATTGTTTTTTCTAGTAAAGACAATCTGGGGACATACTGTACATAGGTACACTGAGAAAGAAAATAATAAAAGGATTTAATTATTCATGCATATACACAGTGTTCTCAAAAATTTCCGAATTCGTTTTTGCCTTGTTTTTGTAACAGAACGTGAGGTCAATGGCACCGCACATTTTAAAACTATTTTTATAGATATACTGGGGGATTCAAATGTATTTTTACATTACTTTTTTGAAATTGAATACTACTGTATATTTTTTTCTTCTAGCGTATTTACCGTTATATTCTCATTCAAAAATATCATATTAAATGTACAGGGTGTGTAAATATTACGTCCCCATGGAACTATTACGTATTTTACGAATCAAAATAAGTTAAATGAAAACAGTTTACTTACTTGCCCTTATTTAATAGACACCTTGTATAATATCGCCCCTTTGTTCAAAAAATTCACAATGTTAGAAATGTTAACACAGCTTCTAACTTCTATTTCTGCCTGTTTCTTATTTAAAAATCTTAGTTGTTGTTTCACTGAATGTCATCACAAATGTCAATGGTCTTAATTTTAGTTCTTTTATAATTAGTTTAAAATAAATAGAATTGCAGAAATGAAAATGTTATTTTTAGATCTAAGTCGTGAACGCGACAAAATCAACAAATTGACGATACTGTACAAATATGTAAAGTGTGTATTTCGCTGGTGAAAGATTTGTTATTATTAAATAATATTTATTTTTCAAACGCCACAAAAGTATTAATTTTTGCGACGTGATTGGCAATATAAATAAGTCATTTTAACGCCTAGGCATAAAAGTAAAGCACTTTTACGCCTATAAGATATTTTTTTTTCTATATTTTTTCGCTGTCAAGAGAAAAAAAGGCCAGTGGCGTACATGCTTTTTTAGAAAAATATTCCATTTATAACCCATATACAGGTCCCTGGTGAATATGTCAACATTTTTTAGCTTTAAAATATGTCGTATTTATAGTAACTCATAGATAAATGCAACAAGTTTAGATTGCAAAGCCCGTAAACATTTTGGGTCGCGAAATTATTTTGGGTCGCGACCGTTATACGCGATCTGGCGCTGCTATAGCGGTCGCTAAGAACAACGGCAAGCATAAACAGAAATAATTTTCTCTTGTCAAAGTCAGAATCTTCAAAAATCATAATAATCTTTCAAAATCTAAACCGCTCTCATTAAAGAAATTCCGAAAAGTGTTTATAGCGTCCATTTTCAAAGTAATTATTGCTATCTTGTGAGTTTAGTTCAAGTTTTATTTACTCCAACCGGTGATAATTGTGAAAAAGTGGCATTAAAAACTTAAAAAGCTGTGCTGTGAACTGTGAACTGCAAAAACCATCGTGGATCGTGGCATAACGTCGGTTTCCAATGTTTCATAGGTATTTCATACATGCGTCCTTATATAAAATAAAGTTTCTTGTATGCAACACACTGTATTTTATTTATAAAATTAAACGAAAATAATAATAAATTTGAATAAACAATATTTGGCGATATAATTCCGGAAAAAGCCGAACCGCTCCGAAATTTTCAAAAGTTTTGGGTCGCGACCGTTGCAAGAATAGCGCCAAATAGTGTTTACATTGTCCTTATGGGCACTTTCCAATCTAAACTTGTTTCATTTATCTATGTAGTAACTTTTATTCTCAAAATTTCATTGGAAACGCTAAAAGTTCTTGAGAGAAAATTATAATAAATCGAAAAAATATTAAGACTTTAACACCCTGTAGCTACGAAATAAAGCAGAATCGGACCTATGTTGATATGAAAAATAAATCTTATTTTTACGTAAGGAATCTCCCCACGAGAGATGGCACATGTTTTTTGAAACACCCTGTATAATTACTTACAAGGTATCACTTTAAGTCTTTTTATATTATTTGCAAAGTTTGAAATTATTTTAAAATTTATTTGTCGCGTTTCAAAAAAGATGGAACTAACCTAAACTGTTAAGTATAATTTAACAGATATAATCTACAGGGTGTCACAAAAATTCAAGACACAATTAAAAAAAAGGAGGTATAGTCTGTCCAACGAGAAGATCCTTGACATTGATAGATGTGTCTGTCATTTAAATTTCAAAGTAGTTTATTTTATTTTACAAAGAAATAAGTTGGTACAACTGGAACACATAGCAGGAAATTAATATATGTATTTAAAATTTGACTAAGTAACTTCAAAATATTGTGAAAAAAACTGTATACAACCCTTGTTTAAATAATTCATATACAAGGATACAACTGAAAAAATGTAATCGATTTATTATATTTAATAAAAAACGGTATGTGTTAATACAAAACAAACAAAAACAAGACACCACATACCAAAATATACAAAAAAGTACTATTTCTTACTTTCAAGCTTTATGAAACTTCCCGCATTTATGATTATATTTATCAATATATCTTATGTACAAATACAAATATGTAATGTTCCGCAGGAATAAATAAAACAACATAAATAAAACAAACTATTTTATTAAAAATAACACTTACCAAATTTCATACCTCACAGGTTGATTAATTAACTTTAATCTTAATTTTTTTAAACCAGTACCTTTTGACATTATTTTTCTGCAGTACTAAAATCCATTATTTACCTATCGTGTGATGTCGATAGTTTACAGCTACTCCAGTTTTTAGTATGTGTTTAGTATGGTCCTTCTACCATATTCCAGATGCACTTATCTACGACGAGATGGTATACGAACTTTATTGATAGTAACTTTATTGGTGTATCTGTATAATACTTTCTGCCTGGGCAGCGAGTATTAACCATAAACTGTGTTCTGGGTTCTACAGTTAATTTTCACTCGATTTTTCCTCCACTTGACTTCAAAAGACACAAAACACACGTAATAACACGAATCAAAATGCATCATCTTCCAAAACGCAGGGTATTTGACAGAAGTTGTCACAAAATTATAACCTATAATTTGGCAAGACTTTGAAAAACGTCAAAAATCTAAAAGCGAGTTCATACGCATCGGCGTCCGTTTGTCGTTCATCGTTCCGTCAAACCAATAAAATTGAAATACGATCTGTCGTTTTTGAAATAAACCAATAAAACTGGTTAAAAACAACAAGTGACGACGCATGACGAATTTATATTTAAACCCATCCATAGTTAACTTAAAATTATTAGAAACTTTTTTTAGTAAAATAAATAGATTGGTATGGGACGTCATCTGCTTTTTTTCTGTCATCGTCTGTCGAAATCTTACCTGAGAAAAAAAACAGAGTATAATGCAACTTAAAGATTAGAGAAAATTATTTTTTTTTGTATAAAGTTTTTCGATTTGCCACTTTGATATAGAGTTATTTGATTATACAGAATGAACCAAAAAAATTTTAGTAGGTACTTTTGTTATATTAATAAGCAATTTATGCCAGAATTTTTTTTGTTTCAAAATTCGTCAGAGGAATAAAGAAAATAGTAAAATAAAAATACACCCTGTATATGGAAATATAATAAATAAAAAAAAACAGTCAAAAGGTAATAAATTATAAAATACAGAAACCTGTACATCTACAAATTCACAAAATCACAGAAAGAACACCTTTTCAGCAATTTTATATCAGCAGGAAAATTCATTCATTCAAGATAAATCTCCTATAATACATGAATACATATCTAAAATAATATCTAAAAAGCAAATAATATAGAGATAATAATTTAAATACGGTAAAACAAATAAACATTCTGTTTTACTATGAATATGTTTAATAAATAATTTTGTACAGCTTGGATTACCAATTCTTGTCAATAAAATTGCTGTTATATTTTTTTTTGGAAAATATACCGTATATGATCAAAAAACTTTATGATTAAGCAGACTTTGATATTGACAGTTTCTAATGACAAACAAGTATAAATATTCTTCAGGGATGTAGATCTCGATAAAAGAAACATAATATTTTCTCTTTACCGTTTTTCAAATAAGTCTAAAATAACCGAGTTCTTTTAATTTGAAAATTTTCAAAAAAATGATTTTCTTGTTAAAATTTTGGGTACCACTGGATCTTTTCTGCGTTTTCTTTCTTGTAAATTTAATCTACTACCTATATTGCCATATTATCTAGATATTATTATATTTTTAGCCGACCATACCAACAGGCATAGTAGGCTATTAAGATCGGCAAAAAAGTTTTTAATTTCACTCAAAATGAGTTTGTTGGGTCATAAATGACCTAAATACAAAATATTTTCATGGTGTCTGTCTGTCTGTCTGTCTGTCTGTCTGTCTGTCTGTCTGTCTGTCTGTCTGGTCTGTCTGTCTGTCCGTCTGTCTGTCTGTCTGTCTGTCTGTCTGTCTGTCTGTCTGTCTGTCTGTCTGTCTGTCGGTCGGTCGGTCGGTCCGGTCGGTCGGTCGGTCCGTCTGTCTGTCTGTCTGTCTGTCTGTCTGTCTGTCCGTCTGTCCGTCTGTCCGTCTGTCCTGTCTGTCTGTCTGTCTGTCTGTCTGTCATGTCTGTCTGTCTGTCTGTCTGTCCGTCTGTCTGTCCGTCTGTCTGTCCGTCTGTCTGTCCGTCTGTCTGTCCTCTGTCTGTCCGTCTGTAACAAGATAACTAAAAAACCGCTTTTAAAAACCGCCAAACCGAGAATCTGGCCATTAGTTTTTGGTGGGTGTGGGGGGTTGGTAAGGGGGTATAGGAGGGGGTTAAAAATTTAAAAAAATCGTAACTCCGAAATTACAGTAGCTAGCGAAACGCGGTTTTCAATTTAAGATTAGGAATAATATTTGCAACAAAATTTGTAATAACATCAAAATCAGTCAAAGTCGCAGTTTTTGAGATTAAAAAAAATTTGGAAAAATTCCTTTACTTTGAAACTAAAAGAACTGCCTACCAACTTTTTATTAACATATTTTAGTATGGGCGGCTATACGTGCTTCCCGGCGCCAATTTTTTAACTAAACATTAAAAAAAATAAATTACTTGTTAAAAAATTCCAAATTTTCAATTTTTTTTCGCGAAAAAAAACTTCATAGAGTTTTTGGAGTCGAAATATACTACCCTTAAAATATTTGCACTTATTTAAGGCCCACCCTGTATAGTACTAAACAAGAAAAACCTGTCGTTTTCATTATTTAGGTAAAAATCTCAATTTAAAAAAATCTTAATTTTAAACTAAATAAACAGAAGTATGTAATACAAAATATGTATGCCTGTATATTGATAAAAATAATTCTTATTATTTTCAGTATCTATAGCTCGAATTAGTGAGAATCAGTGACCAGGAAATCAGCATTTATTTATAAAAGAGCCCATTAAGCAAATTGTAAACGAGTTTAAATAACAATTTAAGTTTAATAAGCACCGGTGTTATAAGTTTTTGTGTAATAGAAATGATTACAAAGCTCTATGAAGAAAATACATCCATTGTTTTATGTTGTGATTGTATTATATTATAAAGACATATTGTATTAAATTAACTATTAATAAGTAGTTCAATAATTAGTTATCAATAATTGTTATTACTACTTTATATTATTTATTAACTTTAGGGGAGAGTGGGGCAAGTGCGGCACCTTAACGTTCAATGATGTACTATTTTTTTTATTTTAAGAAATAGAAAAACGTTTATTACATAAATACTAACTTTAACTGTTTAAGTAGTAAACTACCTTAAAAAAATAAACAAAAAATTAAATATTTGGTTAAATTTCAGATTTACAAAAAAAAATGTCAAATGACTCACTTGCCCCAAGGTATGGGGTAAGTGTGTCACCCACACACTTAGCTAAGTTTTAGGACATGATTGACAAATTGACATTTTCCGGATTGGAGTTCTTTTGAAGAATGACCTCAACAGACGCTTTTTTTGAATTAATGGATTTTTCTTGAAGAATATTATCGGCCGCGTCGCTTTCTTGATTGAATTTTTTTGAAGAATATTTTCAGCCGCTTCGAATTTGCTCTATTCTATTTCCATTATTCGCAATTTTATGTCCATTTGTGCAGTGAACACGGGTTTAAATCTGCCTAAGTTTCTAAGTTTATTGAGCTCTTGACGAGTTAATCATGACTGTATGGTTGTTCTCGGAATATTGAAGACAACACTTGCTCTTTTTAATGACATTTCCTAATTATGAACAGCTTCTAAAGCACGGTGCAGAGCATCCTCTGACTATGACCCTCTTTGTGTCTTGCGCACGTAGTTCCGAACCATCTTCAACCTGCGAAAAAGAACGAATTATTTATTTATAATTTGAACTTTGTGGGGCAAGTGAGTCATGAAAAAGACTCACTTGCCCCAAGGTGACATTAACAATTCGAATATTTCTTTAAAAAGAAACAGGTACATTTGGCAACGTTGTACATATCAGGTGTTATTACAGAGATAGTAGGTTATGTTATGAGCATAAAGAAATGTCCAAATATTGCCCTTAATTTATGAAAAAAGTCTAGGTAATTCGCCTTAAATATTACATCACATGATGTGGAATACGAAAAATATTTATATTTACCTTAATTTTAGCAATGTTCAGCTGGATTTTCAATAACACTATGCACTTGTTGATAGGTACATAAACTTCACTGATTGTTGTCGGCTATGATGCCAAATGTATAAATTATTTCGAAAAACGCACTTGCCCCCTGTGCCGCACTTGCCCCTCTCTCCCTACTTAAATAAATTAAGTCAAGTTCTTCGTTCTTCTAACTTTACTCTATAATTGACTCACCCAGTATATATTTAAAAAAGATAGATGGATTTAAATGTGTATTTTTGTAGTGTTCCAGACTGGTATGGTAGGTTATCCAGAATCTCTGACGGATCCAAGTTATCGTGCTCAGATTTTGATACTGACTTACCCGATTATAGGAAATTATGGAGTACCCGGAGAACAACAGGACGAACATGGATTACCATAGTAAGGATAATAGTCTAATTATAAAAAAATACACTTTTTTATTGTTTTTATATTATAATTCTGATTGGCACAAAAATGGATACTCTGAAATATTCATGTATTATAAAGTTCAATATATGTATTTTGTTCTAGTGGGTTGGTTTTGATGATTTTTTAAGCAATTTGTAACTAAACTATTTGATTTTTCAACTTCTTTTCAAATTAAAAAGTCCCCATCTGTCTGTTATACGAGGGAAAACAAAATGTTGTTATTTTGGCGAAAGTTTGAAACATCCTGAGAATAGTTTAACAAAGCAAATGATTTAAAAACCACTTCATCATCAAGAGGCCATCTTTTATCGATAGTTCCTTTTTTAGTTTATCTCCATAGCTTTATTTTTATTGGAGATATTCGCTTTTGAACAAGACAGTGACGATTTACAGTAATGTTAGCATGTAAAACAAGCCTTTGCTTTAGATCCTATTATTGGTTGTTAGTGGAGTGCTTTAAGCCCTTATGAGATACAAACCTCGGAATTCATTTACTGTGAACGAATTTTTATAAAACTTTTTGCATTGTATTGTTAATAAGATATATTACAAAGTTTACCTATTTAAATTCGTTGCTTTCATTTTAGTACATATTTAAATAAACACACACATATACAAATGCATACATACAAGATGGCTTCGTTTTTCCGGAAAAGCTCTGTATCAGGATTCCTATTTGAGATTTTCACTCCAAACCTTTTACAAAATATATGTTTAATGGTAGTTCACATTTCAAAAATATTTTTATAGATATACAGGGTGAGTCAAATATATATAATTTATTTATTCGAGTTTAGTGAATTTTGCTATAAAATTCTGGTTCCAAAAATACCTTAATACCATAGCGTATACTAAGTGGTTTTTGAATTATGACCACGGCCATGAGGACGTCCATCTGGACGTCCGGGAACCTTCGTATGAGAACTTCTAATCGAGACGATCGACTTATTGTAAGTTTATCGCTAAGAAACCGCCGTTTGTCAGCTTTTCAAATTGATAATGAATTGCACTTAAGAACCATACATATTAACTAACGGACTACAAGAAGAAGATTAAATGAAGCAAATCTTATGTCAAGAAGCTTGCTTCGGTACCAGAACTTACTAGATGTGTTGACTAGGCCCAAAAGCAAAGTCATTACGAAAAATGTTAGTGCCTTCTTTAAAACCGAATATTTCCAACAAAAATAAAGCTAATGAGATGTACCAAAAAACAAACCATCGAGAAAGGATGTATCTAGATGATAAAATAATTTTTAAATTTCTTGCTATTTTAACGTATGTTACAGGGTGTTTCAAACTTTCATCAAAAATATCAACATTTTGTTTTCCCTCTTATAATTAGCAGATGGGGAGTTTCATTTTTAATTTAGAAAACGATTAGAATTTTAGAATTTAGAATGAGTGGGAGGGGGGTTAATCACTTCGACCTTACAGATCCATTGTGTCCCCCTTTCTTGAATCATAACTCATCATACAGTCCCAGGGCTTTGACAAAAGCCAGTATCTGGGACGGTTTTATAGAGGGTAGTTCTCCATCTCCAATATCAGTGGTACCAAAATTCATGGCACGAATGGTTGTCGTCTCGGCGCACTCAGTGATGAGGTGTACTGTGTTTCCTCATTTTCCCCACAGAATCTGCATTCGCCGTTTCTTCTTAGTTTCAATCTACTGAGGTGTTAATTGAGGAGACAGTGTCCTGTTAAAAACCCCGTGACAATCCGAAGATTGTTCTTACTTAAACCCAGGAAGATCTGTGATTTTTCTTAATCATAAGCCCTCAGAAACTTCTTCGAGTGTCTTAGACCGTTGCAAGATTCCCACTCCAGGTTGCGGACGGAATCTTCCAAGTTTTTGAGTTCCGCCTTGAGTTGATTACCACTTGGAAAGCAGAACGGTTCTGGTCCAGTTAGTGGAGTGTTCGCTCCTTTTCTAGCTAGATCATTTGCTTTTTCATTGCCTTCTATCCCTTGGTGAGCAGGCACCCAGAGTAGGAGGACTTTGTTTTCTTTGCCTAATTTATTCAGCTTCTCTATGCATTCTTTGGCCAATTTCGAATTGATTGATACTGAGTTGATCGCTTTTAACGCTGCTTGACTATCAGACACGATGGCTATTTCTTGTTTCCGATAGTTACTATCTGAGATAAGTTGTACGCATCTTTCGATAGCGTAGATTTCTGCCTGTAGGATGCTAGGTAGTAGATGCGGTAGGTGCCCATTTGTTCGGAGTATTTAGTTCTCGACCCAAATTCTCCGATCCCTGTTCCCGCATTGGTTTTGGAAGCATCAGTATATCAAATTATGATATGGTATTTTAACTGCTGAGCAGACGTTACTCTCTTCCAATACTTTTTGTTCTTCATTACTACATTGAGATGTTTCTCAAAGTTGTACATTTTTGGCATATCATCCACTTTGTTGCAGGAGTAGTATTTCCTTTTTGAGGGTGTTGCAAGCCCCTGATCTGACAGTTCTCCAGTACTGATTCCGTTAGTGACCATTCTAATCATTGTCGCATTGGCGTATCGACCAATGACAATGTGCAGTGGTGTTAGATCTAGAATGACCTCCATTGCTGCTGTTGGACAGGTTCTCATGGCTCCTGTGATGCAAACACATAGAAAAAGATACTAAGAAGTCAAATAATTTGGCAACACACTGCTTAAAAAATCATCAAAATCGGCCCATTAAAATAAAATATATTAACCTTTAAAATACATCAAAGTTTTAAGATGCCCATTTTTCGTGCCGGCGAATGTATTTCAAAAACTATACATTTTAGTTATATAATTTTCTACCTTTATTTTTTACTAGAATCCAAAAATCAATTAATATATAAGGTGTTCCATTACAAAAAAAACATAACTTTGATGTGTAACTTTTTTTGGGGACACCCTGTAGAACTCTTTTTGGGGACACCCTGTAGAAAATACTTTAAATTGACTTACATAAGCTCAGAAAATTTCACTTCAATACAAACTTTTGTTCTCCTTGCAAAAACCGCGTCGCATATGACGCGCCACCCTGTATAATTCGATTTCAATCAAAATTTCAATGATTAGAATATAAGCAGAATAGGTGCATAATATGCATTAGATTTATTTATTTCAATAAATTTACTTAGAAAAAGAATTAAAAAAAAATCAAAATATTAAGAAGGAAATAATTAAGAATTTACTAAAATTACTAAAATAAAAAATTAAAAGCAACGAAAAAAAATGGGTAAACATTTTAGTATTTTATCTATAAAACGCAATACAGAAGGTTTCACATTAATCCATTCACAGTAATTGAATTCCGAGGTAAAAGTCTCTGGGCACTCCACTATATAGGGACTTACTCAGGCAGGGATGGTTTCAAGTTGTATACAATCAACTTCTGGGTACCCTGTATAATTTTCTAAAAAAAATCTCTGGGACATAAACCTCAAACACAAAAGAATATATTTTATAATAGTCTTTTCTACCTGTATATGGCACCAAAACCCCAAAAATATCTTTAAGTTACATTCTTTATACAAAGCACATTCAAAACTTTCCCATTTCTATTCAGAAAAATTTATGGCGAAATCTGGGGAGAGTTACTTCAAGAACCCTGTATAAATAATGCATTTTCAAATATATTATTATTTTTATTATAGATGAATTGCTGTAATTAATTGTTAATTGGTATTATTATGATAATATCTTGAGGTTATCATTATTATCAAATTAAAGTGTGAACTAGGAGCTCACCATGCCATGGGTGAATTTTTAATATTAAAAAAAAGAAATAATAGTTTATATTATGAAAATTGACTAACTCATTGATAGTATTTACTATTTTTAACTCTTTTTATATGTAGGTTTCGCCATAACACTGATAAAGATATAATAACAACGACTATCACGGAATAAAAATCAATGTTATCAAGTGGTACCGATTGCTTGGGAGAAATTACTGAATTTAAGGCGATAGTTTATGCAAATTTATGGGAATATTGTCACTGAAATTGAAAAAAATCGTCTAAAATTAATATATTTACTTGATTGTTCTGAAGCCACACGTTTCGGGGTTCACAGAATCCAATATCTTGGTGGTGCTTTACTTTTAGTCTTGCCTTACTGCTTACTGCCATTACTCGCTGACGAGTATTTGACTCTCATCAGAAGATAGTTACGGAAGGCGTTTTCTTTCATGAGCTTTTCTGTGACCGAAAAGCCCGATACGTGATGATATCTCTCTTCCGCATTCCGGACATTCATTCCGTGAATTGTTCGTTCTATTGTGCTTTCTCCCACTGATTCTGTATGCTTATCCCTTCATGGAAAATAACCTTGTAACTTTTGAGTTGTCCACCCGGTTTCCTCTTACCACAGTTTAAAGAATATTCTACGAGCTCACTGTAAGGAAGAGATTTCGGTGGACAGTTTTCTTGCATCCTGCATACGTAACCAGCCCATCTTAAGCGGCTTTTAGTAATCATGACTTCAGCGCTCTCGCAGCTAGCTTTTCCAACGACCGATATACTTTTACACAAAATAGAACACAATAAACAAAGAGTTTGTTGACATTTATCTTTCAAATGTTCGGTCAAAACAAATCACCGGTTCAACATTATCTTTATTTTAAATCTGTCACGTAATTCTAGACTGTATTTAAATTAATAACGTTTAATGTTTCAGTTTTTTTGAGTCGCACCGTATATGGGCGGGTGCTCTTATTGTCGGAGAGTATTGCGACAAACCGAGCCATTGGCGTAATGTGAAAACTCTATCAAAATGGATGGAGGAACAAAAAGTGCCTGGAATTCAGGTAAGGAGACTTAGATAAAATCGATTTATCTACATAATATTTCAATAAATAAACATGAATTAATAAATAAACATATTAATATATTTCTTCATTCTAAAAATAAGCAGCTCGTTTTATTTTTATTTGAATTTCCCTAACAATTTTTATCTTTATGTATAGAATGTTCAGCTATTGTTCAACGTGACGTCATAATATATCGTCGACCTCTCTCAGTCACTTACCAACTAGACGAAAAAGATCGGTGAGGTCATTACAGCATTTCGTATATTTCTGCATATTCTTTTTACTAACTGTCATTGTCGTTTGATTTGGGGCTATAATTTTATTGACGGACATCAATCAATGTCAAAATTAAAATTTTATTGTTGCTGTTAAACAAAATTCCATATTTTTATATTGCAAAAATGTCTCAAAGATTTAACTAAAATGAACAAGAGCTCATTGGTAAGCTGGTAAATGATTTTCCTCGAGAAAGAGACGCTGGTAGAACACTCTTGCCCGTGGACGCCGTATATGAAGTAAGTTCAATGCAAATGTGTAATATTCCTGTGTGAAATACCAATTGACAGCGTGTTTAAATAATATAGCGAGTTGTTGATGCTTTAGAAATAGAAATTTCAACAGTCCAAAGGATTGGAACTAAATAATCGTAACTGATGAAGGGTTCAAGAAAAAATGAATAAATTCGGAAAAACCGGTACTTGCTCAATCAATAATAAAGGAACGTACTTAAAATTCTCTAAACAATATGAACTCATCTCAGACACACTCTAAAACACATATTTGACAAATAATGATGACTTAGCGCTGAAAGATTGCTGAACAGTCTTTTATATTTTTTGTTGTCCCTGTATATTACTAACTAATATATTAATATTATTTTAGGGGGTCGATACAAGAGATTTGACTAAGGTCATCAGAGAAAAAGGTACCATGCTGGGCAAGATCGTTTACAGCTTACCTATACCAGACTCATTAAGCATTCCCGATCCAAATTTAAGAAATCTCGTAGAAGAAGTATCTGTAAAGGTATAGAAATTTCAAAACTATTTCTAAGTATAAAAAATTATTTTTTTTCTATGTTTTTTAGAAAGTAGTTACATACAATAAAGGTGGTTTCCCTAGAATATGTGCTGTCGATTGTGGTCTAAAGTACAACCAAATTCGGTGCTTTTTGAAGAGAGGAGCTAGAGTAGATTTGGTACCGTGGAACCACAAACTGAACGTAGATGAGTTCGATGGGTTGTTCTTGAGTAATGGACCAGGAAACCCAGAAATGTGTGCAATTACTATCCAGAATATAAGAAGTGTCCTGAATAGTTCCAAGAAAAAGCCAGTTTTTGGTATCTGTTTGGGCCATCAGCTGTTATCTATGGCTATTGGGTGTAAAAGTTTCAAAATGAAGTAAGCTTTCTGTTTACTAATCTCAAAATATTAAAATATTCTTGTTAGTCTTGGTCTTGTTGCAAGACTCTTGTAAATCGTGCACTTTTTTTATATATTAACAACATTTTGGATAACAATTTATTAATTTTTCTCTATTTTTAGATACGGTAATCGTGGCCATAACCAACCATGTCTCCACCACGGAACCTCCCGTTGCTACATGACCTCCCAAAACCACGGTTTTGCCATTGATCCAGACACCATTCCGGACCACTGGGAACCACTATTCACCAACGCGAACGACCTAACTAATGAAGGCATAGTTCACAGCAATTTGCCCTACTTCAGTGTCCAGTTCCATCCAGAACACACAGCAGGTCCGCAAGATCTGGAATGCCTCTTCGACGTCTTCCTGGACTCAGTCAAAGAAGGCTCAATTTCCAAGAGAAGCGTCAAAGATAAACTGACAGACAAACTGAAATTCGTCAGCGATGTGCCTGTTGAAACTGACATTCCTAACAAGATCCTTATAATAGGATCTGGTGGATTATCCATAGGACAAGCTGGGGAGTTTGATTATTCGGGATCACAAGCAATTAAAGCTTTGAAGGAGGAGAATATTCAGAGTGTTTTAATCAACCCAAACATTGCCACAGTACAAACCTCAAAAGGTCTAGCAGACAAAGTATACTTCCTCCCATTATTTCCGGAATATGTTGAGCAAGTAATCAGATCAGAGCGACCAGGAGGTGTATTGTTGACTTTCGGAGGACAAACCGGTCTAAACTGTGGAGTAGAACTCCAGAAAATGGGAGTTTTCGATAAATATAACTGCAAAATACTCGGAACACCTATCCAAGCCATCATAGACACAGAGGATCGTAAGGTTTTCGCTGAACGAATTGCAGAAATAGGTGAAAAAGTCGCACCCAGTCTTGCTGTTGGTTCAGTTGAAGAAGCTTTGAAGGCAGCTGATCAGTTAGGGTATCCAGTTATGGCCAGAGCAGCGTTTTCTCTAGGTGGACTTGGCTCAGGATTTGCTAATAATAAGGACGAATTAAAGGCATTAGCTGCCCAGGCACTGGCTCATTCAAATCAACTAATTATCGATAAATCACTAAAAGGCTGGAAAGAAGTTGAATACGAGGTTGTCAGAGATGCTTTTGATAATTGCATAACTGTGTGTAACATGGAAAACGTAGATCCCTTGGGAATACACACAGGGGAATCTATTGTAGTAGCTCCTAGTCAAACTCTCTCAAATCGAGAGTATAACATGCTAAGAACCACAGCCATCAACGTAATAAGACACTTTGGAGTAATAGGTGAATGTAACATTCAGTACGCTTTGAGTCCATACTCCGAAGAATACTTTATAATCGAGGTAAACGCTAGATTATCGCGAAGTTCAGCTCTAGCCAGTAAAGCAACTGGTTACCCCTTGGCTTACGTAGCAGCTAAGCTAGCTCTAAGCATACCTCTTCCAGAAATCAAAAACTCAGTCACTGGAGTGACCACGGCTTGTTTTGAACCCAGTCTTGATTATTGCGTGGTAAAGATTCCTCGTTGGGACCTTCACAAGTTTGCTAGAGTGAGTACTAAAATCGGAAGCTCGATGAAGAGCGTTGGGGAGGTTATGGCAATTGGAAGGAAGTTCGAAGAAGCTTTCCAGAAAGCTTTGCGGATGGTTGACGAGAATTTCCCAGGTTTTGACCCATTCAGCAGTGAAGTAAACGATGCTGAACTCATTGAACCCACCGATAAAAGAATGTTTGTTATAGCTGCGGCTTTGAGGGAAGGTTACAGTGTCTCAAAGCTCCACGAGCTCACAAAAATCGATACGTGGTTCCTACAAAAAATGAAAAACATTATCGACTATTTTACGATGCTCGAAACCGTAGATCAAACTAGTTTGACAAGCGACATGTTGCTGAAAGCCAAACAACTGGGATTTTCTGACAAACAGGTTGCCGTAGCCGTGAAAAGTACCGAACTAGCAATCAGAATGAAGCGTGATGAGTACGCCATCAAGCCTTTTGTTAAACAAATTGACACAGTTGCTGCAGAATGGCCTGCTACGACTAACTATCTCTATTTAACTTACAATGCTACAAATAACGATTTGGACTTCAGTGAAGAACACATTATGGTTATAGGTTCCGGAGTGTATCGCATAGGAAGCTCTGTAGAATTCGACTGGTGTGCTGTGGGATGTTTGAGAGAACTTAGACGTCTTGGAAAGAAAACAATCATGGTAAATTATAACCCCGAAACGGTTAGTACAGACTATGATATGTCTGACAGACTGTATTTTGAAGAAATCTCCTTTGAAGTCGTCATGGACATCTACGATTTAGAAAACCCCGAAGGAATAATACTGTCTATGGGAGGTCAACTTCCTAACAACATTGCCATGGATCTTCATAGACAACAAGCCCGGATTTTGGGTACTTCCCCAGACTGTATTGATGGAGCAGAGAATAGATTTAAGTTCTCCAGAATGCTGGATCGGATCGGTATAATGCAACCCCGTTGGAAAGAACTGACCAACTTGGAGTCTGCTGTCCAGTTTTGTCAAGAAGTCGGATATCCTTGCCTTGTTAGACCTTCATACGTCCTTAGTGGTGCAGCAATGAACGTAGCTCACTCTGATCAAGACCTGAAAACCTACCTAAACGCAGCTAGTGATGTCAGTAAAGAACACCCAGTTGTCATATCAAAGTTTATCCTCGAATCTAAGGAAATAGACGTTGATGCTGTAGCTTGTGACGGTATCATCCTCTGCGTTGCTGTTTCCGAGCACGTTGAAAACGCCGGTGTACATTCAGGAGACGCTACTTTGGTCACTCCACCTCAAGATATCAACGAGGAAACGTTAGCTAAGATAATGTACATCTGCAAGTCCATTGCAGCGTCCTTAGAGGTCACAGGTCCCTTCAACATGCAACTGATAGCCAAAGACAACGATCTGAAAGTTATAGAATGCAACGTCAGAGTCTCTAGGTCTTTTCCTTTTGTTTCAAAGACTTTGAACTACGATTTCGTCGCTATGGCAACTAGGGTTATTGTTGGAGAAGCTGTAGAGCCTGTAGACGTACTGGGAGGTTGCGGAAAAGTGGGAGTAAAGGTTCCCCAGTTTTCTTTTTCAAGATTGGCAGGTGCCGATTTTATGTTGGGTGTGGAGATGGCTTCTACAGGTGAAGTGGCGTGTTTTGGTGATAATCGGTACGAGGCGTACTTGAAGGCTTTGATGAGTACGGGAGTTACTATACCGAAGAAGTCGATTTTGTTGTCAATAGGCAGTTTTAAGGTAAGGAAATAATTAATGTTAATAAGTATAGGGAGATTTGAGACAGATAGGAGTGTTTTACTGATTTTGCTGGCTGTTTTACTTAAAGCCACTTATGATATATAAAATTATGTTTGTTTCAGCATAAAACGGAACTACTGCCGAGTATGAAAATTCTGAAAAGTCTGGGATATAAACTATACGCCAGTTTGGGTACTGCTGACTTCTACAATGAGCACGGTGTCAAGGTAAGCTTGATTTGTATATAAATAAGCATTAAATGCTGTTCTTTGGCAAATGTATGTTAAGTTCTCAACTATTACCCACGTAGCTCCTTTAATTTTCTCCTGTGATTTCTTAATTCTACAGTACAAATCACGAGGTTTTTGCTTGTTTTGACATATGTCATTTGTGGGATAATATAATTTAGACATTAGACATAAACATGATCTGTGGTGGACAATGAATTAGAGTCTGTAATAAGAATATTTTGATTTTTAAGATCTGAGATTAATGTTTTGTTTATTTTAATTTTTATCTAACTTTTCTGCTATACTACTACTGTTTAGTAAATCATTTTTAGCACTACTTAATTCAACAACTTATTAGCTAATATAGTAGAAGTATTTTTTTCCATATTTACTTAATTTTACTGAAAATAAATAATAATTTGCTTTGACAAAACCTGTTCTCTGATTATAGGAAAAGGTACGCGAGAAAAACTGTTCTGTTCTTTAATTCTGTACAACCCTGTATACGAAAACGTGCCTAAAATACGAAAAAAAAATTTTCTCAGAATTTGACGTATCTTGTCAAGTCTTATCGTCGTTTTATCATAATTTGTCAAACATAATATTCTAGATAATTCAAATTATTTTTTTGTAGAAAAAAATGAAACAGATATCACTTTTATTTTTAAGTTTCATCTTTCTAGATTGGACTTCCGGATTTTTGTTTTGTTTTTTTTCAAAAAAGACAAACAAAAAAATTCTAAAAAAACAAATATTTAGAATTAAATATTATTTTTAATTTATAATGTTTGTAAAACATTAAAAATGAATGAAAATATCTATTTTAATATATTTTTTACAAATATATTAATATGGACAAAATATGAAGAGTGTGTGCTATAAAATGAAGTAAATTTTACATAATATTTTGAAATTACTAGCAGATATTTTTTTTTCAATAAAATTAATATTTATTTATATTCTACATATAAGTTGACAAGTATTTGATTTGTGAATCTTGGAAAACACATTATAATTATTATTTAATATAATATATTCTATTTTTATCCGTCTCTCATGTTATCTCTTACCATTCACAACCAAGTGAAAGATATACATCTCAGACATACCTAATCATGTCCAATATACCGTCTTATTGATTGATCAACGTAAAATTCAAAATAATTTTGAAACCTTTGTTTAAAATAGACAGAAAAAACATACATTTCAAACAAATTTGTATAAAAAAATGATAAATACTTATTTTGATTTTTATCAATAAATTTAGATTAATACTTCATAGGTATAACAAAAAAAAATCAGACAGTAGCAAATAATATTTATTTCTTAACATTTAATTGAATATAAATTACTAATTATATAATATTATCTTAAACTATTATATACAAATAAATTAGTATATATCTATATAAAAATGTTATTAAATTATTATATAAAATTTCTTTGTAATGTAATAATTAAATGGTAATGTAAAACCATTACAATTATTGTCACTGTCAATGACAGTCTAAAGTATGACTATATCTAAAATGTCTATATTGGAATAGTAGATTATTTTCTTTTATCTATGCTATATTGGTCTATATATTTATTGTCATATAACAATTATCACTTATTTTTTTATTACTTATTTCTTTTGCAATTTACAATATAATAAAACTATCATCAAATATTGGATCTTTATAACAGCATGTCATTTTTGTTTACAAAACATTACAGTTTATCCAACTTTAATAGTAATCAAATTTTGATCAGCTAACTTTGTTTTAATTCAAAATTTTTTTTTTGGATTAAAAACACTATTCCCTGATTTTTATAAAATAAGATTCCCATTTTGGTGTAAACTTAAGCTTGCAAATAGTTAAAGATACATATTTGTTTAGATAATCTACATGGGAATCACACTACTTGGTTGCAATTAGTTAATATCTACAGCCGATTGTCTTAAATTTACTTTTAAATTTTACACTGCATTGTTTCATTGTTATTTATTATTATCTTTGGAGTTATTTAAAAAAAATGATATTTTTGAACATTTTTGAACAGTTCATTTGGCTGTTCTACAGTTCATTTTGGCCGAAGGACATATAAATGATCGTATAAGTGCATAAATCATGTATATATTGTTTGTTTTCTTTAGACCCATCATATACAAGCAAAATGTAAACAAACTGTTTTATTTTCACAGATTTTTCACAAAAATACACTGTTTCACAAGAATGTCACAAGCAAAATGATAATAATTTTAACCCATTTTAAAGAAACAGTGAATTATAAAAAAATGGAATCACTAGCCCTAAATTTAGAATTTTTTCTTAAAATATTTGAGAAGTGAATATCACCTTATTTCATTTATTTCTTCCATACTTTTACTATTATAACTAAAAGCTCTAGAATAAATTTTACTTAAAGATATTAAGTTTGTATTTCTTTCCTTTATCTGTTGTTGAATATCCATATAAATATCAGCATTGTCTTCACAGTGAACTTCACATTTCACACATTCACTCACACTTTCACGTATCATTTCTTCACTTTCTTCGAATTTTACCCCGCATTCTTCTATACCAGTTATACACTGCTCTTCTAATTTCCTTAGTTCCTCAAAAGTTTGATCTACTTCTTCTCTAAAGAGTTCATTTTCCTCTTTCAATATCGTTGCCAAATAATATGCTTGTTTCACGTAGAATAGGGTTTGCTTTTTGGTGCTGATCTTCCAGCTAGTCTTGGCAATTTCCATAAAATTTTTGATGAAAAACTTCAATAGGGCTATTTTCTTTTGTCGATGGAAGGATTTCTCACATTGCCACTGAAAATTAGAAGAATTGGAATTAAAATCATAGTACTACAAGTTTTTGAATTAAAATACTAAGAAAGAGATCAAATACTATTCTGATATTCAGACGTTAGATAGAAGTGTGTATATTTATTTCTTGTATATTTGTTGCAAAGAGTACATATCTCGAAAAGCATTGTGTCAGTAATTGAATCACAGTGATAATATTGTGAATATCAAAAAAACATAATGGAACAACTTTTTACTAGTAAATAATCATATAATATATGTGTACATACACTAAGAGATACATACACTAAACTGCAACTTATTTTTATAACAAAAAATTTAACAAATACATTTGAAACATAAAAACACTTAAAAATGAGATAGAAATACATAAAATTTCACTTACATCGTCTTTGATACTGTCTATTGAAGATCTTCTTACTTCCATCACACTGTAACTAGATTTCTTGACCTTCTTCTCCTTTTTTTCATTCTTCCCCTCCATAATATGCTTCATCTTCATATGCTTCACGTATATCAACTGTTTCTCCGCATCATCAAACATAGGCTTCTTCTGAACCGAGTCTTGGGAACTGAACGATTTCCTATCACTAGGAACACCCACTATGTTTAAGTTCTCCCAATCACGCCGGTACAAAATTTTCAGCAAGTCTTCATAGTCCAAGGGAGAATAATAATTTTCGTTGGTATATCGAATGTTTCGGAGTGCTCTCAATATCATCATCAAAGGCGATTGAAGAATATTATGGAACACTTCGTTAGCTACCTCTAGATGTTTTCTGGAAGCATTCTTAAACAAGTTCTTCCTTCTGATGAAGTAGTCGTTCAGTTTCCTGTTCTGTAAAGCCAAGGAGAATTTCTTACAGATATTTCGTAAATTTGTTCCCAAACGATGGTCAGGCCATCCGTCGTAGTGTCTCTCAGATTCATGCAGAATTACAGTTAGTAGATGCTCAGGCAGGACACCTCTTTTTTTCGTGAAGGTTTCAATGTATTCTTTGTGCAAAGCCAGAAGAACCATGTAACATTTGATTTGTTCTGGTCTGAGCATGCATTCTAACAATCTCTCGGCATAAGGGAAGTGTATTTCCCACTCCAGATCCCCTTCTGGATACTCTCCAGGTTTCTTAGAGTACCCTCTTGGAACTAACACACAATCGAACGTTTTGAACTTTCTGAGTATGGCGGGGTTTGAGTACATCTCTGAATCGTCAAGATTCAGAAAATCAAAAGTTTCCCTTTCAGGCCAGGGTATTTTTAAGCAAGGTATCACTTCTACTGGACTTTTATTGTTGTTGTTATCCAGGATACTACAGAAAATCTTGCCAGGTGACTGCTGAAGAACATAGGCATCATCTATTTCGTTTTGAATCATCCCGAAATGTTTTGCCATGAAGTTTTTGAATATCTTGCTCTGGAAGAACTTCATGAAAGTTCGTGAGTTCAGATAACCTACTACGTCGTAAACGTCAGTGTCAGAGAGGTTTTCGTGGTCCAGCTCATCGAGGATGATGTCGATGTCTTCTTTTTTCGTTTTTCTGTATACCAGACAATCTTGAAATCGATAGTCTTCTTCCTGGTCTTTGATTAGTTGACATGGATCTTCTGTTGAGTTGTTTTCTGATGAGTCAGTATCACTGCTTCCTGAGTTACTGCTAGATGATGCAGAATGTTCATCTTTCGGTGTTTGAATGTCTATGTCGTTTAAGTTCTTCATTTCCTTCAACTTGACGAAGCCTAAATTCAAAAAATTCGCCTTTAGGTATGAGTTTTTTTAGAGATTTTTGATGAATCTACTGACCTTTTCTGTTTGGTTTGGTTTTATCGATCATAACGTGGAATTTTCCAGGTTTTTGAGAAGGCAAAGCATCGTGGTTCATGGGGTCGTATATTTCGACGTACTTGTTCATTGGTACGTACAGTCTTTTGGTTACCAAGGGTTCTGAGGTATTTTTGTTTGGTCCATGGATGGGTTGGTAGGTTATGTTGTTGTTTACTGTTTCCATGATGACATCTGGTTCCAGGAATTCGGACTGGGATCGTTGGATTGAGATTAGAGATTCGTAGACATCCCTAGAACAAGATAAAACAATACTATTTTTTAAAAATCAAATAAAAAAGTGGAACACATAAATAAAAATAGGATTTGTAGCTAAGAATCAAATTTTTTTAGATAAAAATATAATATGTAGTAGATTAAATTTACAAGAAAGAAAACCCAGAAAAGATACGGTGGTTCTCAAAATTTAAGCAAAACTAATTTTTTTATTTTGAAAATAACTCGGTTATTTTGGACTTATTTGGAAAATGGTAAAGAGAAAATATGTTTCTTTTATCGAGATCTACCAGCTCTGAAAAAATTTGCACTTATTTAAGACTCACCCTGTATATAGAAGAGAAATGATAAGAAATTTGTTAAAAAAACAGTATAAATATTATATGATAACAAAAAACATTACCAAATAAACTGTTTATACGTCATTTTGCAATGTTAAATGTGAATCATGTTTACAAAAAATGAAAATTTGAAATTTTTAATGATTTGCAAACATTGTAAAAATATTTTAATTTTATTTAAATACTTTTGAAATGTTATCCCACACAAAGAAGAAAATAAAACATTTTTAAAGTACTCTAAAGCGTATAAGTTTGTGTAAATATTATCTAGAGATTATACATCTTAAGGCTTTTAAAATGCTTTTAGAAAAAATCAACTAATCTTGGAAATGGTAATTCCCAAAAAACACATATTTATCCTTTGAGCGAGTGTGAATAACTCGTTCTGCATCCTAAAAATCTTTTTATTAATGGGTGGATCAAAAACACCGATTATTTGTAATAAAATAGGCCTCAATTTGATTGTTTGAGGATTTATTATGTTTTTTTAAAAGATAAAAAGTTTGATTTTATATGATATACAATAAAGAAATAAAGGTTTTCATATTTTTCATTGTTCTTGTTTAAAAAATATTTTTCGTAATATGTAGTTTGTATTTCTCGACATTAACTATTATAAAAAGTAAATTACGATCGAAAATTGACGCCGTTTTTTTCGATGGAGAATGACGATGATAATTTTGACGAGGTCAAGCCCTAGACACCATTACTTGGCACGTACTCTGCCTTATTTGTTAATACATATATAAATTCTGCTTAATGTTAGTACGAGCGTTCATTAAAAGAATTTCTTTAATCAACGATATAAGATTCTAGTTGATGATGCAAACATATTTTATTTTATTAATTTTTTTTAAAAAAACGGCGTCAGCGGTGACTATGAAATGAAGATCGCTGTCATTTTATATGTAAAATTTTATGGGAAATGTCATCGATCGTCATTTCCCAGCCAGCGACGCCGTTTTTTTCGATCATACGGTATTTTTTTGCGATGATGATAATACTGCAACAACTTTTTGTTTTTTAGATTATTTATAAATATTAATACGTAGAATTTTTAAACCAATAAAAATCATTTACATATTTGTAATAATTTGCCACATTATCTTGCTAATATCATGAAATTTCATCTCGTTTCGAATATGTTATAATTGATATTCTGAGCACCTATCTATTTATTTAGGCTTATATCGTTCTAATAATTCGATTTTAATATATTTTGTACAAATTTAACAGGAGATACATGAATTTAGGCTTATCTGATATATATTTTTTTCTGAGAAATCTTTTTGAGGTCTTATCGCAGACTCTCTATGAGGGACCTGTCATTTTTTAAAATAGTTATCTTTCGATATTTGTTTTGTACTTCTTCAGATTGTTTGAATCAAATAATATCTTTAGAATGTTTTATTTTTTAAATATTCATGAATTATTTTAGCCCAGAGTTCACAAAATGTATTCTATATCAGATGAACAGATGTTGAATACAGATATGATGCGCAGTTAGTAGTGAACGTAACGTCTACCGGCAGCCGGACGGTCGGCATTCTGTTCAGGAGAGCATTACAAAGGATATAAAGAACCAGCTTTCTTTCTCTATATAAAAAAAAACATATAACATATAAACGACACCAATTACAAACCAAGTCAGTACATCCGATGAACGGAGGCATGGAAATGCAATAAATTTAAAAACTGCGTAATTTTTTCTAACCAATCATCGAAGTCTTTAAATTCAACCAATAAAATGAATATCGTATCGTCGTATCGTCGGATACCGGCTGCATGAAAATCAAGCTTAATCCGTTTAGTAATATTGCCCAAGAAATGAATAATGAAGAATGTTCTCATATTAGATTTATTTCTTGTGTCACCAAACCACAAGTTATTTTTTTATACAAAACATGTTTATTGTTCCAGCATTTTTCTTCATTTATCTCCAATTGACGCGTTTGTATTATCCAGACAAACAATTCAAGACAATCTGTACAAAAAACAAAAAATACATTCATAATTTTCAAAACACTTTCAATGCGTAATGAAAGATTAGATAACTCCATTTATTACAATAAAAACAGAACAATAAAAAAAGGAACAAATCAAAAATAATTCGGTACTGCTCTGTGCTGAGAAAAAATTTCTTAAAATTTATTTAGTTAAAAAAATAGAGTTAAGCTTTTGCTAATCCCTCATCAATGTTATCAGACAGATCAAACAAAAACATTTAATACTATAATTTGTTTAGTATATAATTATCAGAAATAGGACAAATAATGATAGTAAAAGTAACTATACTTCCTTGTTTATAGGGGAAAGTTGAGTAAGCTGGACCACAATCATTTCAGAATAAATATTGCTTCAAAATCGTGAGAGATAATAAATAGACTACAATCATAGACTAATGTCACGTACTAGAGATAGATTGGACACTGATATAAAACAAATGGGTCCGTCATTTAGAGCCACCTGGTGATCCGGAAGAAACTAATGGAGAGTTTTGGCATAACATAATTTTAGCGTTCTGTTACTTATTAACGCTAATTAAAACGGTAACGTTATTCAAGCGCAAAATTATTCCTTGTAAAATATAAAATAATAAATATAGACTTTTTTACTCCATTTTATGTTTTATTAGATCATTAGAAGTGTAACATAATTACAACAAAATTAAAATTATAAATACATACATTTTAAACACCAACAATAGATCACATATCGCCTATTTTTTTTTGATTTAACAACTAAATTATAATATAGTAAAAATATTATAGACTACTAATCAACTGTTACTAAAAATACTATATATTACCAACTATGTACTTACTTATTTATGATTAAACTATTTTTTTATTTGGTTTATAAATTATTATTTCTAAAATGTCAAAATGACTTTAATAAAAAAGTTTAGTATCTAACACGAAAATGATGATCGACTGTAAGTATCAGAATGCACAAACTAATAAAAACACAAACTATAAACACAAATCACTGAACTTTCCGACAAATCAGGAATATCTGGGAATTTAATAATTATTTAAATAATGATTTAAAAATAACTTGACGGATCACCACCATTTTGTCCAACTAGACAAAAACTAGACCATAAACAGTAGTTAACATAGACACTGTCATGTCATCTTCATAATATAAATTAGAAACCTGTAGTTTAATGTCTTTTGCGTCGTCTGGTGATGCGGAAGAAACTAAATTTATAGTTCTATAAAATTACCATTGAGTGTCTAGGGCATGACAATACAATGCTTCAAAAATTTATCAATGTCAATGTCATCATCATCATTTTCAGCTTATTCAACCATTTCCAATTATGGTATACCTTCCCTTACAATGGCCATGGGAAATTGTTCATATGAACTCATGGTACTTGCTCGAAGTAGCGGACGGTCCGTCGCGGACGCTCCGCTCCATCTGAAAGCGCTGTTATATGGCTTTTTCGGAGATGCGAGATGCGAGTGATATTTGAAGATGCGAGTGGTCAAGAATAGGTACCCTGAGACGGCGGTGGTTGCCGGTAAGCAGAAACCTGCCTCCACTATGTTTGTACCCTTATTGTTTGTACCATGTACAAGTTACTTTTTAAAGAGTTTTAGAGTTGATAGGTTGCCAGATCTATCCAGTACTTTAAAAAGTTCTATTAAAAGTTTCCTCTAAAATTAATAGGGGAGCCCAAAACGACACCCTTAAAATTTACATGAGATTTCCTATAGGTATGTCCTAAATCGATGCATAACTGGGTATACGAACATTGCAACTTAAATAAAAGCTTATAAAAATGGTTGTTTTTAGCCTAGTATACCCTATAAACAGCGAAATAGGTGTACGCGTACTAAATTGAGATGACAAATTAATTAGTTCAGATGAAAAATAATTTATTGGATTGAATTGTTCTAAAATATTTTTTTGGTGATAATGTGAGTCAGCTGGTGAAGTAATTCTTTAAAAATAGTTGGAAAAGTAGAGTTAAGAAAAGTTAACATATCGAACACTGCTGATGAGTAACACTCCTTCAAATTCTTTTTTATGACTTGTGTCACTTTGTAGAGTTTAACAATGCAAAAATCATATAATAAATGTTCAGACGTGTCTTCAGCCGAAAAATAAAAGAGGTGGGCATCTATAGATGTTAGTACTGTGTGGTAATCTTTTATAAATGTCATTGGGCTATCGAATTTTTTCAAACACCACAACATAAATACCAACGACTGTAAAAAATATATTTCATTTTATTAAATGAAATGTTTTTTTTTGTTTAAATTTTGAAAACAACTGGATCTTTTTTGAGTTCCTTTCTTGTAAATTTATTCTACTCCCAATATTGCTATATTATCAAGATATTATATTTTTCAACAATCCTTCCCGGACACAAACGGTACATTGTGAAACAGGAAATTGTAGAGAGAAGCAAGCCCTATAACATAGGATACAACATTTTAATGAACAGTGCTTTTCATAAAATTAATAAAATGAAAAATATACGAAATAATATACATGTACTGATTTCTGTCGAAAATCGACAACTATGAAACTATGAACCCTTTTTGGACACAAACGGTACATTGTGAGACAGGAAATTGTAGAGAGAAACAAGCCCTATAACATAGGATAAAACACTTTAATGAACAGTGCTTTCCATAAAATCAACAAAATGAAAAATATACGAAATAATATACATGTACCGATTTCTTTCGAAAATCGACAACTATGAAACTATGAACCCTTCCCGGACACAAATGGTACATTGTGAGACAGGAAATTGTAGAGAGAAACAAGCCCTGTAACATAGGATACAACATTTTAATGAACAGTGCTTTCCTTAAAATCAATAAAATGAATAATCATCAATCAAAAAAAATAAAAATTCTTCACGTAAGAATCCACCTCTAAAAATCCACCCCTAAGCCACTGTTTTCGTGATTCAAAAAAATAATATTTAATGCACTTAATAAAATAATTAACACTCACTGCTTGTAATTCTTGTGAAAAACCGTGCACATCAGCACATTGTTCAGCACAAACATCTCGGGATCATTGTCCAGATCATTTTTAATTATACTGATCAGTTCTTTATCGTAACTATTCAAAATAGCACAATCACTACCGTCAAAAAAATTCACATCACAGTCACTGTTCACGTTTCTCTGACTCTCCAAGACTTCCAAAAAGACAGTTTTTGAATTTTTTACACCCATTTTCAGCCAAAAAAATTGAATTAAAAATAAACCAAAAAAAATATTTCTTTTAAAATAACTGATTTAAATTTATAATTATGGCTGATAACGGATCAACGCTAAAAGTACCGGTAGTACTGTTATCATCGTCGGTTTTTGTGCGAAGACGACTAATTTGAAGCTAGGAACCAATTATATTTGCGTTAAAAGATGTTTTATATCTTATCAATTATTTAAAGCGGTTTATGTACATATAGAGAAATGTTATGTATTTGTTCTGAGAACAATTTTAATGAATTGTGACGTTTGTCCAATACATACATGACGTCATAGTAGAAAAAAATTATATTAAAAAAATTAAATTATTAAAATTATTAATTAATTAAAAATTTATTATTAAATTAAAATAATTAAATTAATTTAATTATTAAATAATTAATATTTAAATTAATTGTTCAGATTTAGTTACCACTAAATTATTGCACAGGATGTTTAAAGCTAGGGTAAAGAACCATGAATTAACCCCAATATAATAAGCCAAATACTAAAGGTTATAAAAATTGAGTTTACCGAATTCAAGCTAATTTATATACAGTTTGCTAAACTCATGAAAATAGGGGCTAAAAGTAAAAAATATAACACTTTAAAAACTTTAGCGTTTTTTTGCATCTGGGTGTGTTATCCCACGGCTACACAGAAAGCGTTTTATGCGTTTTTAGCGTGAAGCGTCTTTAGCGACTAAAACAAAATAACAGGATTATATAGGAGTGGCCACACCAAAAGCGTGTAGCGTTCGGCGTGTCTCGCAAAAAACGCAAATGAAAACAAATCAGTTTGTTTTCTGTAGCGTCTTTAGCGTTTTCTAAGATGAGACCCCGTCATAGGCGGACGTTATATTTAATAATATAATAAAAATAAATTAAATAGTATGCATTTTTTTCATTTTAGGGTATTATCTAAAAATATTTTTATAAAGAACATCTACTGTTTAGGAAGATTCTATTAAATTCAAAAATTTGAAGGAAATGTTTGAAAACGTGTAGTTTGAAATGTTGAAAAACTAATAAATAAAGGAATATTTTCTTACGCGTAAAAAATAGTTTTTTACGTGTAACAAATAGTTTTTTACACGTAAAAAATATTTTCTTTTGCGTAACAAAAGCTTTTTTACCAGAAACAATAAGTTTATGACGCGTTAGAATTAGTTTTTTACGTGTAACAAATAGTTTTTTATACGTAAAAAATGTTTTTTTTTTGAAAACGTGTAGTTTGAAATGTTGAAAAACTAATAAATAAAGGAATATTTTCTTACGCGTAAAAAATAGTTTTTTACGTGTAACAAATAGTTTTTTACACGTAAAAAATATTTTCTTTTGCGTAACAAAAGCTTTTTTACCAGAAACAATAAGTTTTTGACGCGTTAGAATCAGTTTTTTACGTGTAACAAATAGTTTTTTATACGTGAAAAATATTTTTTTTTGTGTAAGAAAGGTTTTCTACCAGAAACAATAAGTTTTTGACGCGTAAAAAAAGATTTTTTTACGTGTAACAAATAGATTTTTACACATAACAAATAGTTTTACACGCGTAAAAAATAGCTTTCTACCAGTAACATATAGTTTTATACGCGTAAAAAATAGTTTTCTACCAGTAACAAATAGTTTTATACGCATAAAAAATAGTTTTTTACGTGAAACAAATGTTTTTTTACGCGTAATTACTTATTTCACTTTTCCAAAATTTGTATTAAAATATCAATATTTTTGATAAACACGTGGACTGCTCACAAATACACCTCGCGTCACTATGTATTTCTAAGCCGTTAACACGTTTTGTTACAACGAACTCGTGTGTCAGGGCCGTCTCACTAGCTCGTATGTCACGGCCTTGAATTTTTACTCCCAGCGCGCGTAAAGAAATTTCACTCCAAACTGTGTCATAAATCATGTCCTAAAATTGCATTAGCAACTAGAGATATTTACTATTCTATTTATATAATTATAATTATTTATTATATTATACTATAATTATAACAAGTACTAACCCCCACACTACAACATAAAAAACCATATACATATAAACTAAAATTCCTAAAATAAATGGTAAATAATAATTATTATTTTTACACACACCACTGGCACTAGCAGTAGATTGTGTTTGTTTCCGAATATATGCCCCGGCCCGTCCACAATTCAATCCAAGTTAATTTTATCTTTGTCTCTTCAACGCTAACGGCGCCGATCTCGCCTATCTCTTTCTCACAGGATTGATTGTTGAACGGGCCGGGAATACACGAGCTTGCGACGTTATTAATTGACATATTGATAGAAACTGCAGACCTGCCGCGTCTTTTGCGTGTTTTTAATGGACAAAAAATCAGAAAAAAGCGCTTAAACGGTAAAATCGCAAAAGCACTTGAGACGCAAAAACGCAAAACGCTAAAAGCAGCTTTTCTGTGGCCGTGGAGGCTTAGTCATAGGATATTTATCTACATGAAAAATAAATTAAATGTTAATGATTATTTTGCCTGCATCCATCTACCTGTTTAATTTTTATCAGAATTTTTAGTAATACACATTCAAAGTCAGCATATTTTTCTGATAATTCAGATGATTTTCAATATCTCCGAAGTCCATTAGAACTCATTGTTCTATTTATATAGATGCAATTATTTTTTATGACTTTTGAACCAAGGAAATAGATTTATTTTTGATTATCACTTAGTCACGATGTTTTCTAGAAAATTGACTATGTATTCTAGTCGGATATATTATATGATCTTTAATATAAGATTGATGACAGTCAGATTTTGATATTTGGAAATGAACAAATACAGGACGACCTACAGTAAAAAGGTCTAATACCAGATTTCTTATTTGATATTTTCAAAATTTCAGGTAAAACTTCTTTTAAATACTATACAGGGTGTTATTGAAGTGGGTGTAAAAAAATCAGGGGTGATAGTATACAAAATAGTAAAAATTTCTATAAGTATAGGGCCGGAAAATGCAATATTAAGGAGTTAGGGGGCACTGAAAGGGTGAATTTAAAAAACGGTTGTTTTGAAATTGTAGGCTTAAAAAACGAGATAAAATTTGGAAAAAAATGCTTTGCCATAAATGTTGACCCTAAATCAAATAGTGATACTGAAAAATTATTTGGAAAAGCGGAAAGAGTAGTTTTTGCAAGGGTAGGGGGTTGTTTCGTGAATAACTTCTTAGAGGTTATCTTTTTTGCAACGCGGGTTTATTTTTTGAAAACTACATACTTTTTCCTACAAAAAGGGTACTCTTGTTGCACATCGCCCAGAGCGATGGTTTTCAAGAAAATTGAAGGCAAAGAGTTTGCTCTGATGGGTTGGTATCAACATAAACTTATGAAAGTTATGGCGGTTCAAAAGTTACCAAGTAGTTATCAAATAATTAATTGAACATTCAAAATTTTATGATTTTTAAAATATTTTATTGCTTTGAAAAACGAAATAATCCACTAGATTTCTACTTCTGGGGCCACTTTGAAAGCTTTGGTTTACTCAGTGCCGATTAATACTGAAGAGCAACTACGGCAACGCATTATTGACTATTCCAATCAAATTCGGACAAACACCAAGGATATTCCACAGGGTACGCAGATCTTGGAGAAGAAGAGCAGATGTCTGCATTGAATGAATGGTGGTCACTTTAAACGTTTACTATAAATGAATTAAGGAATGCATTATTTTAATAAGGAATTTTGGTAATTGGTTTATTTCGTTTTTAAAGCGATAAGATGTTTTAAAAATTATCAAATTTTGATTTTCCAATTAATTATTTAATAACTACTTGGTTACTTTTGAACCGCCATAACTTTCATAAGTTTATGTTGATTAACCAGTTAGCAACCCATCAGAGCAAACTCTTTGCCTTCAATTTTCTCGAAAACCATCACTCTGGGCGATGTGCAACAAGAGTACCTTTTTTGTAGGAAAAAGTATGTAGTTTTCAAAAAATGAACCCACGTTGCAAAAAAAATAACCTCAAAAAAGTTATTCACAAAACAACCCCCTTGCAAAAACTACCCTTTCCGCTTTTCCAAATAATTTTTCACTATCACCATTTGATTTTATGGCAGAGCATTTTTTTTTCGAAATTTTATCTCGTTTTTTAAGCCTACAATTTCCAAACAACCATTTTTTAAATTCACCCTTTCACCTAACTCCCTTAATATGCATTTTCAGCCCTATACTTATAGGAACTTTTTTTTACTATTTTTAGGAGTACTATCACCCCCGATATTTTTACACTATTTCAATGACACCCTGTATTTGTGGCTTTACGGTCAGACATTTGCTTCACATCTAACCATATTTATAGCATAATTATCTTAAATTCTATTTACTTTTCTTATCTTACTCTAATTTATTAAAGCTTAAATATACAACTATACATCTCCAAAAACCATTCTTTTCGTTTAACATTAATTAAAAATGATATAATTAGTATTTTTTTCTCCAATTCCAGGTCGAGTCGGTTCAGTGGACTTTCGAAAACATCGACGACATCACCAATGAGTCAGAGTTGATTCCTTTGGCAGAGTTCCTGTCCAAAAAACAGTTTGATCTGGTGATAAACTTGCCCATGAGGAATGGTGGAGCTAGGAGAGTGTCTTCGTTTATGACCCATGGATATAGAACTAGAAGATTGGCCATAGATTACTCTATACCGCTTATAACGGATGTCAAGTGCACGAAACTTCTTGTCGAGGTAAGGACTCTAGCTGTTAAGGTACATTTAGGCTGAGAGCGTACAGGATCGAGCGTCGCGTCGCGTTTGCGTCGAAATGGAATCAATTCACTTAACTTAAATTAGACCGTTCAGGCAGACAGCGTCGCGTTTGGCGTTGCGCTAGCGTCCGCTGAGCGTTGGAGGTGGAGTACCTTTAAGGCCCGGTTTTTCATACTCACAGTTCAGGATTAGGTTTAACATTGTAAATTGTATTGTGTCCCCTTTTTTTCTGTTTTCTTGGGTTATAACTCATCATACAATCTCAGGGCTTTTACAAAAGCCAGTATCTGAGACGGTTTTACAGAGATTACTTTTCCATCTCCGATATCAGTCGTAGCAGAGTTTATGGTACCAATATTGCTCAATAGTACAGTGAGATAAACATCTACGAGTATACTAATATATAAAATCCTTAAGTGACTCACTGATTAATCACGATCCTGCTCAAACCACTCAACGTAAGAAGCTCAATTTTGGTACAAGTTGATTCTAGGGTGTTCGAAACTCGAATTTCAAGGGGGTGAAACCACCCCTCAAATATTAGAACATTTTTTATTTAAAAACCGGTGAGTTTTTCGGAAAAAACTCTTAAACACGTATATTTTATTTTCTTGTTTTACATATTTTAAGATTTTTCAAAAATGTATACAGAGTGTTTCGAAAAATCGGGTCATTGATTAATCACGATCCTGCTTAAAGCGCTTGACGTAAAAAGCTGATTTTTGGAAAACGGATTGATTTTAGGGTGTAGAGGTTCGATAAGAAGGGATTTTTCGAAACTCTAATTTTAAGGGGGTGAGACCACCCCTCAAATATTAGAACGTTTTTTATTTAAAACCGGTGAGTTTTTCGGAAAAACTCTTAAACACGTATATTTTATTTTGTTGTTATACATATTTTGTATAACATTTATTTTTTTAAAAAAAATATACAGGGTGTTTCATAAAATATGACCATGGAGTAATCACGATTCTGCTTAAACTGCTTGACGTTTAAAGCTGATTTTTGACAAACGGAGGGTGAAAACGTCCCTCAAATATTACAATATTTGTTATTTAAAAAACGGTTAATCTTTCGGGAAAACGCTCGGACACGCATAATTTATTTTGTTTTTTACATATTTTGAATTTTTTTAAAGAAATCATTTAGGGTGTTCCAAAAAGTTGGGTAATTGATTAATCACGATACTGCTCCAGTTTGTATGTTAATGGAAATTCTTGCTTTGCTTTATCATCACCATTACAAATGATTAATTCGACGCGAACGCGGAACATGAAGTCGCGGGTACACGCTAGTTTTTAATATAAAGGGAACAAGCTAGTTAAAGATATTCTTCTTGTGCTTTACAGAAATTAATCGATAAACATCAAATAATCGATATATCGTTGTTAGTATATTATTCCTAGTATTTAATCATAAAATCAAAAATTCTTTACTTATCAGAAAACACTTATACACCTGCTGTATTACTAATAATAATTATTATAAACTTTTTTATTTAAATGAAATATATAGATAAAACTGCATAAAGATAAATGTAAAATGCATTTTATTAATAGTGATAATCACCATATTGCACTTGATATTAATCTGTAAGTACCCTGTTCTAGAAAATGCATAGAAAAACATATTTATTTTCTAATTTGATCTATAAAAGGACCACTTCAAAACTGCAAATTAATCGATTTATATGCATTTTTTGTTATAAAAAAACTAGTAATTAGATATCGATATCGCATTAAAAATGTCTCAAGTATTATTTGCACTAACACTTAAGAGATAATCAATAAACAAATATATGAGTAAACTATATCATTTGCAACTATTTGACTATTTTATTCCTGTATTAAATACATATTTTGTTACGTAATTATAATTAAACAATGTAATTTATTTCTAACTGAATTAATATAAGTTTATATCGTCTTAAGAGTCCACTGGTCCGAAAGTAGCAAAATAAGCGTTCGGCATTTAACGTTTTATGTAAAACTGGCTAGGTATTTTTACACAAATGAAGAAGGAAATTAAAGATAAATGATTATACTATATCCGTATTGTAGCACATTTTTTAGACAACTTCATTATTTTTAAGATTTTGATGGTCAAACTTCAACAAAATATTCCTTATGTTTGGACTAAATTTTCTCGAAAATAAAGACGTAATTTAAAATTCCGTTACAATACGGAAATAGATTGAAGTTTTGTGATTACAGTGATATATAATTTATATGATTTTGTAACAAATTGCTCGCTATTTTATGGCAAATGCTGAAGCTCTGCAAACCTTAATCAAGCCTTAATCAAAACACGTGTGTTTGTAATTTTGGGTATGGCTTAATACGACAGGATCGGGCTAAGCCTTAAGCCGGCGCCACACATTCGGATATTTGTGACAAATATTTGTGTATTTGGCAAATATCCGAATATTTGGATGGAACAAATATTTGAACAAAGCGGCAAATTTAGATAATTGCGACAAATACAAATATTTTCCGCTCGAAGTCGGTAAGTTATCACAAATCAAAGGCGCCAAATACTCTCAACTTTGATCGAACCACATATTTGCACCAATATTTAGACGAGTTTTGCGCGCAATCTTGACGGCATCGGCACGTGCTGGTGTCTGTTTGTATATGTTTACTATTGTTTAGTGTGATTAGTGCGTTCACAATGGAGTTTTTAGATCTTTATGAAAATGAACCTGCAATTTAGAATGCTATGCATCCGCTTCACAAAAATAGAAATGCGATGCGTGGCAAAGAATTCAACAACAATTAGGAATGAGTCCTCCATCCCAGACCTTAAAAAAAAAGAAAGCATCTTTGATGGCTAGATTTCGCAAGTGTCAAGCAAAGGATTGTAGTTGACAGCAAATACCCAATTACCGAAGCAAATACCCAATTACTATATTTGACCTGATTTGGCCAATACAGTTCAGTTGTCAAGAAATAGACTAATAAACATATATATGTACAAATACATATTTGCGAAATATCCGAATGTATGGCGCCGGCTTTAGGGTAGATTTCTGAAATATAATATATATTTCCTTCGGCCACACACCCGCTTTGCCCTTGAGACCCAAACAGTACAGCGTAATAGACTCTTAAGAGTCATTAATTCTTTGGGACATTGGTAACGGGAATTAAGATGCCATAGTTCTCTCTACCTTTTATGGGTAACAACCATGAAATACAATAGAAATTTTGAGGTAATAATATAAAATGAAAATAGACCCTCATCTAATTACTTTAATAATTTATTTACATCATTATTGTCACATATAATATATTTACAAGAGAACAGTTTTATTGACATCCCCTGCTACAATATTTATCTGTCTCAGCCAGTGAAGGTATTTTTTATATTCCTTTTTTGTAAATAGATTCATTTTTAGATGAAAGTAACGATTCTCGTGCTTCTTCAGCTTTTTCTGAGATTTCTTATCAGAAAAAACATACTCGAACGTAGTAGTGGGAACTATCGAATGAATACTATCGAAACATTCGATAGTTGCAATTCATTCGAATAATTCGATAGTTAGTAAGAAAACATTCGTTGAAAACTATTCGAATAAAAATTATCGAATAGATCCGTCATCTGCCTTGAAATATTGTATTCTAGTAATTCGGCAGCAAAAACCATTCATTTATAAAATTCATTCATTTATAAAATTCATTCATTTATAAAATTCATTCATTTATAAAATTCATTTCATTTATAAAATTCATTCATTTATAAAATTCATTCATTTATGAAATTCATTTATTCGTCAGGATCGATTATAATAAAATATTAACTGAATTTTAGTTGTCGCCCGGCGACGTAGGTTTTTCGAGAAAGCGGTCGGTGGCAATGCTATGAAAGGAAGCCGGCATCTTTGATTTTTTTGCGGAGTCATATATAGATAAGGACACATTATTTTTTATTGAGGTGCTAGTATTTACACAGAAAATACATTATGAAGGGCGCTGTTGCCATATTTTTGTATTAGTTGATATTAGCAAAGAATATTATAGTTTGGCTTTAGTTAGTTAGGGATAATATGTCTATATATTCTGCATTTTTTATTAATATTCTGTTGTTACACTGCAATAATATTTGTTATTTTGGATGTAGGAAAATTATTTTAATGTTTTTAAGCAAAGACTGGTTTAATAAATAATAATAACAGTAATAATTTGTTATACCTATTAACAACAAAATTTAAAATCATTTAATATAAATATTTTTTTTTTTTAAGTAGTAGCAAAATATAAACAACAAATTAGATGTCAAAATTATTTATATTAGATCCTATTTAAAAATAATATAGTCTCTAATTTTTTTTTGGCAACGTTGGTTTATTAAATAATAATAATTACAGAACTAATTTGTTATATTAACAACAAATTTTAAAATCATGAAATATAAACATTTATTAATTTTCTAAACAAGCGGTGTAATGGAAGGAAAATATAAAAAAAATTAGAAATCAAAATTATTTATATTAGGTGCTTTATATTACTATTTAAAAATTATATTTACTTTTACTGGCATTTACTTTAAAAAATAAATGAAATATTTCTTCGCAAAAACTACATGTAAGAGAATTAGCATAAACAAAATACAAACATCGTTAACTTTTTTTTTAAATTGGCACGTGTAAAACTTTCATTTTAATTTTCTCACCCCATAGTTTGAGTTCGATAACCATTTACTTAACCACATTACTTTAATATGATTATTAAGTTCAACTAATTCATATTATTAAAACATCTAAAATACAAATATGTACTTTTAAAATTAATTTAAGTTCATCTCATCTCTCTTAAAAATTGCTACTTCTCAAAATTTCCCATTAAAAAATAGACCATATACCATATAAAATTAAATAATTGAAAGATCGGACTACGGAAAACCACACAACTTTTCGGAAAAATTTTGACCACCTGCACATGCACACAATCGTCAATAAATAAAATTAAAAAATAACTACTATTTTAGTATTTTAACTATTTTAATAAACGCAAAAATAGCACAGTATTTATACGGCGAAGTTATAAAAATTTGGAAGAACCAATAATGCACTGACTCATACAAAATCCAAACGAATACTAAATTTCATTTATCAAGCATTCGATAGTCCAAGGCTCAACGATAACCATTTAGTCGCACGGCGAGGTTGTCACATATGCTTTAGTTTACAAATGAATGAATGATTTTATTCGAATAAAACCATTCGATAGTTGAAATCATTCATTCATTAACCATTCGATAGTCTAATTCATTCGATAGTTCCCATCGCTACTCGAACGTGTGCCGAATACGCGCGAAAGGCGTTTTTTTGACAAAAAACTGAACTCGATTGACTTCAACCGTCAATTTATAAACAGTAACATGACTATTGTTGTTTTCTTTCTAGGCTATCAGACTCATAGGTAAATCAGCTCCTCCTATGAAGACTCACACCGACTGCATGTCTTCCAGGAACCTAGTTAAGCTACCTGGTCTCATAGATGTGCACGTGCACGTCAGAGAACCAGGTGCCACTCACAAGGAGGACTACGCCTCTTGCACAGCGGCGGCTTTAGCTGGTGGAATCACGCTTATTTTGGCTATGCCCAATACCAATCCTGCTATAGTTGACGAGGAGGCTTTCCTACTGGTTAAAAAGTTGGCTAAAGATGGTGCTAGGTGTGACTACGGATTATTCGTAGGTTAGTACTAGAAGGTTTAATACAAATTTGTCAAAAGAATCGTAAAAATTAACATGAAGGTAAAATACAAGTAAAATATATAGAGTGTGTGTGTTCTAACTCTCTCAATCACTTGCCCATCCAGGTGAAAGAGACAGGATTACGGATTTTTTTTTTAGTAACTGTCATTGCCATTTGATTTGGGGTTATATATAATTTTATTGACTTGCTGTAAAACAAAATTCAATTTTTTTATTACAAAAATGCCTCAAAGATTTAATCAAAATGAACAAGAGCTCATTGTTAAGCTTATAAATTATTGTTCTCGAGAAAGAGACGCCTGATCTAAAACTTTTGCCCGTGGACGCCGGATATGAAGTAAGTACAGGGTGTCCCACTAAGAATAGCTCTCGGCTGTATCTCGGAAAGTATTAGCCGTAGGGCCTGCGGAAAAAAATATTTATAACTAAAGAGGTTATGAGAAATTGCTGAAAATTATTTTCAAATTTGTAGCACAACCTCTAGGGGGCGCAACTGCAACAAAAAAATGAGAAAATGGAGTTTTTACACAATTTTGCCTAGATAAGGTGTACTCTTGTCTACCGTCATTGGTATCTTAATTATTAGATTATATTACTCGTAATACACCTAGTATTATATTAGTACATCAGTTTTCTGGTTCGTTGTCGATATTTTGAATAAAATCATCTTTTTTTTATTATTTGTTATAAGAATGGTCATAATCAAGAGGGCTAGTGATACCGTGTTAGAAAAATAAGGTAATTAAGGGCTTATATTTTCGTATTTATTATAATTTTGCTAATAACTTTGGTTTGAAAAAAGATATCAAGATGCGGTTTTCGCTGACTTGTTAAGCTTTTATTACTCTTTGCTATCAGCTAAAGTTACATATACTATCGCATTTAATTTTTTTGAAAAAACGCACAATGTTTGTTAAATTATAAGACAACACCCCCTAGCGTCTACGTTCAAAAGCTTATTATTATTGTTTATATGGTACAATATAGAGTAAGAAACGCTCTTTTAAACGAGCCCTCGCTTGTTGGATTTCGATCATCCAATCCGGAGTTATTAATATTTAAATAAAAACAGATCTAACCTCCTCCCACCACTTTATTTTAGCAGATAGGGAAAAATGGTTCTAACAAAAAAGATCCAAAATTTACTGAAGATTATGAGGCTATTATTTATAGTACATCGTATCTAGGCAAAATTTCTTAAAAATTCTATTTTGTTATTTTACATAGCAGTTACGCCCTCTAGCGGCCGTCCTACAAACTTGAAAATAATTTCAAGCAATTTCTCATGGTCTCATTAGTTATAAATATTTTTTCCGTCAGCTCTACGACTAATACTTTAGATTAAAGGTAATTAATAATATAGGAACGTACTTAAAATTTTCTAAACAATATGAACTGATCTCAGACACACCCTTAAACTCATATTTGACAAATATAACGATGACGTAACGATGAACGATGGCTGAACAGTCTTTAGAACTTTTTCAATGCGCGAGAGAAAAGATAACTGTCCTCTGGAGTAGAGGACAGTCAATTATGCAGATTTTAATACAAAAATAATCCACTAGGTGCCTCTTCTGATAACGCCACCACGATCAGCGAACTAGCCAATGACGCTGCCGGCCTGAAGATGTACCTAAACGAAACGTTTACTACCCTAAAACTGAACGATCTGAGTGTTTGGAACAAACACCTCAATAGTTGGCCAAAAAAAGCACCGCTATGCGTCCATGCCGAGAGTCAGACCACTGCGGCCATCATATTGTTGTCCAGCTTATTGAACAGGTCAGTATTACCTTTTTTTTTGTCAAAAATCGGGATAAATAAGAGAATCATTTTCTCTGGTAAGCAACTCTCCAAACCAATCAAAGTCAATCTCAATTTAATCAATCAAAAATTCAAAGGTTTATCGTTGTTTTGTCGTTTTTTTATACTTTGTTTTCAATTATTTTTTTATATTTTTCAAATATCATTTTGAATTGCGATTTTCCAGGCCAGTTCATATATGTCACGTGGCAAGGAAAGAAGAAATCTTGGTCATAAAAGCAGCCAAAGAAAAAGGCCTTAAAATCACATGCGAAGTATGTCCGCATCATTTGTTCCTGTCCACTAAAGACCTACCAAATTTAGGACCTAGAAAAAGTCAAGTTCGACCAGTAAGTATACCGGGTGTTTCAGTATCTTTTGGGTAGATTTCATTAGATTTTTTGAGGTGGCTCATCAGTAAGAATTGATTTAGACACTTGCTTTCAGTGGTTCAGACATTTTGTTCGCGCAAAATACCTTATTTTTTGGAAAGTTATCAGTCCAAAGATCTAATAAAACATATTTTAAAATATTTATGGTTGTTTTCTAATTTTCAGATGTTGGTAACTCCAGAAGATCAGCAGGCTCTCTGGGACAACCTCCATATCATAGACTGTTTTGCAACAGATCATGCACCTCATACTGTTGAAGAAAAACTTAGTGCAAATGCACCACCCGGGTTTCCAGGTAGATATCTGAAATTTTTTGATGTTTATTCAATAATAAAAACAAATTAACGAAAAAAAAAAACATATTTCGTACAGTACAGTAGTATTAATGACAGAAATATTTTTTTTCTAGTTTTAGTTAAGTGTATTTTTACAGAATGTATAAATGTCTTAATCTTAATAATTTCTTTTCAGGTTTGGAGACAATTCTGCCACTTCTTCTCGATGCTGTGAACGAAGGACGTCTTACCATGGACGATATAGTAAACAAACTCTACAGGAACCCTAAAAAGATCTTCAATCTACCGGAACAGTTTAATACGTACATTGAAGTAGATATGGATGAAGAATGGGTTATACCAGGTAAGAAAATATTTCTTTTTGCTATAATTGATAACTTTTTTAGAGAAATATGTAAATAATTCTGGAGATCATCATCATCATCATCATTTTCAGCTTATTCAACCATTTCCAATACTACTCTCTTTGTAGTTGGGCCCATTATTGTTGTCTATTCTTGGCTATGCGGGCTCAAGTTATCCGTGCTAATTTCCTAATATTATGGTCCCATCTCGGGTTTGGTCTTCTTCTAGGTCTCTTAATTCCTCGCGGGTACCATGCTGTAATTTTTGTGGTCCATCTGTTGTCCATCCTTCTTGCCAGGTATCCTACCCATTGCCACTTGAGGGATTTGATTCTGTGAATGATATCTATTACCTGGGTCTTTTGTCGTATCCACTCTATTCTTTTACGTTCTTTTTTGGTTATTCCCAGCATATTTCATTCCATTGAGCGTTGTGCGACCTGCAGTTTCCTTATAATGTTCTTTTTAAGTGTCCAGGTTTCGTATGCAAAGGTCATGACTGGTAGTACTTGTATTTGTATTTGTATTTGACTAAGAGTGGGTCCCATAGGGGACCCTCCACTGAGGCCGCGAGGGCCTATTGTGGCTCAGTTTCTACAAGCTCTAATTTACAAGAGCGTCAAAGTTCATCCTCAAGACCCAGCCTCTTAATATAAGCCGTTATGTCTGAGGGCGATATGTCTCCTAGGTCTGATAGGTCTAGCATGGGTTTGCCAAACATCTCAAACCTGGTCCTGCTCCCAGCGGGCAGGTACACATAACGTGCTTCATTGTTTCATCATCTTCCATACAGAGTCGGCATTCGGCGTCTTCCAACAGGCCCGTCCTCTGTGGGGTGAGGATCTCAGCCGGCAGTGGCCCGTGTACACTGCAGTGAGCACACGCGTTCCATTCCTACCGGCCTTTAGGAGTTCTCCTGTTCTATGTTTGGATGGCCCTCCTAGATTTTCTTGGCATGTTCCATTCCGGGACTGTCATTCCAGTCCCGGAACGTCTCACTCCTAACCCATTCACAGAGCCTGTCTCTTGCGAGATTTTTAGGAACGCTAAGTGTCGGTTCTGGGCCCACGAATGGCGAGCCTGCACCAATTTTGGCGAGGGAATCAGGACGTTCATTTCCCTCTAGGCCGACATGTCCCGGTATCCATATTATCAACACTTTGTTCCTATCTCCCAGTATATTGAGTAGTTTCTTACAATGAAGAATCGTCATAGACGTGCTTTTCGTTGCCTCAAGTGTTTTCAGCGCAGCTTGACTATCCGAAAATATGCATATTGTTTTCCCGGTGTATTGCTGTTCTACCAGCAGTTGCACACAGGTTTCGATAGCATATAGCTCAGCTTGGAAGATCGTGGTGTGTTTTCCAAGACTGTGGTAGATCTCAGTCTTCGGACTGCTGCAGTAAATTCCTGCGCCAGATCCTGGTAGTACTTGGTCTAATGTTTTTTTCCTTAGATAAAGTGGGATTCTAGATTTGAATATGATTGAGTTTCTTCCATAATGCTAATTTAATTCTTCCCGATGCTAACTTAATTCTTCTGTTGATTTCTGGTAGTAGAGATCCCAAGCTGTGTCTTAGTTGTCCCAAATATATGTATTCTTCTGCTAATTCCAGTGTTATGTTATTTATTAGAATATCTTTTCTGCCTACTAGTTCATTGTACAGAGTAAAAAATTCTAGTTGGTTTGGTGTCTTAAAAACTATAGCCAATAATACAAATGTTACTGACCTTATATTTTTTAAGCTGATTGTTTAAGTATGTCAAACTGATATTTCTTTGGGAAATTTTGAGATAATATTTGAATATTCGAAAAATTTGAGCTACAAAACACTAAGCCAGTCATCAAGCAACAGCGTGAAAGAAAATATATATATATATATATATATATATAATATATTTTGATGTATGATTGACAGGTCCTTGTCTTAGAATAGATCTGATAATTAGAAAAAATATCATTTTTTATGGAAATGAAAATATAATTCTTATAACCCACATTCGTTTAATTATTTTTACTCTCACACTTAAACTGACAAAAATGACGAACTGTAAGAATAATAATTAAAACATTTTTGTCATATTTGGAATCTTTTGAATACTTTGGTTAGGTAATGATATTTTTGAATGATTATTCTGATAAACACTCAGAATTGTTGTTTTTTATGTTTTATAAAGTCACTTAAAAGTTCACGGATATACTTCAGAAATAACAACCCGAGTTTGTTTTATTTTTTTGCAGATGCGATGCCTTACAGTAAGGCAAGATGGACTCCATTTGCTGGTAGGAAAATCAAAGGTGCAGTTCACAGAGTGGTTCTTCGAGGTGAAGTAGCGTATGTTGATGGACAAGTACTTCTCCAACCAGGTTAGTACTTTTTAGTTAAATCTCTGTAATAAAATATTGCTATTGGACATTTGGTACATAAAGAGTAATGGTTCTATTCAAGGGATTTAAAATATTTTTTTATAAAATCATAGGTTTTGGTCAGAACGTCAAAGAATGGGACAAGAAAGTGTTCACTCTAGCAGCTCAGACAGAAAGCAGACCTTCATCGGCTTTGGATAGGCCACTGTCTCCGTTTCCTCATCAGAACGACTATGATATTGATGGGCATACCAACGAGATGTTTTCTAAACTATTGGCAACTGATAGCAAGGTAAATAAACATAAGTTGTTGAACCAAAAAAAGATGGAGAAGTATTTCTATTTTTAATTTGACATGACAGATTTATCTTGAGAGGTAGATACTTTTTGACGGTTTGAATTGTTGGGTTTATTTTTATTTTCGTATGTTGAATGTATGCTCATTAAGTTAGTAAAAACTGACCTTGGAATACAACAATTTCTTTATTTACTACATTAATGTAGAATAGAATAATTTTAGAATAGAATAGAATAGAATAGAATAGAATAGAATAGAATAATTTATTGATGTCAATACCATACAAATAGTGGCGAACATAAGTCAAAATATAAAATAAAATACATATATAAAACACAATTAACTTAAAAATTAACACAAAAGACATAAAGTTAAGACAATCATATTAGATGGGTACACAATGACAATTATATACTCTAGTTAATACATTGTAATATAAACATAGGGTGGGAGTTTCCAGTTCCCACATTCTGTTGTAGAAGGAATTTCCATTAAGCGAGATTAATATGTATATCACTTGAAAGAAACTCCCTCGAGTCATACAGTGGATTTTCAAGTAACCAGCCACGAACCCTGCCCTTAAACACCCTATCGGACAATAGTTTATACCCATCCGGAAGTTGTAAAACTTGTAAAACTTCACACCCCAGTATCTAGGTCCATCTCGAGACCTTTCTAATCTATGTATAGGGATACTGAGGTGCTCCGCCCTACGAGTGTCATGAGAGCCGTCCTGAGCATTTGTGGGATATTTTTCCGTATTGGCTTTAACATATAATAGATTTTCCAATATATAAAGATTTGGGAGAGTAAGTATATTTAACATTTTAAAGGTTTCCCTGCAATCATCCCTGTAGCCCAATCCTCCGACAACTCTCACAGCCCTCCTCTGAGCGCGAAAACCCTGCGCCACTGAGGTGCGTGACCCCAAGCCAAAACAGCGTAGGACATCACAGAATGAAAAAGAGCGTAGTAAGCCGTCCGCAATACGCAACAGGAAACAGTACCTGACAAATTACGCAGAACGAAGAGCGCGCTTCTTAGCTTCTTGCATAGTTGCTCAATATGAGCATTCCATCTCATTTCACTGTCCAACTGAACCCCTAAAAATGGAACAGATTCCCTGGAGAAGCGACAGTCCTCAGGCACACTCCTCAAAGAAAAAATTACACGATTTGTTTTGGCCTCATTTAAAACTAGGTTATTTTTCCGGAACCAGTCAGCCGCCCTCGCTTGAGCGTCATCCGCGCCTCCCTCTAGGTCTTTTAGTTCTTTTCCTCTGACCGAGACCGCTGTATCATCTGCGAATAAAACGTAGTGGTCGTCACGTCGGATATGTGGTAAGTTGTTTATATAAATCAAAAAAAGTAAAGGGCCCAGTACTGAGCCTTGTGGGACACCATTTTTAAGAGGTCTTGGGTTCGACCACACACCATCAACGACCACTCTCTGTATTCTGTCCTCCATGTAGGATTTCAAAAGGGCAACACTACCCTCACTAAGTTATAATAGTCGAGTTTTTTAATGAGCAACTCGTGAGACACACAATCGAAGGCTTTACTTAAATCGCAAAATACCGCGCCAACATGTTTCCTACCCTCAAAGCCATCCAAGATGAATGACACGAGGTCCAGAATAGCCGCCACAGCGCTGCGTCCGGACCTGAAGCCGAACTGTTGGTCGTTCAGCAATAAATACTCTTCAAGGAATAACGCCATTCTTGAGGCCATACATTTCTCAATGATTTTTGAAAAAACAGGAAGCAGTGAAATCGGACGATAATTAGATATATCATTCTTGTCCCCCTTTTTGAATACGGGTACAACAACAGCCTCCTTGAGACAACATGGAAAAATGCATTCCCTAAAGCACAAATTAATTATTTTTGTTAGCGGTATAAGGATAAGCTCCCTTATCATCTTTATAATCCTAACACTGAACCCAAATTTGTCACGCGAATCTTTATTTTTTAAGTTAAGTATTACGTCCCTGACCTCATTAAAACCCACATCTCCGAACTTGAATTCCTCATCCGGCAGATGAGTAATCCGAAATGGAATATCTTGTGTAGAACACTGTCCATTTCCGACCAAGACATCCGCCACACTAGAGAAAAAATCATTAAATGCATCGGGACCAATTGTCATTGAGGGATTTTGTTTCTGCTTGTTTGCACGGTTGTTATTCACGATTTTCCAAATACTTTTTGACTTATTTGTTGAGTTAGAAATAAGTCTATCATTATATTCCCTTTTCGCGACTTTAATTGCCCTTCTATACTGTTTTTTAAAGCAGTTTCTATTGTCAAGCAGTTCTTGGGATGGGTATTGTTTAAAAAGATCATTAAGAAAACACAGACGTTCTCGCATTTCCCGCAGTGTGTCATTAAACCAAGGAAACAGAGTCTGATATTGTTTATTTTTATATATTTTTTCTGGAAAAGAAGCATCAAAAGCTTCTTGAATCTTATCACAAAAAAGTTTGCATTTAGTACTGACATTTATGTTGTTTTTAGATATAAAAGACCAGTACAACTAAAGTAAAAAAAGATTGCTTACCTCTTTCAGTGATAGGTCTATATTTCCTCATCAGTGTCTTGTTATTTGTATCGCTATCTATTCCAAACCGAAGCTCTATTAAGTTGTGATCAGACAGATCATTGTCGATTATTTTGATATCGGTAAAAAGAACATCGAAGTTAATAAATAGGTTATCTATACAGTTTCCGCCGCGCGTACCAGCACTCACCAATGCACGAAATCCATATGATTTCAGCATGTCATTTACCAACACTGACTCGCTTTGTTTTGTACCAAAGAGTACATTAAAATCGCCTACAATAATGATTTTTCTGCGATGTCCCACACTGTCAATGGCTCTACCAAGTTGAGTCACAAATACCTCTATACTTTCTCCAGGAGATCTGTAAACGCAGAATATATAAATATTGAGACTCTTTATGTAAGCACAGCAAAGTTCTATGATTTTTTCTATTGAAAATTTCGAGATTTTAGTAATATTATTATGTTCAATAGTAGAGAGTCAAGAAGGGTGGTTACCCCACCTCTCTGGACTCCTCCCTACAAAAATTGAACCCACAACAAGTCCAGATATTTTAAGTTCAGCTGACTCACTACCGTCTAACCAATGCTCAGAGACACACAATATATCAAGTTTTTTGTCACATATATACGCCTGAATTTCATGCAGTTTATTCTTAAGTGATCTAAGGTTTTGATACATTAATGTAATAGTTCTCAAAGTATCATTTGAATCATTCTGATATTGCACTTTAGATACGTAAACACCGACAGAACTGGTAGTATTGTCATAATTAATATCTTCTTTGTTGTTTTGCAAAATATTTATTAGTTCTCTTCCGAAAAAACGGCGAAACTTGAGCATCTTTAGGCCATATCTCTGGATCCCATGCCTTATCGTAATTTGTTTCATCAATAATTACCTTGAAAGATGAGAAAAAGCTGGTATTTCTTGATTCCATTTCTGACATTCTACTTCTGTATGTATAATGTATTTAGTACATTTCTTTATTTAGTACATAGGATTTCTTTATTTAGTACATAAGACATGAGATTACTTTCGGCTCAAAATTTTTGCATACACAGATTTTTTCTAAAAATTATAGGTACACTTTGCAAATGATACTCAATTCGATCTGCGTCAAACCATGGCCTCTCCAATACCACCTCTGACCTTAGCACCCAGAATCAGAACTGAAAGTTTCTCAAACCAACCGGATAGACCCAAATCGCGCTCTGAAATCCCATTGACACCCAGGATCAGGACGGAGAGCTTTTCAAACCAAACGGATCGTCCCAAGGCCAGGATCAGGACCGAAAGTTTTTCAAACCAACCGGATCGTCCCAAATCCAGATCAGAAACCGCCACTCACATCCAGTCGGAATTGGCACCTCACCATCATGCTCACGGACTGACTGGAAAGCACATTTTGGGTGTGGATATGTTCAATAAGGAGCAGTTGAACTATATCTTCAATTTAGCTCAAACATTCAGGTATGGTATCCATTTTTTACTAAGAAGATATCCATTATTTTGTACCATTTCAAAAAAAAATATTAGAAAAATAGTGAAAATGAAAAATTACACTATATCTTCAACTTCTCTTAAATAGTCAGGTAGACTATCCGTTCTTTAAAAAGAAGGGTACATTTATTTAGCACCATTTTCTAAAATAACGCCATAAAATTTAAAAAACATAAAATTAAACTAATATTTTCAATTTTGCTTACACGATCAGCTAGAGCATCAAGTCTTTAATAGGAAGAGTGCCTTTATTTTGTACCATTTTCTAAAAGTAACAATATAAGTATTATAAAATGTCAAATTACATTATATCTTCAATTTTGCTGAAATGTTCAGACAAAGTATCCATTTCTTGATAGGAAGATCATCTTTATTTTATACCATTTTCTAAAATTACAGAGTTTACGTGTCAAGAGATAGACCTCTGGATCACGTGTTGAGAGGCAAGATCATGGCCTCGATGTTCTACGAAGTTAGCACCAGGACCTGTTGCAGCTTTTCCGCAGCTATGCAAAGACTCGGAGGAAAAGTTATATACATGGACGACAGTAGTTCCTCGGTGAAAAAAGGTGAATCGCTAGAAGATTCCATTTCGACTCTAGCCAGTTACTCGGATGTGATAGTTCTGAGGCATCCAACACCTGGATCCGTTTTTGTAAGTTTTTTTAAAAGTTTTTAATTATATTTTTAGTATAGAAAATCTATGTTTGTGGAGTATCCATTCTTTAACAAGAAGGGTGCCTTTATTTTGAATAATGTTGTAAAAAATACTTTGTAAAAATATAAAAAATACTATATCTTCAATTTTGTTTAAACGTTCAGGTAGAGTATTTATTATTTAAAAGGAAAAATACCTTTATTTTGTACCATTTCCTAAAAAATGTCCTATAAAAATATAAAAAACACTATATCTTCAGTTTTGCTTAAATGTTCAGGTAGAGTATCCATTCTTTAATAGGAAGAGTACCTCCACTTTGTACCATTTTCTTAAAAATGTCCTACAAAAATATAAAAAACACTATATCTTCAATTTTGCTTAAACGTTCAGGTAGAGTATCCATTCTTTAATAGGACGAGTACCTTTATTTTGTACCATTTTCTAAAAAATGTTCAATAAAAAAATAAACACACTATATTTTCAATTTTTCTTAAATGTTCAGATAGAGTATCTATTCTTTAATAGGAAGAGTACCTTTATTTTGTACCATTTTCTAAAAAAAGTCCTATAAAAAAATAAAAACACTATATTTTCAATTTTGCTTAAACGTTCAAAGGGAGTATCCATTCTTTAATAGGAACAGTACCTTTATATTTTACCATTTTCTAAAATAAATATATATATATATATATATATATATATATATATATATATATATATATATATATATATATATATATATATATATATATATATATATATATATATATATATATATATATATATATATATATATATATATATATATATATATATATATATATATATATATATATATATATATATATATATATATATATATATATATATATATATATATATATATATATATATAATAAATTATCAATATTTTTTTGTAGAAAGCATCACAGCATTGCAGAAAACCTCTGATAAATGCTGGTGATGGTGTGGGAGAACACCCCACTCAAGCTCTGCTGGATATCTTCACCATTCGTGAGGAAATCGGTACTGTCAACGGACTGGTCATTACTTTGGTTGGTGATTTAAAGAATGGCCGTACTGTACACTCATTGGCTAGACTTTTAACCTTATATAACGTACAGCTGAGGTACGTTAGTCCTCCAAATTTGAAAATGCCACACCATATTACCAAGTTTGTTTCTGAGAAGGGTATAAAGCAACAGGAATTTGATAGTTTGGAGGCGGTGTTGCCGGATACTGATGTGCTGTATATGACAAGGATACAGAGGGAGAGGTTCGAGTCACAGGAAGAATACGAAAAAGTGAGTATTTTTATTTTTTTATTAATTTTTGACCAACAAAATTTTCACAACCAAAATGTTTTTTTGATAATACTCAGCGATGTTTTTTCTACTTTTAGGCCTGTGGACATTTTATAGTAACTCCCAAACTGATGACAAGAGCAAAAAGAAAGATGGTAGTCATGCATCCACTTCCAAGAGTGTTCGAAATTAGTCCAGAATTTGATACTGACCCCAGGGCAGCATATTTTAGACAGGTTGAATGCGGAATGTTTGTGAGGATGGCCATACTATCTATGGTCATGGGAAGATGCTGATATGATGGATTATTTTTAGGAAAATATCAAATGATCTAGAGAATGGTATAACTGGACTGTAAGAGTGGACAGAATTTTTTTAAAATAATATTTTTTAAACAATTTTTTTTATATTATTATAATTTTATCAATTGTTAAGTTATTGTGAATACACTCGTTTTAAGATATGTTTCCTAACACTACCTGTTAACCTGCTAAATCTGTGAATCAGATTCTTTAAAAATAACTGTATAATTTAAGGAATTACTCAATTACTTAAAAATTCTCAATTTTTGTTGGTTTGATGTTAACCAACAATTGGTTATTACATATCCACTCACGGTATCTCCAATAGATTGTTAAATAAATATCAGTAATTTCGAATAATGTATTTATCTAATTACCCAGTTTCGTCTATATACAGGGTGTTATGTAAACTATGGGCTCGGAATAATATAAGTTTTATAGAAAATATATTTTGATAAATTAAATTTATTCCTACACATATTTGTTTTTTTTTGTATCCCGTGACAAGTTACACACTTATTTTATCTAACATGTATAAATAACACTACATAACAACATATATTTTACTTAACATATACAGGGTATTTGAAAGCGTCGTTTATGATTTCTATAACCAAAGAAACATGATAATGTAAATCTTTAGTTATTGTTGATCGTCAATATTAATTATAACTTATATTACTTGAAAATATTGATGAGCTCTTAATAAAATTTCTTTGGTATAATTTTATTTTCATTTTCTACTGGTTTTAACAGCTGCTTTATTTTTCTGAATCTCATAAATAAATGCCAGAACTGATAAAACCACTCCAACTCCATACAAATAGAAACAAAACTCCAAACTGCCCAAATTAACCTTCTCCATATCTTCAGCTCTTCTAAAGTAAGCCTTTGCCATGCCCAACTGAAAATGGTAATGCATCCCACCCTCAGTGATAGCTCTGATCAGTTTATTCGTCTTATACAACAACGGCGAGCCTTTGGGCAGTACAAATCCAATAAGTTGGGGCAACAAAACTTCTCTATTAATATAAAAACAGTTTTTCGGTTTTCCTGTAACATCTCTGAGCGTGTACACGTAGTATTTAGCCAGTCTATAGTTACCTATGAAGCCCTCGTTTGGATTACAACTGCTCAATTTGCTCCAGAGTTCAACAGGACCCAACGAAGTCGTTCTGTTATAAATCATAGTGTCGTAATCGTCAAGTTGATTATTGCTCTTCCTTATCGTAGACGTCTGAAATGAAATTGACAGAAAGTGGCAGTTGCTCTCAGCTGCTTCTTTCAAACTTTGCAGTTCTGCAGGTCTTTGAGGAACAGTAAGGACGCTGGTTAGTTTGGACTCAAAGTAGGCGTCCATGAAGTAACGAAAGAACACCACTGCAATCAGAAACATTTTGAAGAATTTGATGTTTAATAGGCTTCCTCCACCGGTCGATGAGATCTGTACAATGATAAGAAAAATCCTCGAGAAGGAGACATTACCAAAAAATCTAAGATAAATTGAAAAAATCCCGAAAACCAGAAGGATGGTCAACCATACCTTTAAAGGTATTATGGCAGCTATGTTAGGTACTATTGTGTCTGGGAGTGGCATCATGACAACTCGATCATCTCTATCATGGGGGTACGTGAAGTCAACCTGCAATAATATTGAAATACAGGGTTGTTCACCGACGCGGAGTATTGTAGCTAAACTCTTAGATTTTTGCAAATTGTAAGTTTTGGGTTCGTTGAAGGACTATTAGAGCTACAATTTAAAAATATTTTTACAAGATACAGAGTGGCCCAAATAAATAAAAAATATCAAAGTTGTATTTTTTTAAATGGAACACCCTGTATATTATTACATTTTTAGTTTCTACGATTAAAATAAAGGTAAATTTGAATGTCTTATTTCTCCAGGCGTATTTAAGTTTTTAAAACCAAATATTGTACTGTAGTATTTCTGTTTACTAAATTTTGTGTTACAATAATAAAAATTATACTACCTTTATACAGAGTGTCTAAAATTTTATTTTAAATAATAACTAGCTATAAACAGCAATAAATTCTTTAATTTAAATGAAACACCATGTATATTTTATAAGAATCAGATGCACAATTTAATTGTCTATCAAATTATATTATATCATTTTTTACCTATGTCTTCAGGTTTTCGTAGAAAATGCATTTTCTTATAATTTAAACCTCAATTCATGGAATATTGACATTTTTGATTATTTTTAAAGATGTAACAAATTTTTAAAGGTGACAGATACTAATATTGTCGATATAGTTCGTTTATGTCATTAAAAAATAAAAAAGAGTGTTTAAATATTTGTAAAAGAGGACCAATTAATATGATTCCAGTATTCAAACTACATTAATTGACTGTTTGCTGCGTTGATTAATAATAATTGCTCCAAATACTGAAAAACTTAATTTTGTATGTGTATTAGACAGTGTGGTAAAAAGTAACACCTTAAAAATTTTATTTCATTTTTTGACGAATGCTCATTTATAACAACAGAGACATTCATTTTCATAACTTATTATCGTTCCGTTATCGTTTATAGTTTCCAAATCCACATTTATTTAGAATAATTTATTAACTAACACAATTAAATATGTAATTAATTAATATTTTGGCGGAAATAATCGTGGTATATTTAATTAATGGTATACTCTTTTATAAAGATTTAAACAGTTATATGTTTTTATACCAATAGGCTGGTAATATTATCGTTTTTAGCACCTGTACATTTGTTGCTTTAAAAACAATCTAAAATGTCAATATTCCATGGGTATTTTGATAAATGAGGTCTAAATTATAAGAAAATGCATTTTCTACGAAAACTTGAAGGGATAGGTAAAAATGGCATAATACAATTTGATGGACAAATTAATTGTGCATCTGATTCTCTTAAACTATACTGGGTGTTCTATTTAAATTAAACAAGTTATTGTCGTTTAAAGCTAGAAATGATTTAAAATAAATTTTTAGACACCCTGTATAAGGTAGTATTATTTTTATTATTACAACATAATAACTGAAATATTTCAAAAACGGTAAGGTTTAAGTGCAATAAACCTTAATCAAATTTACCTTTATTTTAATCGTAGAAACTACTGTAATAATATACAGGGTGTTCCATTTAAAAAAATACAACTTTGATAGTTTTTATTTATTTGGGACACTCTGTATCTTGTAAAAATATTTTTAAATTGTAGCTCTAATAGTCCTTCAACGAACCCAAAACCTACAATTTGCAAAAATCTAATCGTTTAGCTACAATACTCCGTGTCGTATGTGGTGAACAAGCCTGTATAAATATAATATTAAATAAAACTTACTGAGTTCATATATTCTACATTCACAAATTTGCTGTTAAAGGCTGCGTGTGCTTTCCCAGTACGAAGATGCTTCAACTGGTTGGCTACGGTAAAATTCGAAGTAACCTTTTCATCTGGATGACTTTTTTTGGACGGATCTAGATACTTTGCCGTGGCATTGAAGCTTTTGATTATTTCATAAGCAGTTGAGCCGTCTCTGCCTTCGTAATGATCTCCGTTCCATATGGATATCAGGTAAGGATATATGGATACACCTAGCAGGAATCCATGCAGATCATCACAAACGTTTTCGAAAATCAGATTTTTATCAGAGTTTTGTCTGATTTCTTTGGAGAATGGATTATATTTGAGGATGGTAGATGTTTCTAGATCCAAAAATGCTAAATTTGGTGCAAAATACTTTTGGAAAATTGTTTTAGAGAAATTTACAGCTTGGTCTTTTGAAACGGAATCTACAACTAAAATAATACGATTTTTAGCTCTCCAAAATGAGAATTTTGTAGTTTTTTCAAATATTTTCGTCCATTTTTCTTGATGATTTAGGAAAATCCAATATAAATTATCATCACCAACCAGTTGGTCGTTTTCGGTAACATATTTTTGATTAAAATCGACTAAATATATAGGTTTAGTAACTCCAAAATACCTAAAAATGTCATTAGATAAAAAAATTTGGTTGCAGATCAAAATTTGATCTCTGACAGAGTCAGTTTGTACTATATTTTGGATTAAAATGTTATTCTTGAACTCAATATTACTATCATTTTGACATAGCGCAAAAAATAGACAAAGATAGTGACTCAAAGTCATTACAATGAAGGTTGTTTCTGATATAATGAATCTAAATTTTCCAAAAAGCTTATATAATATAACAAAAATGTATAATAAATCTAAAAAAAGTCTACTGATGAGATTCTGAATTAGATTGTATAGAGGTTTATTAAAATATCGTTATAAATACATCTAACAAATGCAATAATGCACTAAATAAATTAAAATAATTGTAAAAGACTATATCATTCTTATTTTATCAAACCAATGTACTTTTTGTAAGTTTTTTCAATGAAAATTCAATTTTATATAATCAAAATTATTAATACTATATGTCGAAACTTACTGAATATAAAACAATAATTTTTGGGAAAGGCTGATACCTAATTATTACCAATTTATCACTTAAATTATAGCAATCAACGATATTAAGAAAAATATACACTTTCAATAATTATTTCTCTCAAAAATATAAATTAGACAGGGTGTTAAATTTTTTGACGACGGGACGAGTCGGCAGCTTAGCTTAGTCTTATAGTACTCATTTTGAATTGGATGGGTGAGGAGCAGTGTTGCCATTCTGTTCCCCAATAAGTAACCGTCCAATTAACAATCTGTATATGTGAGGTGTGTAAGTCAATATGCTTGTATTTTGTTTAAATAAAAACAGAGTATTTTCATTCTTCACAATTTATTAAACTTATATTTTATACGCTAAACATTACACATTAACTATACATTTTTTAATACAAATTTCAATCAAAAATACTATAAATGAACAAATGCAACCAGTGACTAGCAAATAGAAACAAAATGTCACATCCTTTATACTAATTTCCCTAAGCGCACTGCGTTTCTCGTAATGAGCTAAACTCAGCTGAGTTACCTTCCAGTATTCTAATATACCAGACTCCAACAAACTTTGAACAATTTTATTTATTTTGGGTAAGAAAACTGAACCTTTTTGTACCACAAAACCCATGTAACTCTGCAACAAGATCTGTTTCAACTGATAGTAACACATATATTTATGATTTCTTTTTTCAATCACTGTCTTGGCATACACTTGGCATAGAAAATTTGAGGCTACGAAAGCTTGGTTTTTATCACATGCAGTGAATTTTGTTATAAAATTCTCTCTAGGTAAATACACGTTGTTTTTCTGAATTTGTTTGATGTATTTTAGATCAGGACCTTCAAGACTTTCAACTGATAACTTGAATAAGTTTTCAGTAATATATCCAAAGTCTTTTTTTGTTAATTCTTTGAAGGTTTCAAGATGATATTCTGTTGTTGGTATGGTCAGTATACTTATTAGCTTGGACTGAAAGAAATAGTCCATCACAAAGCAGTAAAATAAAGCT